GCTATAAAAAATAATTAAATATATAATAAATAAATATATTTATATAGACTAGATTCTTATATTTTTTTTTATATCATTTAATATATATGCTAGTGTATATTTAATAATTATTTTTTTATTATATATATTTCTTTTATAATTTTAAATATAGTTCTAAATATATATAATTATATATTCTTATTTATATTAATTATAAGCTTATATCTTTAGCTGACTGTTTATATACCTAATTATAGAAATAACTAGTTATAGTGTTAGCTGCTTTAATGAACACCTTCCTTTAATAGTACTAGATTCTGCCTAGTATCATGCAAGTTGGTTTTGTAATATTTTTCTTAATAGTACCAGATTCTGCCTAGTATCATGCAAGTTGGTTTTGTAACAAGGTTTCTGTCACGGACCTGGATCCACCTTAGTTAAACAGCGTTGTGTCGAGGTACGCTAGGCTTTGCTAAACCACACAAAGGTTCAGGATTGAACGTTGATATGGTAGGCTAAGTGAATAGGATAACAATAATTAATTAAAGATAGAAGTCTTAACATAATTAAGATAGAAGAGATCTCTTGTATAGCCTAGTACCTATATAAATATAAATACCTTGCTAACTCTTACTATTATATTTAAGTGATTTATATTAAAGAGCTATAAAGAATGACTAAATATATAGTAAATAAGTATATTTATATAGATCTCTTTAGTATACACTTTAGTATATATGTTTCTAGAAGTGTATACTCTATATATACTTTCTAGTATTTTCTTATATATATCTTAGTATATACTTTATATCATATATTCCTAATTAGTTATTTTTAAGTTTATATCTTTAGCTGATTACTTATATATCTAGTTATAGAAATAATTAGATATAGTATTAGCTACTATAATAAATATCTTCTCTTAATAATACTAGATTCTGTCTAGTATTATATAAGTTAGTTTTATAATATTACTTTTTTTTTTTAAGATCTTTATCTTAAAGGTTTAAATAGAAAGACTCATCCTTGTTCTTAATATAACCCTATTTTCTTTTTTGATAAGTGTCTGAAATGTATTAACATATCTAAATTATTTCTTCAAATCTATTAGTATCATTATCAGGCTAATTATATTATTTAGAATAGCTTTCCTATTAATAATCTATATTCTTATTATATTTATTAAGATTTACTTTATATAATAGATTTAAAGAGTTATAATTGTGCTTTCTGCACTTAGAATAATAAGAAATATAAACGCCATTTCTATAATAAAAAAGATTGGGATAGATTGTAGTATATAGAAAAGAAACTCAAGACTAATATAGAGTCTACTAAAAGTAGCCTTGAAGAGTCTTTATAGTTATAATAAGAGTTATTTCTACAATAGTAATATTCTATCTAGGTATAATAAGAGGCTATTATAAAGCTTATTTAATTATATAAATAATAAAAACTCCTTAAAGATTATAGTGATAAAATATTAGATTATAATTTAAATATCTTAGACATCCTTAATGAGGAGGATCCTGAAGATCTAATCTTGACTTCTCCTAATAAACAGTATTTGAATACTATATCTGAATAATCCTTAGACATTAAGATATTACTTACTAATCCTAAATTATTTATATTACTTAATCCTTTATTATAGGATATTTTTCTAATAAGTGCTATTTCTTATAGTAATCTCTAATTATATCTTGTGCTTTAGTAAGATTTTTGATCACTTTCTATATGCTTTCTGATTTATTATATCTTTTCTATTTTATTAAATATCTTTTCTGGTTTCTAGCTATTTTAGTTACTAATATTTCTTTAACTTTATAGGTTTCTTATTTAATAATAATATTGTTTTATATTTTTATATTTTATAGTGCTAGTTCTAGTAATGAAATATAGAAAATTAGATATATCTTTATTATGTTTAATAGTTTAAGTTTATAATTAACTTTATTTATTTTTTTTTTAATTTTAAATGGTTTAATTTATAAGTAATTAAATTTGTTACTTAGTTTTATAGTTTGAATATTTTTTTATAAAAGGTATATCTTTTTTTCTTTTTAGAAGTCTAGTCCTTTTAGATGTTTTTTGTTATAATATTCTTTGTTTAATTTATTCTGGTTGATGATTTCTGTTTGAAGATAGAAGTATATTATCTTTATATTTTAAATGAATCTGTCTGTTACTTTATTAATAGATTCTTGATATTATGGTTGTTCTGGTAGTCTAGGTTCTTTTCTATTATTTATGAAGAATGGTGTAACTTCTATTATTAATTATTATATAGAGTTGTATACTAATTATACTATTAGTAATAATAATGTCTAGTTACTCTAGTGATTGTTAATATAATATTATAGGTATTATACTAGTGTCTAGTTTATTTATTCTATTTGACTATTAGTTTAAGGGTAATATACTATTAATAGTTGTTATTCCCCTTTTATAAGGTCTATTATTAATTTTTATAATTTTAATAAAAATATTAGTTCTTTATTAGATATTATAACTTCTAGTATTCTATAGTATTTAAATACTTTATTTATTAGCTTAAATATTAATCCTTCTATATCTATTTCTTCTGATATTAATATAAAATATATATATTTTATTATTTTATCTACTACTATAAGGATTATATTATATTTTTCTAATTCTGATAGTTTTGTGATATGATCTATTATAATCTATTACTATAGATATTCTAGTACTTTAATTTTTTATAGTAATCTATAGGGTTTATATCTCTTAATCTTGTTTTTCTAATATAAATTATATTCCTTAATATATGTTTTAATATCTTTTATTATTCTTAGCTAATAATAGTTTTTAGTAATTCTTTCTATAGTATTTATCTATTCTGGATGACTACTAGTTAAAGTATTATAATTAAGTTAAATGATTTTATTTTATAGTGATTTTAAGATATAGATTAAATTATATTAAAATACTAGTCTAGTTTCTATTATTATAATCTTATTATTTTTTTTTTTGATTAAAGTTTAAATTATATTATCTTTAGTTATTTCTTTAATAATTTTATCTTATAGTTTAGAATTTATTATTATTTCTATTATTGCTATGAGTATGGCTACTTATAGATTATACTCTAAGTATTCTTTTTTATTAAATTGTAGTAATATTAGTTTAGATTTCTTGATTTCTTTTTTATGATTTAGTTTTCTACTAAAAGTGTTTGTTTTTCTGTTTTCTATTTCTTTATAGTGTTTGATTATAAAGTAATAGTTTCTAAGTAGTTCTGACTATCTTGCTTGTCTTTTTATTAATATTTTAGTTGTTATGAAGTAAGTAAGGTTTTTATAGTCTATAATGATTTGTATTGAATATTTTATTCCTTCTAAGTATATTTTTTAATATCTTAGTGCTGCTACTATTGCTAGTAATTCTTTATTATATATCTTATAGTTTAGTTCTATATTAATTAGTTTTTTTGAGTAATAGGTAACTAGTCTTAGTTTTCTATTTTTATCTGGTTGTGTTATAGCTACTCTAATTATAAAGTCTAATGTATCTATTTCTATTATTATTAGCTTTTTTAGATTATATTGTATTAATATTGGTGCTATTATGATTCTATATTTAATTTTTTTAAATATATTTTCTTATTCTGCTTTCTATTTATATGGTTGGTTTTTTTTTAATAGTCTGAATATAGGTTCTATAATTTTTATATAGTTCTGGATGTATTATTGGTAGTAATTGATTAGTCTGATGAATGATTGTAATTCTTTAAGGTTTCTTGGTTTAGGCTAGTTCTAGATTATTTTAACTTTCTTTTTTTCTGTTTTGATTCCTATCTGTATAATTCTATGTTCTAAAAAATCTATTTCTTATATATGAAATTTATATTTCTTTAATTTGATTTGTAGTTTAGCTTCTTATAGTTTGCTTAGTACCTTTTTTATATACTGTATGTGTTCTTCTAGTGTATCTAAGAATATCAAGATATCATCTAAATATACAATAGTAAAATCATATAAATAAGATAACATCATATTGTTGATATATTATTGAAATGCTACTAGTATATTAGTAAGTTTGAATAGTATAACTAAGTATTTAAAATAGCTATATTTTATTTTAAATATTATTTTCTATTCTTCACCTTTTTTAATCCTGAGGTGATTATATATATTAGTGATGTCAAGTTTAGTGAATTATTTTTTATTTCTGACTTTATCCTATATTTTTATGATTAGAGATAAGAGGTAGCTGTCTCTTATTATAATATTATTAAGCTGCTAAAAATTAATATATAGTCTTAATTCTGTTATTCCTTTTTTCTTAATAAATAGTATTAGGTATCCTGCTGGTGATGTTAATAGTTTTATATATTCTTTTTTTAAATTTTCTTTAAGATATTTTTTTAGAGATTCTTCTTTATTTCTTAAGATTAGGTAAATCTTTTAAGGTGCTAGTTTTTTACTTTTTTTGAAAGGAATAGTATAATTCTATTTACTATATTCTAGCAAGGTTTTATATATTCTATTAAATAGTTCTTTAAATTCTTTATATTCTATAGGTAATATTATATCTATATTATTTTTTAGTTGGTATTTTGCTATCTTAATATCTAGTTATTCTTCTAGTATATTAAAATCTTATTATAGTGTAACCTCTTTTATGATATTAGTAATAGTTATGCCCTTAATTCTATCCTATAAGAGAGTGTTTATTATTTCCTTAATAGTGATCTTTAGATCTTCTTTTATTTTAGAAGCCTTAATAGTCTGGGTTTTTTTATAGTTATATCTTATTAATTATAATTATTTTTTCTTCTAGTAGATCTCTGGGTTATATTTTTATAGCTATAGACTTCCTAGTATGATGTTGTTTTATTCTAATTTTATAATATTGAAGTTGATTATTTTAATATATTTGCTAATAGTTATAGTTAAATATTCTATTTTATTTATAATATTTTTTTTTATTAATTTTTCTTTATTAAGCTTTAGTAAGGGTATTAGTTTGTATTTCCTTTATTCTAGTATCTTTAATTTTTTTTAGATTCTTAGGTTTATGTAGTTTTTAATGGCTTTTAAGTCTATTATGACTTATATTTTTGATCTTAATATATTAGTTTAGATTTTAAAGTGTTTTTTTTTTATAGTAGCTTTAAGTTCTTAGTTTTATTATTCTAGTGCTTTATTGATTTTTATAAGAACTTTTCTAATATTTTCTTTTTATATAGTATCTTTATTAGATATATACTATGCGCTAATAAGATTTTTTAATAATTCTTTAGGATTTATTTTTTTTAAAGTTTTCTTTTCATTCTTAAATATTATTTTATTCTTAGTTCTTTGTTCTAGTCTATTAGTTATTTAAGTGCTTTATATATTTTTAGCCTCTATCTACTACTTTACTTTTTTAGATATAGTAGTAAATTCTATAATAAGTTTCTTTTATTCTTTTTCTAGCTATTTATAATTTTCTAGCTTCTTTTCTTTCTTAATTCTTAGGAAGTAATTGCTTTTTTGTTTTATATCTAGATATATACTATATTAATCTTTAGTATAGAAGACTTATGTGGTAGATCTATAACCTAAATATTCAGGGTTATTATATAATTCTTAACACTTTAATCTATATTTAAATCTTAGTATTAATTTAATATCTTTCTATTTATTATTAGTAGGGATTTCTTTAATTTAGCTTTCTTAAGTATTATAATACTAGCTCTTAAGTTTTTTATAAATTATATTACTAATTTTCTTTTTAGTTTTTAATTTATTAATAATTTTTTARTTTTTATGATTATGAAGTTTAAATGTATATATTATTTCTATATATAAGTTTATTTTGCTTTCTATTCTACTAAAGCTGTAATACTTATTATTTTAGTAGTTATTAATATTATAGTTATTTTTCTATTTAGTATAGGTTTCTTGGTTTTTCTTGTTATATTAAGTTACTTTAAGTTATCTTTCTTTTTTTAGACTTCTGTATTCTTTTGCGTAATATTCTTTCTTATAGTAATTATAATACTCTATATTACTTTTATCTCTAGGCTTCTTGCTAAATTCTTTAGGCTTAGCTGTTGTATTTAATTCTATTAATATTGGTTTATATAGGTTATATTATTTATAACCTTAGTTAGTTTAATAGTAGATTTTTTCTTTATAATTTCTTTATCTTTTTTTCTATTACTTTTCTATCTGTCTCTTATACAAGTAGTTATTAAGTTTAACCACTATATTAATTATATTAATTAGTATATTAGGTTATTTTAGAATTCTTATAATCTTATTTTTGATTTTATCTTTCAGGCCTTGATAGAACTGATCTATTTTAGTTTTATTATTCTATTCTAGATAAGAACTGATCTAGTAAAATTATAAGATATAGTCTAATGCTAATATAACTTATTATAATTATTATATCTTTTAAGCTACTGAATTCTACTTATTTATTTCTTTAAATATTGACTTGATCTTTCTAATAAATATTCTATAATTAATAAATGTTTTATTAACTTTATTATCTTATTTATCTTCTATTTTATCGAACTATGTTTTTATATATAGTTTAAATTAATCTATTGCATTCTCTTCTAAGAAGGTGGAGGTAGCTAGAACTTTATTTACTTCTCTTATAAGTAGGTGAATATTAACTACAAAATAAAGCTATATTTATACTAAGAAAAATTATAGACTTTTATAATCTTCTTTAAATAGTATTAGTTTATTAACTTTAAATTAAGGTTTTAAAGCTTGAGTAGCTTCTAATTTAATAATTCTAGCTTTTATTATTATTATTTCTTAAATTATTAGGATTCTATTACTTATAGTACTCCTAGTTGATATTTCTTCTATTATATTAGGTAATTTACTTTTTTAAGTAATATTTTTCTAATATAATAATATTCTCTTATCTAATAGTACTTTATTCCTAGTATATCTTAAAATTAAGATAATAGCTCTTTTATTATAGACCTAGATCTATCTTAGTTAAACAGTATTATATTAAAGTACGCTAGGCTTTACTAAACTATATAAAGGTTTAGAATTAAATATTAATATAGTAGACTAAGTGAATAGGATAATAATAGTTAATTAAAAATAAAAGTCTTAATATAACTAAAATAGAAGAGATCTCTTGTATAGCTTAATGCTTATATAAGTATAAATGCCTTACTAACTCTTATTATTATATTTAAGTAATTTATATTAAAAAGCTATAAAAAATGATTAAATATATAATAAATAAGTATATTTATATAGATCCCTTCAGTATATACTTTAGTATATATATCCCTAGAAGTGTATACTCTATATACATTTCCTAGTGTTTTCTCGCGCACATCTTAGTATATATTTTGTGTTATATGTTCCTAATTAGTCATTCTTAAGTTCATATCTTTAGCTGACCGCCCGCGTACCTAGTCGTGGAAATGACTAGACGTGGTGTTAGCTGCTATAACAAACGCCTTCCCTTAATAGTACTAGATTCTGCCTAGTATCATGCAAGTTGGTTTCGTAACAGTTTCGTAACAAATACTTATTCCTGGGTTTGGTTTAGTGTGGAGTGCGGGGAAAATACGGGTAACCTTAAATATTTTTCTTCTTGAGGACTTCTTCTTAACCTGCTCAGCTCCCAGAACTCTGTCACTCCCATACAAGATACTGCAGCATATCTTATCCGATCGTTAGTCGCCACTCAATACCGACATCCAGTCTTCTAGTCGCCATGCGTACTGCTCCCAACATTATAATCACCGGCACCCCCGGCGTGGGCAAGACAATCCACAGTGAACAAGTCGCCCAAGACACTGGTCTGCAGCACATGTCCATAAACGACATTGCCAAGCAACGCGATTGCTACGATGGATATGATGAGGAGCGATTGAGTTGGATTATTGACGAGGACAAGGTGTGTATTATTCGCTATCTTTTTTGCACTCCGTCTTGTTCCACTCCGTCTTGTTCCACCCCTCTTGACTCTGTGCTGATAAGTCTCTTCTCTGCCCGATAGTTACTAGACGCGATTGAGGATGATGTAACAAAGGGCGGATATATAATCGACTGGCATGCGTGCGATCTATTTCCCAAGTCCTGGATAGACTTGGTTGTTGTTTTGCGTTGTCCTTCCACGGCTGTTTACTACGACCGATTGTCCTCGAGGTACGGTTTATACATGTGGTTTCTCTGCTAAATACGAAGAGTTTCTGACAAGGCCTGCTATATACAGAGGATACACAGAATCAAAGGTGGACGAAAACATGGACGCTGAAATTTTCGGACTATTACTCGAAGAAGCCAAAGAGGCCTATGACGAGGAGATTGTCATTGAATTGACGAGCGAGAATAGCGACGAGATTGAAAGCAATTGCGCGAGGATATCTGCCTGGGTAGAGGCTTGGAAAAAGTCTCATTCCGAAGAAGCTACAGATGCCTGAAGGATACAACACTTTTGCTCCTCCATATCTAACGGGTATAAAAATAGAAGGCTAGCTGTCTGTGTATAAACGCTGCGTATGCCGGCGACTGACGCCTCTTTACGAGCTCGGGTTCGCCTCATTCTCAATCAACCACGCTTTCAATTTCATGAGGGCTTTGTAGCGGTGGGAGATTTTGTTCTGGAAGATGATGTCAAACCGGTTATTCTTGACTAGACGCTGCCGCCAGTCTCACTCACCTTTTCCTCTTTGTCCATCTCTGCATATGTTTTGTCCTGGTATTCGAAGATGGGGTCCCAGCCTATATTTTGCGGGTGTCAGTCAGTCATTCACACCGGACAAACTGGCATGCAAATCATATCGAAGAAAAATTCTCGGAAAATAACAGTCAAACATACCAAAATTTGGCGGTCCTCGCGCGGAAACAATTTTTCCCTACACCAACAATCCTCAGCATCGGTAACTCATTCAGACCATGTGCCACGAGAGAGATAGACATACCAAAGTCCTCCCTTGGAAGATCAGGGGTTCTTCACCGGGTCCATTCGAGAAAGCAAATGTACACACTGCTTCTGCGGAACGATCATCGAAGGAATCGAGCATTTTGTTGAGACCCTCATGCCCTAGAGCCTCGAGAAATGATTTACTATATGTATATGACAATGGTTATTTGTTTCTCCTTACTTAATAGTCTGTAGGCAAAATCAATGTATGAGCTGTGGTAGTGACATACATGTATGGGCCCGGAAGGCCTTTGTAGGCGTGGAACTCGAGTGCAGTGTCCTCTGTCAAGACTGGACCTCCCACCTGGTACTAAACGTAAGCATCTCGTACATACAAGTTTGACTAAAAAGAGTGAATATGTGTCTCGATGTATGAGGATACACAATCCCCTCGTAAATCATCAATTGAACCATTGGTTCAAAAACCATCAGTAAAGAGCACACATACCGCATCAGCAGCCCTCCGACATTTCTCCTTCGCAATCTCCTCGATAGTCCCCTGTATCTCGGGCACATCGACAGACCTGTTGTCGACGACGACAGCATCGCCCAGGATGGCGCGGACCTCGCTGAGTTTGTTTTTGTTGCTGGTTATAAAGTTGAGTGTTTTCATTTTGGCGTTTCGTAGATTTGTCTGTCCCGGCTCATGTATAGAAAGTTAAAAAGTTCGGATGAATAGTGTTGAATGTATGAGGGGAAGATATACATTTTTATTGTTGTGGAGAGAGTGGGTCCCTTAAAATATGATTAGGCATTTTACATACGATCCAAATAAACCAGTAGAAGATCTTGACTCATAAGTATCATGCAAGATGATACCAGGATACAACATGTTGGAATAACGCTCTAACCAGTAAGAATAGTAAGGAACAATACAATACACTAACCAGGTGCTCTTCAATAATCACACACATGATCAAATAGGTATGGTCTCATGAAATCCATCAAGAACTGCAGCTAGTCTCTAGAGAACAAAATTTGAAAAGGGGAAAGTGAAAACAAGAATTTGTTATACGTACATACATCTTAGAAGATTGAAGAAGAAGAAGGGAAATCTCTGAGGATATGGGGAAGAGAGAGAACAACGTTAAGTCGTAAACTGGTCATAGAACGAGCTTTCAAATGATCAAAAAGGCTACTCAGTATCTGTCGTTGCGCCGTTCTCTGTCACATCGATCTTGTCTTGTTGTGCCATTGCTTGAGCTGAGACTATCTCTGCGAGCCGTTTCAGTCGAGGTGTTTGCAGCCCTGTATCACAATCGGTCAGCAAGGAGAAGAAAAAAAGTACAGGCAGGATATACGAACATGAAGGGGTGTACGTCTCTAGAGCTGTGATTACTCGTGGCTCAGCAATCTCATATGGTCCGCTATCATCCATGTCGACTGCCGTGAGAAGGAGGACATCACTCTTCTCGGTCACGCGAGATGCGACTGCCTTCATAATCTCTCCATTGATGGGCTGCTCGTAATCTGCTACAAGATACTGGTTCAACAGCTTCTGAATCTGGGTGGGGGATAGCCTGAAATCAAAAACTTAGCATCTGGTCTGATTATATGCTGAGTAAATGGAGTAAACTTACATCCAGCAGATATCTTGTATAATCTCAATATCATTCAAAGTAGCCTTCTTAAGTTGGAGGAGCTTAGTCGCTTGCTATTCGACAAAGTTAGCATCCATTAGTCTATATGTTTGGACATTTTAGACATACCATGAGATGTTCCAATTGTAGGGTACCCTCTGGCATGTCATGACTCTTGCACCATTCCTCGATGCGAGTGATGTTGTAGTTGATTTGGAGACCACGCTTCCAGGAGAGGAAGTTGCGTCGCATGAGCAGATCGTTAAATGCAGTGACACCGACAAGTCGCAAGAGTTCCGTGATTGTCTGGTTGATGATCGTGTCCTCGAGATAGTAAGCCTTCATTGCCTTGAACACATTGTTCAAAAGACTGAGAAGGTTATCCATGCTGTAAGCAGGCGAGTTGTTCGACGGTAAGAGCTTGCCCAAGAATCGGTTAGTCTCGCTCGTAACAAATCCAGGGAGAGATTGAGATTCAATGATAGCTGGCACAATCATTTTGTACAGTTTCTTCTTGAGAACCTTCATCCATGTGTGGTAAATGTTGAATTCAAGACTCTCAAGATCGTGCTTGACGATCTCCAAAAGACGATCATACTCGTAATTGTCTGTCTTCTGAGCCTCGTACCAATCTTCCGCCAAGAATACGAACGAGAGCATCTCATGAACATTCGAAAGCCAGAAAGCGCCAGGGTTGACGGCTTCCTCACCGTCATGCTGCATGACTTCTTGCTGAATGGACTGCATGACGTTCGCCAGGAAGCGTTCCGACTCCTTAACAAATCCGTTGTTCCACATCTCAGATGTGACGAGATTAATAAGGTAAGAAGGAAATAGGACTTCCTTCTCGGTGGGCGGAGGACTCGCTCCAGGCAAGGGAATCTTGAGGTTGCGAATGAGACCCATGGTGACTTCTTCGTTCAGCTCCTCTTCCGCAGACAGCAAATTCTCTAACTCGCTTTCAATAGAGTCGACACTAGGAGAGAAGTTTGCTCCTGATACAGCCTGACGTACCATGGCAGAGTTTGGAATCGCCATGGATACTGGTCGAGGATTGTATGCACCACTGAATCGATCCGTCTCGATTTTCTCGGCACCAGCACTCCTGCGCTTAGGCTTGGACTTCTTGGACGATACGAGGTTGATAAGACCGTTCATAGGAGTTTGGGTAACAGCGCCATTCTGCAGTTCTCCGGCAACACCGTTCACAGGCGCGGACTTTCTTGCAATTTCTAGTTGCTCTTGAAGCTCTGTCAATTGACCTCGCAAGGAAGAATTTTCGTCCTCGTGAATCGAGGTTATTTCCCTCAATTTCTTGAGCTCAAGGTCAGCGACACGAATCGACTCACGTGACGTCCGCTCCTCTTCCTGCAGACGTTTGATAGTAGATAGGGCTTCAGTGTGATTTTGCTGAAGCTTGGTCATCTCCTCTTCCATGGCTGATAGACGAGCAGCTGTAATACCGGCTTGGTTCGCTTCGGCTTGGAGTTCCTTAGAGCGAGTCTCCAAAGCAGTATGGCGGCTACGCCAGGATTTGAGCTGATTCTCGTAATTCTCAAGCTGTCCGACAAGTGTCTTGTTCTCGCGTTTCAACGAGCCCAAAGACTGAGTCAGTTCGACGACCTTATTCTCAAGCTTGTAGGAAATCTGCTTGAGATCACGAGCTTCCTCACGTAATTTCTTATACTCACGACGGGCTTTCTTGCCCCTCCACAGGTTCTGGATGATGATGACCTTTCGGCGGTATTGTCGCCACTCACGCAACTGTTTCCAGGAGCGCCATGCACGCTGGATTTTCTGCGCTGCATCGCCAAGGATAGTGTCCATAATGTTTCGTCGTCGAATAAAACCCTTGGCGATCGATTCAAAGAGAACGATATTGGCCCTGATCTCGTTGTACGCCTTGCGTTGTTTTTGACCCCTCCATACTCTCTGGATTGTGGTAGCTGCTTTGATCTGACGAATCTCATCGGCACGTTGTCTTGCTAGGAACCCACGAATGACCGATTGTGTGGTCAAGATAGATTCGSGAGCCTCTAGATAGCGACGCCTATAGTATTTACACTTGAGGTTCTTCTGGATCATGATGGCACACTCATTCAACCTGGAAGTTCTCAAATTCTCCAAGAAGGCAAGCATACCGGCTCGGAAGAAGATCTTGGTCAGACCGAGTTGATACTTGTCTTGTTTCTGTTGGCTTATATCTCCGAGCGCCTTTCGCAAAATCGCATGGCACATCTCTTTGATCTCAGATGTCCACTGAGAAGAATGGCAGAGCATATAGTATCTTAGAGCAAACTCTTCGTATGTCCATCGTGTAGGATAGCCGGCGGTACTGATTCGCACAGTTTCCAGAACACCACAAGCTCGAAGTTGGCTCAGAACCATGGGCCCCTCAAACTTCCAGGCTTCTTTGGCTTCATTGGGCTTGATACATCGGATATAGTGTACATCTGTGGAGTTGATCGTATGCATGAGCTCAATGAGCGAGGATTTGAAGATTCCTCCCAATGTGGGTTTCCTGTTCACTGCGACACCAACGCGTCGGCCAGGAGCAGCCACGGGTTTTGAAGCAACTGCTGCTGAATCTTTTTCACGAACGACAGAGGCAGCTTCCAGTACTTCCTTGACGAAGGAATTAGTGGAATTTCTGAGAATCTCCATGTGCTCATCAGGAACAGTATCCCTGTTCTTCTCAATGAATCCCTCCGATTCGTAGGTGACATCAATGGCATAATGGCACACAGTGAATGCGGACTTTCCAAATCGAGGTTTCTTGTAGAACTTTTGTTTATCGGCTGCAAAGTTATGGTGAAGTTTGGTAACGAATTGGTCATCAGAGCCCATTGGTAATCGAGACTCCTCATCAAGAAGAGACAGGATACCGAGTTTGCCCTCGATCAAGTCGATACAAGGTTGGTTGTCGGAGAAATCAATAAAAGTCCAGTCGATCTGTTCGCGCACGTATTCTTCCTGTTCCAACTTGAAGACATGCTGATTGAATTCCTGTTGCAGCTTTTCGTTCGCATAGTTGATACAAAACTGTTCAAAGGAGTTCTTTGCGAAATGCTCAAAACCGTAAATATCCAAAACACCAATGAAGGATTTCACTTGACTCATGACTTCATCAGTAGCTAGAGCTCGGTTGATTTTGTCTACGAGCCAGTCGAACAGACTTGAATAAATGAACTTTGCCACGGAGTCTCGGACGACTATAGCTTGTTGCTGAGTGAGATTGGATGTGATCTTCTCACCACGAGTGATGAGCTGTTTCTTCACGATCCACTTCGCGAACTCGTTGGCATCGATGCCCAGCATCTCGCAAGCCTTCACAAGCGACGGCTCCGTTGGGGATAACGTTGAGTCTGTACGCGTTGCAGTGATCTTCACATTCCCTAACTGGAGCAGTGAAGCCAAGATTTTGAAAATGGAGGATTGGGTCTCTTCAGGAACACCAATGGTAGTCAATGATTTCTTCGTGGCCTCGAATTCCGCCTTGTCATCGACGCCGTCGATTGTGGGGGTTGATCCTTGGTTCAAATAATCAAAGTCCTCCACGGAGACAAGCCCAAGCGCTTCACGCTCGGCGTCTGTAGCACCAGCAACTAGTTGATAGAATATATGGTAATTTCGTTCTTTCAGCGGCTGGAAAACGAGCCTTGAGCGTTCCAGCAGGTAGGTTCGTATTTTGGCGCCAATGATGTTGGTCTTCTCATCAAACATGATCTCAATATATTTTCCAAATCGTGACGAATTGTCGTTTCTCGTCGTTTTCGCGTTACCGAAGGCTTCCATGACGGGGTTGGTAGCCAGAATCTGCTCTTCGGTTTTACTGATTGTCTCCGACCGACCTGTCGTGAACCGGCCTGGCTGGTCCGAAAAGTCTCTTGTAGCAAAGTATCTCATAATATATTTAGCGCTGACAGTCTTTCCAGCTCCGGATTCACCGGATACGACGATGGTCTGATTCTTCCCGTCTCGCAACATATCCCTGAATATTCAGTCAACACGGTTCCTCGAAAGAAATCTTGTATAGAAGCGGAACTCTTACGCAAAAGCTTCCTCGGCGATAGCGAAGAGATGGGGCGCTTGGGAAGCACGTTGCTTCCCGGCATACACCTGTACCATCTGAGGGACATAAAGCGAGTCTACTCTGGCGAAGGGATTCGTTGCGATCAGCACAATTCCGCTGTATGTATAGATTTCTTTCTGTGAGTATCGCAATTTGATAGCCTGCAGAACTGCAAGGTGTCAGCGACGGCCGTTTCGCAATTCTTCCACGTTTCTTACCAGCAGGCTCATTCAAATGTGATAGATTCGTAAGATCCTCACTCGCCTCGAGCATCGCTGGGTTCATCAATGGCGGAAGCGACGGGTTGTTCGGTACTTGCAACTCTGCGAGTGTGGTCTCCACGGTTTTGGACTGATAGGCATTGCGGTCAGCGCAACGCATATCGAATACTTTCCTCTTCTACTGAGGAACGCAAACAGACAAAACAAATACATACCTCGCCATTCTCCAGTAAGAAGATAAGCGTCACCTTGTCCCCATCAACGGTTTTCTCCTTAACCTCCGACGCAACCCAGCCCTCTGTCTGGTCTGGCTGCCATGCTGCAGTGCCGACCTCATAGTTATTGGCCATGGTATATCGAGTATTTTTCTATAGATCGGACGTGATCGAGAACAGCAGACGCAGGAACGAAAAGGACAGGAGGTCACAGATCCGAGGTGAGAGCCGGCATCTATGACCGGAAATGCAATCACAGACGAAGGGACAGATAGACGGGGTCGTTGGTCGATGATGCGGGATGGGAGAACAAAAAAAGAAAAAGCAGAAAGCTAGTCTGCGTTGATAGAAGACATAGAGAGAAAGGATGTAGACGACGCAAAGCAGGTGACAGGCAGCAAGGTAGATAGTAGTCAAAGGAATAACAATAATAAAATATCGAGATGGATGAAGGCTGGGTTAAAGTAAAGCTGGCTGGCCACTAGCGAGCCGCGGCGGCGCAACCCCTGAGGAAGTCCGAATGACGGCCAAAGCTTCTTGGTGTCCATCCTACAGCTCGGTTCCAAAACTGCGATAAACACTACGGAGAGTTAAGACTCTCCTGAATATCTATTTCTCTAGATAATACGAACATGTCTATTTACTTCATAAGTACTAGGTTGTTCATGCTCTTCTCTATTACACGCTGGCTCCTGGCCCCGACGTGATCTACCAGTGGCCCTTAGGGAAACATACTAAGTCACTAACAGAGAAACGAAGCTGAAACATTTCGATACTAACAAAATCACCCTTAGTAGAAAAATGCAGTAAGTAATTCCACCGCAAAACGAAATATGACGAGTAGATTTCGGTATGACTTATCGACTAACCAGCTCCTGTCAAAATAAAAACTACGGCGTGATCCACGTTTCCAAAGACGTAATTTGATTATGAGCCATTTTAAAGTCTGAAGAGATGTATGACTAGCAACAGCACAGGAAGAGGAGTAAGGAAAACAAGAGGAGAAAAAGAAAAAGATGAGATGAAAAGTGAAATCACCCTAACTCCGCCGATTCTGATCACTTGGTGACATCCAAAGAAACGATGCGGCCGTCCTCTGCATAGGAGGCGTTCTGTCGATAAAGCGCTCCGATGTTTTTTCTATAGACATAAGCGAGCTTGGGTCGAAGATGAGAGCAGGTATTATATGTATTAGGCTTTGAATGAGGCGTGGGGGGTAATCGACAAAACTGGGTGAGATTGCTTGGACGAATTCGCACATGGCCATACCGTTCAGACAACTCGAGAACACTGGGTTGGATTAGTCGCGGACACTTCAGCTCGTCTTGCACTCTGCCTGTTCCTTTTTGGGCTTCGAGGTTCCATCCTGCTATGAATTAGTAAACCGTTTATATGTAAACTTGTAAGCGCAAAACATGCAACACACCTCTTCGTCGGATTCCTCGTCACCGTTGTCAGATCGCCTCTCCTCATCATCGTCATCGTCTTCATCGTCCTCGTCGTCGAAATCAAACTCTTCGTCATCTTCCATTTCTTCTCCGAGCTCCTCAAATTGAAGAGCTTCACCGGTGAACCAGTCAATAGCACGTGGAATCAGCTTCTCCTTAATATCTTCACCAAGCTGGTAGTCGAGCTCTAGTCGTTCCTCGATATCACTGGTGGCATCATCTTCCTCGACGGGAGGTTTAGGTGGAGAGAAAAAGTTGAAGAAGGACTCGGTAGGCACTGTGACCTTGACGACACGAGTCTGTTTTGTGCCTAGATTCAAACAACAGGTTAGCACGATGAGTATTGACTCCCGATCCGCGAATAAACGTACTTCTGTTTCGCTGCTTTTTGCTCTCCACACGAACAGTAAGGTTCTTGTCTGCTTTCCAGTCGATCTTATCGCCCTCGGCGTGGTCGTAGATGAAGTCGCCGCCGTATCCGCTCTCCTCTTGGTAGTAGTATGTCTTGGAGATTGTTTTATTGGTGAAGAATTCATTTTCAGAGAACTCGAAAATAAGACGGAATCCGGGTCGGTCAAGGTATTCCATGCGAATGTCAGTGAGATGTTTAAGGGCTTCCTCATCGCGCTCAGTGATCATCTCAACAAGGGAAACTTGATTTTTCATGGCGGAAAGCCAGAACTCTGGGATACCGGACACATTGGCTTCCTCGGCCGAAGCCTCGGTCTTCTCCTCGGTCTCCTTCTTGGATTCCTCGTCGTCATCAGCCAGCTCAGCCTCACCAGCTTCGATCTCATCTTCTGTAGGTTCGACAGCACCATTCACAATCTCGAAACGTCTCTGATATAACGGTGTGAATTTTTGAAGATATTTCTTTTCCAACTGTAGTACTTCCTCCTGAAACTCGGCCTCGAGCTTGGCGTGGTCCTTTTGGATACCCTTGAGACCGGCGACACGACGGCGGACGGGCAAGGGCAGTGATTCGATGTAGCCTGATGAGCGTCCGATGAGAGAGCCCAGACGGCCTTGGATCATTGAGACCAGAGCTGGGTTCTTTGCGAATAAGCTTGCGGCAGCGGCGGCATCAAGATTTTCTGTGCAAAGACGATGATTTAGCTTCTCCAGTGGCGAAAGTGGTGGAGATGAAACGCAAAATAAGAAAGACAAAAAAAACACTTAACATACCCTCTGAGATGCTGGCTACACCTGGCTGCTGAGCATGAGAAGAGATGGGGGCATTGGTAGCAGGTGTATTCTGTGGGGTTCTGTAGCAGGAAAGTGAACTGTCAGCTTGTGGCTATCTCTGTGCAGCAGTTGCGATCGATGCATGATTCAATGAGGGGTAGAGGGCTGGAATAGGTGGTTACGCACGGGGCGACTGGGAAATCAGCCTTTTTATTTCTGATAGGCTCTGACATGATGGCGACCAAGTGAGAATGCGATGGGAAATGCGGTAATATGAAAAAGAAATGTCGGTGGTGAGGTGGGAAGAGGAAGAGGGAGAAAAAAAAAGCGTTGTTGAGTCTGGCGTGTCCAGAGTTTTGGAGGTGAAGAAAGGAAGGAGCGTCTCTGGTGGGAACCTTAGCGTCGGCTTGGCGCTTGTTGAGAATTTCCGCATCAAGTATTACCAGTACATCTATTACACATAATATATGCTATATACTAAGTAAGTAACTACCATGTACCCTATATAAAATTTACGTCCTTGTTGGTTGGTAAGGGGCATATCTTCTGTCAGACAGCACATTAAATTAATAGATACTCATACAGCTCCACGTTTTGAATCATCGGTATAAATCACGACTGTATCGGTCGTTTTATACACGTATCAGTAACAAGAGCGTAAGTTATATGTTCAAACGTCAACGTAGTACGGCGAGCTTTGCAAGTATGAATTCTGCCCTTAAAACACGGTCAAGAACTCTCAGTCACATATAGCACGGTTCTACACGGTCTCCAGCTCATCACCAAGCATAATAGACATGCTTTCTCAACGCCGGCCTAATCAGGTCTGATCGCCCTCAGTTCATAGGTATGATCGTACGTGCGGTCTTTCGGAACGTTCCGTACAATACACACCAAGATTACAGAGCTCCCGCGATATGATAAGCAATGATGGCAACCCACTCTTGCCCTTCGCCGCTATTCCACCACCACGACAAGTCAAAGATCACTTCAGATTGATCTTTACTGCTGCACACGACACCGCATTCCAACCCCCCCGTGCTGGATGTTGTCGCCGGGGAATAGCTATATTACGTCATGTGCCTCCATTACTAGGCTGGGCTAAAAATCTCTAAAGCTCCCGCCGCAAATATAGACCAAATCAAATCGTTCAAAATCTCTGCAGCAAAATGTCGCGGCAGGGCCCAAGTAATGGGTCTTGGGTGGCCTCTAATGGGTACAGGAGGAACTCCATGAGAAGCAGGTTGGTCACAGTTCAGAAAGTCTAGCCACGGATACTTACTGAGCATAACTACCAGTGTGAGCATCGCGTCCGATGTGGAAATGGCGCATGACGAAGTAAGTACTTTTTGGATTATTGAGCTCTCTGATAGCAAGCTAATAACTCTTTAAAAGGTTTTCTCTGGACCCATGTCCGAGAGCGTGCCATCGAGCATTGCATCCTTCGCCCACCGTCGTCCCCGTCAAGACTCGATAGTCACTTTCACCTACCTCACGGAGGACGAAGACAATCTAGAACAAGGCCCCGAAGAAGCTGTTGCATACGACAGCGATCTAGAGGATGGAATTTTGTTCAATGACCGCGACGGTGTCGAGTCTGTTGTTTCACTTTCAAAGCACCACCGGCGATCTACAGAGTCTTACGTATCCGCCGAACATCCGCTTTTGGATAGGCATGAATCCACTCAATCATTCCTGGAACGGAAAAAGGCTGGTAATCGCATTAGCCAAAAGATTTATATTGCGACGGAGGACTTGACCGCAGTGATTACCGGATTCTGTACAAACACCTACGGTTTTGGGCTATACATTTTTCTGTGCGTGATCTCTCTGGGTGTGGGCTATCTCGTCCTTCGTTGGATACCAAGGTGGCGCCTTCAATTGATAGGGACCACCGCACCGCTCAAGGACTGTCGATGGGCTGTGATTGAGGTCAGTCATTTTTCATGTAGAGGTTGCGATGTGCCGCAGGAGCTAACATGGTTTTTGTAGGATCAATATGGACAATTCAATATTCACCAGGTCTCTAAACAGCCCTATGGATCCCCGCTATCTACCGTCATTGACGTAGTATCACTCGGCATTCGCGCTGATAATGATGAAGAGAATGACCCAATTTTGACTCATCTTAGGCTTTTGGAGTACAGGTATCTACGTTTCGTATATAACCCTGTGGACGATACATTCCAGTCCGTCAGTGGCTGGAAAGACCCTACATGGACGAGTACCAAACTTATGCGGTCAGGTTTGGATGCCGACGAGAGAGATAATAGGGAACTTGTATTTGGCCAAAATCTGATCGACGTGCAACAAAGATCAATGCCTCAACTTCTAGTCGACGAGGTAGGAGTTCCGTGTCATAGAGGGATGTTGCTGACTAACAATCATGTTTAGGTGCTTCACCCTTTCTATATCTTCCAAATTGCAAGCTTGACCTTGTGGTCCATGGACCAATATTACTACTATGCTGTCTGCATTTTCCTCATTTCTGTCTTCAGTATTACTGCAACTATACTTGAGACACGCTCAGTAAGCAAACCCGATAAATACTGTGTTGTTCAAGATGACTGACTTGGCTAGACAATGGCACGCCTGAAAGAAGTTTCCCATTTCGAGTGCAATGTACGAGTTTTGCGGAACGGATTTTGTAGGTGCCAAATGGCCTTTTTCACATTGAGCGTGTATCTAATCATACACACAGGGCGAACGGTCTCATCTGTCGATTTAGTTCCAGGAGACGTCTTTGAAGTCTCGGATCCATCCCTTACCCAGGTGCCATGCGACTGCTTGCTATTATCTGGCGACTGCATAATCAACGAAAGCATGCTTACAGGTGCGTAGTAGTCTTTACAACGTGTAATGGTGTATTCTGACAGGTATCATCAAGGTGAATCCGTTCCTGTATCGAAGATACCGGCTACAGAGGATGTACTCGACTATCTTGACCTGAAAGCCCCTTCTATCAATCCAACAGTGGCCAAGAATTTCCTCTTTTACGGCACAAAGATTATTCGGGCAAGACGGCCTCGCCAATCCAACGATGATGTCGAAGCTGTTGCTCTCGGTATCGCGTTACGAACCGGTTTTTCTACGACCAAAGGCTCCCTTGTTCGCTCAATGCTCTTCCCTAAACCATCAGGATTCAAGTTCTATCGCGATTCGTTCCGGTATATCTCTGTTATGGGAATTATCGCATTACTCGGCTTTACGGCATCCTTTGTGAACTTTATCAGGCTCGGGGTAAGTAAATCAGATGTGGAATCACCATGCTTGACATCATCTAACTCTTGTAGCTTCCTTGGCATACTGTTGTGGTTAGAGCTTTGGATCTCATCACTATCGTCGTCCCACCGGCTCTTCCGGCCACTTTGACTATAGGGACGAATTTCGCTATATCTAGGCTGAAAAAGCAGCAAATATACTGTATCAGCCCTCAAAGGTATGCCAAACACTAGCTAAGCTTTGTATAATTCTCGCTAATTGAATCAGGGTCAATGTCGGAGGCAAGCTAGACGTTGTCTGTTTTGACAAGACGGGCACTTTGACAGAAGATGGACTGGATGTGCTTGGCCTTSGAGCCGTTAACAAAGACAGAAGGTAATTAGCAGAGAGTCTCAGGTCTCCCGTATCAGCTCTTACTGACTGTGAATACAGTTTCAGTGACATGTTCTCAGATCCCAATGATATGGTGTCGGCTGCTCGCTCTCAGCGAAGCCCTAATATGGACTATGACAAATGCCGAGACATAATTTGTACGATGGCTACTTGTCATTCCCTTCGAGTCGTTGACGGAGAACTTCTCGGGGATCCGTTGGACATCAAAATGTTTGAATTCACGGGATGGACATTTGAAGAGGGTGGAAACACCCAGGTTGAGCAACAAGAGGACGCTACCGGCGATACTATTATACCGTCTGTGGCAAGACCTCCAACTGGCAGTCACGATTTTCAAAAGGACCAGGTTCGTCTTGGGACCCGTTCAGGACCATAGTTGATGACCAGTATGCTTATTCTTCGTCTAGGTCCCACTAGAACTGGGTGTTCTTCGGTCATTTGAGTTTGTCTCACACCTTCGACGTACTAGTGTCATTGTACGACAATTTGGTGAAAATGGGGCTAGCGTGTTCGTTAAAGGTGCGCCTGAGTGTATGAAGGAGATTTGCCATGCCGATACTCGTGAGTATAAATTACTTTCTAGTTTTGAAAAAGCTCTAACAACATCTTATTAGTTCCGCCTGATTTCGAGGACCTGTTGAGCCATTATACGCATAGGGGATATCGTGTTATTGCCTGTGCCGCGAAATATGAGCCCAAATTAAGTTGGAGGAAGATTCAGAAAATATCTAGAGAACAGGCTGAATCCAGTCTCAGCTTCCTAGGCTTCATTGTCTTTGAAAACAAATTAAAAGACACAACTACGCCGGTCATCACAGACTTGAGAGAAGCCGGCATACGCACTGTCATGTGCACAGGAGATAACATTCTCACCGCCATCAGTGTTGCCAGGGAATGTGGACTCATAGATCGAAATTCGCCATGCTTTGTTCCCCATCTTGATAGTAAGTACATAGCTCTTCCGACAAGATGAGGTGTGTCTAATTCATCTAGGTACTCATCATCTGGATCCGAGTGCTTCTTTGACATGGGAAAGCGTGGATGACCCAACTGCAAAGCTTGACGAGAAGACTCTTATGGTGAGCATACCTTACCCCACTGATCACCTAGGTCTTCCTATGTACTTATAAGAGGATACTAGCCCGTGTGGAACCCTGCAACGCATGATGTCTCTATACCTTTGAATAAGCTTAATGCAGATTCATATTCGTTGGCTGTCAGTGGAGACATATTCCGCTGGCTCATCGATTACGGCTCCGAAGATCTGATAGAAAGAGTGAGCAATATAGAATGTATGAAGTGGAATGAAGATTTGACTGACGAAAGTTCAGGTCCTCGTCAAGGGTCAAGTATTTGCTCGAATGTCGCCTGATGAGAAGCATGAGCTCGTTGAGAAGCTTCAATCATTAGATTACTGCTGTGGATTTTGTGGCGATGGAGCCAATGATTGCGGTGCACTCAAAGCAGCGGATGTTGGTATTTCATTGTCAGATGCTGAAGCCTCGGTTGCTGCTCCTTTCACCAGCCGCGTATTTGACATATCCTGTGTTCCGATATTGATAAAGTGAGTGGCTCGAATCTATTGCATCTACACTTTTGACCTTTTCCTAGGGAGGGCCGAGCTGCATTGGTCACAAGCTTCTGCTGTTTCAAATATATGAGTCTCTACTCCGCTATACAGTTCACATCTGTCAGCTTTTTGTATACATCTGCGTCGAATTTGGGTGACTTCCAGGTCAGTCTCAAGATCTTCTGCGCAACGATTATGACTAACAACACGAAAGTATCTCTACATTGACTTGGCCCTAATATTGCCAATTGCCATATTCAGTAAGTTTGAAGGGATCAATCAAATATAAGGAGATTTTATTGACTTGTCATCTAGTGGGATGGAACGATCCGTTTCCAGTACTATCTCGAAAGCGGCCAACGGCCGACCTTGTCTCTCGAAAGGTCTTGACACCTTTGATCGGCCAGATAATACTTGCAGTTTTGACACAATTGGCTGTGGTTGAGACTGTTAGGACTAGACCTTGGTATGATTATATTAATTGATTCATCTGGATGTCGGCTTACATGCTGGATAGGTACATACCCCCGAAGGTCGATGTCGAAGACACCAACATCGAAAATTCTGAAAATACGACATTGTTCCTTATTTCGTGTTATCAGTATATACTTTCTAGCGTTGTGCTGAGTGTTGGACCACCATTTAGACAGCAAATCTACAAGAACGGTTAGTACCTTCGATACCACATCCGAATCTAGCTTGCTAATACACATTTAGCTCCTTTCCTCGTCACACTATTCCTGACACTCGCACTTTCGACCTTCATGTTGAGTGAAGCATCAGACATCGTCATGACCGTAATGCAATTGACACCGATCACTTTGAGCTTCGAGTTCTTCATTGTGATTCTGGCTATATGCAGTTTTGCAGCGTCATGGGTTGCGGAGAACTACGTTTTTCCTGCCCTCGCCCGTAACATCGGTCGTGCAATTACTTTCGTCCGACCAAAAAAAGAGAAGAACCGTCGTCGATATAAAGTTCTCTTGGAACGGATGAGGTCGTGAAAGGGATGTGATACGAACTGTACTATCATCGGTTACATGCGTCAATAGCCAGGTCGGCCATGATCTCAGATCTATTTGAAAACCTACTGTATATATAGATCACATAAAATTGCAGTCTTGTAAAAAGTCATGAAATTCCTGTTTAAATATACAAATCTATGAGGTCCGCAACTTCCCTCTACCGAAAAGACACTGATATCACGTAATACACTATGATAGAGATTGGGAACAGGACTTGAAAGCAGGCTGATCTTGCAMCCCGCCACTAGATCAATCATATGAGGATGTCCTTAATGCAAAATTTCCGCATATTTTTTTCGACTCAACGAAGGACGCGGCGAGGGTATCGTTTCGAGAGGGTAAATCAATGATCCCAAGGATGTTTCCAACCAAGAAGAGCCGGGCCGTCTTTCTTTGCGCGGTACATCAACTACGACGAGCAATTAGTACACATCACCAATGATTTCCTGAAGCAAGCCCTGCGTTGCAAGATGCGGATGGATGAGACGTACGAAAAACCACATGCTGGCTCCCAATGCGGTCGCAGTGAATCGGTACAGAGGCCGGGCCGGATGAACGTGGATGGGGTGTTTGCCAGACATGGCTGTCTATTGTGTTTGGTTAGAACTCTATCAATCGACTTTATATCGACTAGCAGAAGGAATTGACTCACTTGTTGTCTGGGAACGCCACTCGAAATGTGATTCTTGTGAATTAAAGATGGTGTAATGCTCCAGGACGGTTGTCCAAGCGGATGTCTCGACGTTCCGGATGTGAGATCACGTGATCCTCTAGCGGAGATCATCGCTCTAATCTTATCTGCCGCAGCTAGCCTTGTCGAGACGTTCATCAGTGAGCTTATACAACTCATCAACATTGGATTGCGCCAGACACATGTTTACCATCACAACATAAAGGACCAGGTATTCCACAGGGAAAATTCCTTTATCTGGACTTCCTTTTAATAACGCGTTTTCTTTCATTCACTTGACAGAATGACTCCCGTCTTGGTTACATGATACCTCAATCAATTTCCTCAGCGTCCTTTTGTGCTTGGACTGAGCTACAAACGCTTCGGTCATTGTCTCTTTGCTCAGTCGAGATCCACGTCGGTTTGGTTTCAGTTCGAAATTTTCAAGCGCGAAAATGGCCCTAGAATCATCTCCATCATCACAACGGCCGTCTCTAGAACGGTACGAGGACGGCCAAGCACGTTTCCAAGGATGTTCGAAAATAGGCGACTTCGAGTTTTTGGAAAAGCTGGGTGAGGGTACATTTGGGTCAGTCTATCCCGCATATAAATGGGGGCATAATTGACGTGGTGATTTGATGAAGAGAGGTTTACAAAGCTCGAAGTAAGAGAGATGGCACTGTTGTTGCCCTGAAGAAGATTCTCATGCACAACCAAAAGGATGGTGTGAGTATGACTTGCGGTACCGAAAGATACGAAATGATCTAACGGTTTACTGTTCAGTTCCCCATCACCGCATTGCGAGAGATCAAACTACTGAAGATGCTCTCCCATCCAAACGTGTTACGCTTGCCTGAAATGGCAGTGGAAAAAAGTAAAGGTGCTCGACACAACTGCGCGTCTGACTTGAGCTTAGCCAACAATCTACATAGGTGAAGGACGGAAGAAGCCGGTTATGTACATGGTCATGTTCTACCAAGAACACGACCTGGCGGGGCTTCTTGAGAATCCGAATGTCCATTTTACGGAGCCACAAATCAAGTGCTATATGCTGCAATTGCTAGAAGGAGTGCGCTATTTGCATGAGGTTTGCCTGTCCATCATGTTTGCGTGGTCAGCATGACTAATGTATCACCCGTTATAGAGTGGAATTCTTCACAGAGATATGAAAGGTTCGTCTTGTCAACCACGCCAAAGTACGGTTTCTGACTTGTATGGAAGCGGCGAATCTTCTTATTAGCAACAAGGGCATCCTTCAAATTGCCGATTTCGGTCTCGCACGCCCTTACGATGAAAAGCCCCCACAGCCTGGAAGGGGTGGCGGCGAAGCGAAGAGAGATTACACACCTTTGGTGGTCACAAGATGGTATAGGCCTCCGGAGCTGCTTCTCCAACTACGTCGGTATACAACGGCGATTGACTTGTGGGGTGTTGGGTAAGATTGCTGTCTGTATCTGATCATGTTCACGACTGACCTTACTTATCTAGATGCGTGTTCGGCGAAATGTTTAAGGGCCGTCCAATCCTTGCAGGGACTAGCGATCTCAATCAAGCACAGTTGATCTTTTCACTTGTTGGCTCTCCGACAGAAGAGACTATGCCTGGTTATACTTCACTTCCTGGGTGTGATGGTATCAAGGATTTTGGAAACAAGCCTGGAAATCTAAACCAGGTTTTCAAGGAGTAAGAATATCAATCTAAATCATTCAAAGCTCTAATTTTAACCTACCGAAAAGACAAGGACCGTTGATGATATCCCTACTCAGTGAATTCCTGAAACTCGATTGGCGGAAAAGAATCACTGCCGTGGATGCTTTGAAACATCCATACTTTACCAGCCCTCCACTCCCTGCTCGTCCTGGTGACATACCCCAATTTGAAGATTCACATGAACTTGACCGTCGACAATATCGACAAAAGCCGAAACCACCTGCCCCTCCTAATGGCGCAGCAGGTGAGAGCGACTGGTCGACTGGACCAGCAGCTCGCGCTGCTGCCGGACAAAGCAGTCGAGTTCCTGGTGGTGTACAACGCGGCGGCCCTGCTGCTCGCGGGGACTTCCGTCGAGCTCCTGATGTACGTTCACACTCCCTCCTTTTCGGGTCGAAATCAAAAACTAATATATAACAGGACGGGCTCCCACCAAAACCCTCCCCAGTCTCACAGCCAGGATGGCCCAATCGCAAAAACGACAACCGACCCCCTGACCGCCGCCACGGCGGCCGTGGCGATGGAGGACGACTTGATACATACGTACCCAGATACGACGGCCATCACAACAATAACGCCAATAACAATAGCAGCAACAATAACAGAAACGGCCAGCATCATCACTTCGACAACGGCCCTGGTACGGGTTATGGCGGGCCGGAGAATAGCCGATACGGKAACCGAAGTAACAATTCCAATTCCAACAATGCCCGAAGACGAAGTCAAAGTCCGCCGATGAGGGATAGGAGTCGTGAGGATAGTTATCATCTATACCGTCGATAAATTATACTTACACTAGGGGCTTTTCTTTCTAGGATCAAGGGGGATTCTTTTCCTGCTTTTTAGGGGTTAGCTACCAAGGCGAAGCAAGATAGAGCTTTATTATTGTACTTTTATCATCTTTGAACAATATCAACTCAAAGAATTATTGATACCATATTGAACGAAAAGATCCATATAGGAAAGCTCTCAAGTGCATGATGTCACCATTAATGAATGAATAAAAACAGAACAGCCGTTGAGGGATATAATCGTAGAATAAAACAATATTGAAAAACATGATTCTTTTCCAGCAGTACAGTCGAACATGACTGCTTCTAGCTCTTTTCTTTGTCGTCAAAACTTCAAGACTTTTCCTTTCCAATTGATAAATAATCATCCCCACAACGCCGGACCATGTTGAAATGTCTAATAGATCTCATAACGGGCATCTAAAGTCTATTCTAGTCTAATAAAGAATACGTGTCCTGATACGGGCTGTAGGAAGGTCAATGTTAGCAGATGATAATCGAAGCAGCGATGAAAGAGACTCACATGAAAGACTCTCCAATTTGGCATAAAGATCTTTGATAGTTGGTGTGTCGACCTTGCTGATATCAGCCATCAGGTAGGCGACCTAGAACTTAGTGAGTAGAGTAATCATGTTGTCAGCTTTGAGTTACTTACATCGTCTCTGCTATCAGTCATCTGTTTATCAACATTGTGATCACCGAGAATTTCGTTAACTAGAGCTGTGTTAGACACTGTATTCCCAAGACCTGAGAGAATACATACCTTTTCGGAGCACTCCAGGCACATTCTGGTGAATATAGATTACCTGTAATGCATATTTAGTTTCGTCATCACAAGTGATAGGAAGTAGACTACGTACTCGGGCATGATCAGGCTCATCGATGGTCAATGAACGCAGGTTGACTTCTGGCAAGTTGACGGCTCCAAGGGTTGAACCTTCATTGACGTATTTCACCAAAGCCTGGGCAACTTCAATACCAATAGCACTCTGGGCTTCTTCGGTGCTACCTCCAATGTGAGGTGTAAGAATGATGTTCTTCAAGCTGCGAAGGTCCTTGGCCCAGGCGTTGAGATCGTTTTGGAAGTAATCGCCATTTCCAGCAGGCTCATTCGGGTATACGTCAAGAGCGGCACCGGCGACCTTTCCAGCGCGTGATGCCTCAATTAAAGCAGGAATATCAACCACGCTTCCACGGCTAGCATTGATCAAGTAGCTTCCGGTCTTCATCTGCTCGAACTGCTTTGTGCTGATCATGCGGTGGGTTTCGGGGATCTCAGGAACATGAAGAGTAATGAAATCGGCTTCACGGAGAAGGTCTTCGAGTGTAGGGACTTGTCGAGCTGTGCCCATGGCCATCAAGTTGACTACATCGTAGTAAATGACGTTCATACCCATTGCTTCAGCCAACACGGACAATTGTGAACCGATATGACCATATCCGACGATCCCTAGAGCATTTATAAGACATTGGCGATTGTAGATAGAACGACCGAAGTAACATACCGAGTGTCTTCCCACGAACTTCCCAGCACTTGTTGCTAACCTTGTTCCATGTACCATTGTGCATCTCATTTGAGCGGTCACCGAGTTGGCGGGCTAGAACGACAATCTCGGCGATGACCAATTCGGCGACACTGCGGGAGTTGCTGAAGGGCGAGTTGAAGACAACGATTCCATTGTCGGCAGCAAACTTCAAATCAACTTGGTTTGTTCCAATGCAAAAGCAGCCGATGACGATCAGGTTCTTCGCTTCCTTGAGAACTCGCGCGGTGAGTTGTGTTTTTGAACGAATGCCAATGACGTGGACATCTCTGCATCCGACTGTCAGTATACATCAAGAAAGCTTCGTTCTCGATTTGAGGAATAAAAATCATACCTGATCTTTTCAATGAGCTGGTCCTCCGGTAAAGAAGTCTTCAAAAATTCCACTTGGTACCCTTGGGCGGCGAGAATGTCACGACCCGTCTGGTTGACATTTTCCAGCAGCAAAATTTTGATATCTTCGGTAGCAAAGGGCTTCAAGTGCTTTGCAGCAGAGGCAGCAGCAGCAACGGACGCCGCAGTGCTGTGGGCAGCAGCAGAGAAGCCAAAGCTGGAGGCAGCAGAAGCGATGGGGGCTGCGGGCGACGTCGATAGCCCGAGACTGCGGGACACTCGGTGGGCTAGGTCATCTTGGGGTAGATTGATATCCCTTGCGGAGGACATTTTCTGTGTTGGTCTGGTTGTTCGATAAAACAGTCAATTGATTGATAGTTCGGAATACAGAGAGAGCAGGATATTCATTGGAATAGAAAGAAAGGAGAATAAGTATTGCCACGAAGGAGAAAGAGTGAGTCAACGGCGATTGCACCTTCCCTGTGCTCCCCCACCTTCAACCACCGCCAGCTCCGTTTTCGGGCTCCGGAGAGAACTTTTTTTTCCCTCTGGCGTCAACTGATGATGCTCACTAATTGCCCATGGTGACTCACTTGGCGACTACGCGCGCAATATTTTACGCTCTTATGCTATTGGATATCTCGATTGACAAGCTATGAACTACCGCACCTTTTGCATGATGTACTCAACAATATGTCTTGACACAACACAGCTTTCTAAACCTTGAGATCCTTGAGCTGCTTTGCAGCTCCAGCCACGGCACCCTTGCCCTTCTTAGCAGAGGTCGTATCCTTGGGCAGTTCGCGGGTGAAAGGGAGGAAAGCGGGAGCTCCGGGGATGTATTTCCGGAGAGGCTCAGGAACATTGAAACCCTATTGAAGTAAATGTTAGCTCAGCGGATTACCAGTCTTTACAAGAAGTATGACTTACATCCTCGGTCTGGTAGTTCTCCAAGATACAGCACAGTGTTCGTTCAGTGGCACATAGAGTAGCATTCAAAGCGTGAACGTAGGCCTTCTTCGAGTCGGCTTTCTTAGCACCGAAGCGAATCTCCAATTCCCGGGTTTGGTAATCTGTGCAGTTGGAGCAGGAAACGAGCTCCTTGTATTCACCCTGGAAGGGGAACCAGGCTTCGAGATCGTATTTCTTTGCGGCCGCGTTGTTCAAGGCACCAGACACGATCGAGACAACTTGGTAGGGGAGACCGAGGGACTTGTAGAACTCCTCCGAGGTAGCAATCATCTCGTCAAAGGCCTCCCACGATTTTTCGGGCTTGGTCAAGACGAATTGTTCAATCTGTGAACGTGAGTGACTATGCATAAAGCACGATGCAAAGCAATTACCTTTTCGAACTGATGGACACGGAAGATGCCCCAGGCATCTTTTCCGTGAGAACCTGCCTCTTTACGATAGCAAGTACTATAGCCAGCATATCTAAGAGAGTCAGATATATCAACTATTGAAAAAAGTGTCATGGAAACAGACTCACTTCACAGGTAGATCCGTCTCCTGAAACCACTCCTCGCTATGCAAAGCCGACAATGGCTGCTCCGAGGTCGCAATAAGGTACTTGTCCGTATCCTTATCCTCGCTCTCAGAAACCTTGTATAATTCCTCGTCGAACTGCTCTAGTTGCGCAGTCTTGGCCATAGCATCCTTCAACATGAAATGCGGGGGCTGGTTGGGCTTGTATCCTTTGTTGAAGAGAAACTCGAGACCGTAGTTGACAAGCGCAAGATTGAGGAAGAGACCGTAACCAGTCAGGCAGTACCCACGATGACCGACGATTTTCACTCCGCGTTCGGGGTCGTAGCCGTCTAGTCGGGTAAGGACCTCGTGGTGGGAAAGGCAATCGCGCTTCTCGACCACGACGTTTTCAGGTGCCCAGGTTCGCTCAATGACATTGTTATCCTACCAAACCATGATATCAAAATTATACCCATACGATGAAGTAGCGACGAAACCCACCTCATTATCGCTGATAGGAACTGAGTCATGAACATAATTTCCAATAGTCTTGATCTTCCTATCACGCTCCTTTTCCTTTGCAATCGCGTTCTCTTCGGCCTCCTTCTTTTGCTTCTCAAGGTCGATCTTTTGTTGTAACAGTTCAGAGGCGTCCTCCTTGTTCTGATTGCCCAACATATCAGCAAGGGCTCACACTTCTCATGTCCGACTACTACCGACCTTTTTCTTCTGTCCAATTTCCTTTTGCACCGCGTTGGCCTTGGAGCCTATCTGTGTGACTTCGTACCTAGCTATTTTCGAATCAAGTCAGTCAGCTTGAGCGCCAAATGCATTCACAGCAGAATTGCATACCTCGTCGGGCAGCTTCAAACAGCTCCAAAACCTCTTCCACCACGCTTTCTGGCGCATATCGACGACGCTGGCTCTCCCTGATTTTGTTGAGATCACCGCCACGGTCGGCGACAAAGTCGTTGATGTCCAGCATTGTGATTGAGGTGAGAGGGGAGTCTTGAGTCGTCTGTTCTGTTGGCGGGGTTAGTATGGTGTAAAATAAAATCAAAAATGGCAGTACCTGAGAGAGGGGGCGGGGAGCCAAAGTTACAGGCGGGKATGTACTTGTATCTGTACGGTATCGTTAAATACGCCGATAAGACTGATAACGATTTTACTGACTCAAACATTTGAACGACTTTTGCTTGAATAATACATACAAGAGGCTCCAATTCTCCTCAATACCATGCCGGAATCCATACAATCTGGAGGCAATCTCCACTTCAAATCTCTCCTGTTCCTTGGGCTCCTCCCGACTCTCCGTGAACATATCTACCCCCGCAAAATCATGCTCAAAAGAAGGCTCACCATCTCCCCTCATATTCGCAAGCACTGCTGTCGGAAATGCCACCTCAACAACTCATCTGATACACGGTGTGGGTTTTTCGGGTCGTGACAGACTGGATCTAGTATCTTGCCATCGATGCCACTGGGATCAATCGCGAAATATATAACCTTGTAGCCATCCTGAAATCAACGTATCGGCAGCATATTGTTACATGCCGTACCAGTTGACGAAGTGCAAAAAGTCACTTACATCTAGATTCACGGAGACATCGTAAGAATTCCACTCGGTGTGTATATGCACTTTCAGAAGTAGACCATTTTGGCAAGAATTGATCTTTGCAGCTGCGCTCCTACGGTCCATATCGGTAATCCATCTAGCATAATCATCTTTAATCCATACATCTTCATGCGCAAGTGGGAAGATGTGATCCGTCTCAAAGCTGATCCATCTATTGTACTCTGCCGACAAGTTTGGGGTACCAATTATCACGCGCTTCCTATCTCGTGCCCGAACTGCATCCCGGAAAGCGTTCATATTGGGCCGTCCGCTTGGAGAACCGCGTGAGTAGATTCGTTGGACGTAGGGTTCTCGGGTAAGTTCGATAGTGCCTATATAATTAGACACTTTTGCATTTAAGGAGCTCCAAACACGTATATACCACTGCTATAAACATCATAATCCCCGGGCTGAAGCGCGTTATTCGTAGGAGATATAATCCGCTGAGAAGCTCGTGCTTTGACTTGTCTATCAGCGATTTCTGCAATCAACAAGACATCGGTCAACATCCAAAAAAACACGGCCTCGGTCACGGAGCCATACTGGTACGTCCCCCCTAAGCAATCACTGCTGTCGCCGTGGTATGTGTCCATTACGACACCATTTCCGGTTCTCTGAAGGCATTATGCGGGATTCATTGAAGGACAGAAAAGTCGTTGGCAATACTAGGCGGTGTTGATGTTCACCTTAAAGGAGCCAGGTGCCTAGAGATGACATGATGCTAACACCGTTGACTGAAAGTCATGACGGAAGCCAGAATAGTATAATTAGTATAGGTTCAATATAATCAACCAGAGTGAAAAATCGTCATGCAATTAGTGGTAACCATAATCAAATCCCAAAGATGCAGCCACAACCAGCGATTTATAACCCTAAAGATTAATCAACAACCAACCATAAAATACCAAAACACACCTCGTCAACGACATATCAAATACGCAACTGCAGAGTATCAAGCAAACAGACCCTGCGCGATTCATATACAAAATTTCCAACACCCAGCCCTAAATCCGATATCACATAACAACACACTTGCTATCTCCCGTCGGCTGAGAGGGGTTCTGCGACTTCTCAATCTCGCCAATCATCAGATCAAAGGCCTTGGCAACATTATAGTCGAGTCGGGCACTGGCCTCTGTGAAACCGCAGTTGAATTGCTGCGCTAGTTGGCGGCCTTCTTCAAGCTGGACTTGTCGTTGGTCTGTGTTGAGGTCGCTCTTGTTGCCGACGATGACCAGTGGCACCCAATCCGCGCCCTATTCCGGCGATGTTAGTATAACTAAAAGCTTGGTGGAAGCTGAGAGGAGAGTACCAGATGGTTCAAGATTTTATCACGAATGACCGTCACCATGTCAAAGGATTGGCGCGAGGCCACCGAGTATACAATGATGTAGCCATGGATACCAATGAAATGCTTCGAGTTCAAGATACTATATTCATCCTAGACAATGTCAGCGGGGTTGCTGGGTAAAGAGGAAATCTGCATACCTGGCCGGCAGTATCGACAATCTCCGTCGCGTAATCCTGGCCCTTGTGCTTGATAATGCGACTGAATGTATTCTCAATCGTGGGATAATAACTCTCCACAAAGTGATGGTCCACAAAGCGCACGGTGAGCGATGATTTGCCTAGTTGCGATAGAACGATAAGATTAGCGCGATACCGCACATTTATAGATTTATAGACAATACAGCCAAAGAGAGATATCGACTTACCGACGGAACGACTGCCGACTATGGCAATCTTGCGCTGTTTGGGAGGAGCAGGCATTGTGTTTGCTTTTTCTTCTGTCTGCTGGTCTTTCTGGGCTAGGCTGGGCTTGTGGTGCAATCGCCAACGATCAAAGCGCAAGTCGAGAGCGCTTGATTGAGCGATATTCCGATGGTGACTCGGTGCAGGGATATACGTTGTTTGAACCGCGCAGACAAAGCAGATATATGGCCAGGCTGGGAATACCGCGTATATGGGACGTAGTAGTATGTGGACTTGAATAGTTAACAAGCAGAGAAGTGGTTAAGCGGTGACCGTTAACCAGACATGCCTACGGAATACGTAGTATTATATTGGCTGGCCTGGACCGGTGGGGACCGATCTGGCCTGCCTTCCGTCTGACCTTTGAACCTACTGTATTTTAGTATTTACTATGTACACAGCTACTAGAATGAATTCGCCGTTACCATCAATTGACGCATCCATGGACTATCTCATCAATCGTATACATGCCATCCAGCCTCATGAAATACAAAATACACCAAAGAACGAGGGTTGCGCACAGTAACATGCCATATCAATGACGTCAACCATTTATATTATCTGCAGCAACATCAAGTGCTGATCGCGTGGATCTCATTGAGGATGCGCTGCAGTCGACCTGTAAACTCCTTGACCGACTGCGACTGCTGGAGCTCTTCGTCCACTTTGCGATGGTAATGCAGAAACTCTTCCACCGTGGCCAGCACTTTCGCCAAGCCCGTCCCCTTCATGGCTGCTTTGACCACGCCGTATGCTTCTGGTTCAAGGCAGAGGGTACATAGAAGTATAGAAAGGTATCCAAACGCGACATTCGAGTGTGTTTGGACCACTGAATCAGCCTATTGTTACCGATCTGTTAGTTTTGGCTTGAGCATGTGAATATGATCAGCTTACCTCGGATACGCTGCCTAGACCCCGGGTGAATATCGAGAGAAGGTGATCGAGAAGTGATTGAGATTCTTCCATCTGGACCAGGATATTCCGTCTCGCAGATTCGCTGACCTCGGTCAAATTGATTAGAGCTCCTAGTGCGAGAATAACAATATCCAGCGAATCCTTCTTCTCATCGATAAAGAAATCTCTGAAAGTCGTGTCGTAATTTGACAGAACAATGATCGTCAATCCATGTATTACTTCAGGCGTTGCAAAATGCTCACAGAGACTTGCACTAGCATTGGTGATATTCAGAATAAGTCTGAGATGTAGTGTCAAGAGCTGGATATCCTGGGGATCGGTTTTGCGACTCAATGAAGATAGCAGGTGGCTGGACTCGGTCAGAGGTAGCAGAACATCCTGCTGCGCCTTTCCTGTGATGTCCGAGGTCGTTGTATATGTTTCCAAAATAGTAATGATGCTTTCAATAAGGACAAAATTTTCCGCAGTAACATCACGATTAGTCGCATCTCGCGTGAGTTCTAACAGAATCTTAACCAGATGAGACACGACTTCCTCTGGTATTGTCCCTGCGATATCCTTTTCTCGCGCTTTGCGAATAGTCGAATATAGACAACGTAATAATAGGCGGCGGGGGGATAACCTAGACCATTCTCGCTCATCCAATCCCGAGACACGGCCAAATTCAGATGCTATTTCACGTATAGCTGCCTGATTGACCTTGGAAAGAGAATAAGCACGCTGTGAAACAAGTTTTGTGACACTATCGTCCAAGGGCAACAGCGCAGATGCCAAGGTAATGAGTTTTGACCAAGCACTCGTCCAAATGACGGAAGGAATGTGATTCAACCGAAGAACTAGCGCCCAAGAATACACAGACAGCAATGCCGAGATCTTATCAACCTGAGGCGACATGAAATTCGCTAATCGGTCGAAACCTCTGATTTCAACGAATTGCTGCGCAAATCTCTCATCGAGTAATTTCTCACATAGCGTAACGAAGCCGCTGCGTCGGACGGAAGCAGAGCGGTCCTCTATATCTTCAAAAATGGAATCGACAAGCCCTTGAAACCGAGCATTCACTCCTGCTCGACGTAGTTCATGGATACTGCTGATGGTTCCCATGCTTTCGGTTTGACTGGGATCAGTGTCGTCTTTCATAACAGGCTGTAAGGGCATTGACAGTAGGCTAGCTGAGAAATCTGTTGCGGGATCATCGCCAGCATCGCCATGGAGATCAATATTGCGGAGGAATGACCGTTGGCGCGCGTAGGTGACTTTTGGGCTTGCTGACTGTGGCGATGCATCGATCATGTCTTGAGTCTTGTGGTTCCACTTTAACGATATTTGACTATCATAGTACGAACTCTGTGAGTCACTGGCCACCGGGGTGGTCTCTCTTGAATGTCTGGCGTCTATTGCTTGTTGCGGGGAGTCATGCCCACTGTTCGAGGCCTCGGAGTCGTCTTCACGCTCGTCAAAGGAGCCTAATGCATCAACCAGACGTCGCCGTAATGGAGTGATTCCTAGATCGCTCTGGTTGCGCGTGAGAGAGGGGTTATTCGACGTAGATGGGTGGGAGGAACGATCTGGCGATAGACTGAGCCTGGTATCTATGCTTTGCGCCAGATAGGTAGCATCTGGTATATCTGATACGGAACGACGTAGTGGTTCTCCTTTTTCTAATGTAAGTACGAGATAATTAGATTGAATAGGTTTGATTCACTTACGGCGCCCGTATGTGGTTTTCACAGGATCACGCCGGGTCCGCTGTTGATGACTCGTCACAGTAGTCACCACCTCCTCCTCCTCGTCATCGGTCGGTGTGAGTTTTCGTCGTTTTGGCGACCTCAGGCTTGGTCGGCTGGGTGACTTGAGTTCAGGCGCATTGTCTTCTGCTGTATCGCGCAAGTTGCGGGGTGGAGTAACAACTCTAGAGCGTCGCGCTGTCAAGCCATTGCTGTTTGGATCTTTCGGGGACTGCAAAGTTTGGGATCGCGCCGCTCGATTGTGCGCCGACTTGCCATAAGTTACTAGCCTGCGAGGTCGATCGGGTAATGTCCAGTCCATCTTGTGCGAGAATTATGTTGAGCCCATTGATCGGTGTATCTGGGACGCGCAGGTCTGTTATTTTGCTGATTGCTTCTGATGTACCGATGTCTCAGACTGTGAAGTAGTCGTCGCGGAGAACGAAGTGCCTTTTGTACCGTCGCTCCATGCCAGACACCGTCTTGAGGTGGGGGTTTTGTTGGTGGATCGTCTGATTTCTCCGGCAGGTTCACGCTTCAGACGTTGCAACTAGCGTCGTGAAATATTCTCGCTGGATGACGGCGTTTGTGTAGAGTATGATTTCGTCCGGGTATCAGAAAGTGACGGAGTTCGATATCGACCGCATTGAGAGGGAAGGTATGCGTACGGTGTGGATCATGAAGTCATGGAGGCTCGATGTGCTCGGCCAATCAGACTGCTGTATCTCATCCCACACTCTGATCAGTCATCTTATCTGCATTTTGCCTGGACCGGCCTGCCAAAGAATTGTTTGCATACTTTTCACAAGACTGCCAAACCACTCCAGCTCTAGAGGTACTGCTTAGATACCAATTGTTCAAGAAAGGGCAAGCCTGCCGTAGTCGGTGTCTACACAGTAATCTCCAGTCAGATAAGGTTGACTTCGCGGCGGACTCCGTAGATACTAGGATAGAAGTAGAAAGGCAGCAGACTGGCAGTAAAGGTTTCGTGATAAGAAAAGAGTCAGCTGATGCTTGAAACGAGCCTGACTTTTGAGGCAGGTCCGATAAAGGTCTTTCCCAAATCTCCCAGGAAGAGAAGGTGGGCAGCGGTGACTGTCTGACCGTTTGACTGAGCAGCGGGCTTCTTAAAGTTTCTCCACACTCGATCGATCTTTGTCCTTCCTTCAATCCCTCCTCCAAAGTGTTAAACATTCACTTACGACCCTACCATGGCCTCAACAAGACCCGAAAATGTGCCCTCGCCAGCGCAAGGCGTCGGCCCATTCTACAGACCCGAAGGCGAAAAGCCCACCGCAACCGTCTCGAAAGAAGTCTCCTTCGAGAATGTCCACGTGCTCCCACAGACTCCGCAATTGATCGCTCTTCTAACGTACGTATTCCGACATATGCATGCCGCTCGACTGTGCTAACGAGAAGATAGTATGATCAGAGACCAGAATACCCCGCGCGCCGACTTTATCTTTTACTCGAATCGTATTATTCGTCTTTTGGTCGAAGAGGGATTGAACCATCTCCCCGTCGTGGAACATTCCGTCACAACGCCAGTCGGACGGTCGTACCTCGGTGTCAAATTCGAAGGAAAGATATGTGGTGTTTCTATTATGAGAGCCGGTGAGGCTATGGAGCAGGGCTTGCGAGATTGTTGTCGGTCCGTCCGTATCGGCAAGATTCTGATTCAGAGAGACGAAGAAACTTGCCAGCCGAAACTCTTCTACGATAAGCTCCCCGCAGATATCGCGCAGAGATGGGTTCTTTTGCTTGACCCGATGTTCGCTACAGGCGGTTCAGCCACCATGGCTGTGGAGGTCCTTAAATCAAGAGGCGTGCCGGAGGAGCGTATCCTCTTTCTCAATCTGATCGCCAGCCCAGTGGGTGTGGCAGATTTCGCTGAGCGGTTCCCGAAGTTAAGAGTGGTAACAGCTTTCATTGACCAGGGACTGGATGAAAAGAAGTATGTTCATTGTCTGTTCTACGAGTAGTGTTGCTAATTTCTCTACAGGTACATTATCCCAGGACTCGGTGACTTTGGCGACCGATATTATACCCTCTAAGCTTAGAGCTGTCAGCATGGTTTTGGAGCAAAGTTGGAGTTGGTCTAAACAGAATTTTAGTCGATTAATTCGATGTTATATGTCATTCTTATACGAAATAAAGATACTTCCAGATAAGTAAAGATCAAACGCCGCGCCAGTAGATGACTCCCTCCTCCCATACCAAGACAAACAATTGTTCATAAATATAAAGTGTGTATCAATATTTGACAGTTCAACCAACCTTCCACAGTGGTTTCACCGTTCAAAGATCGGGAGCCTCTAGATCTGCCTCTGCGGGGGAACCGCGCGAGTATACGGCTTGTGAGTCGGAGGCGTCGTACGTATTTGCTTTTGACTTGGCGACTGCATCGCAAGCATCAACCCAGTCGGAGTATACATCGACAGCGGCGGAGAGATCTGTATATAATCAATCAGACGTGAACCCTTTAATGAGTCCGTCAAGGCCACCTACAGTTTATACCAGTCTGGAACCTCTGGCCGCAGACTTTGCACGACAGGTTGCCGAGACCGAGTTTCTTGTCTAGCTTTACCGTGATCGAGTTCTCGTGGTTACAGAAGAGGCAGGCAAAGGTCGTCGCAAGCGGTTCTCTCTGCGGACGGTGTTAGTTCCGGGCTGACAAGCGAGTCTTGAGGGTGGCGCACCTTCTTTGGACCCTGAGGGCCTCGACTCGACTTCTTACGCTTGCCCTGTTGATGTTAGTAAAAGCCACGTAATGAAGAAAAAAAGCATACCATGATGTGAGTCGGTGTTGTTTGGTGATGAGTAGATAGTTAGCTAGGGTGTACAATGTAGTTAAACTGGTAAAGTAATGACGATTTGAGACTTTCTGAGTCTGTGATTGGTCAGAAATTATCACACGACCACCAATCAGCAGCCACTGCACCAGTCCTGTCCGGGCTAGATGCAAGAGCCAAGATTGACTCACGTGACATAGGCTTAGGGCGGAGCCCCGTCGAGAAAGCAAACCTCGCTTAGCGCAGATTGTGGGATGTTTTTCAGAGAGGTTTTAATCTCAGGCTCACCAACTGAACCGATCCGTGACAGCGAGCGACCACCCAATACTGTCTCATCGCAATCATGGCTGTTGGAAAGTAAGCAATTCATTTATTAACGATGCGATTATCATCAGATCTCGAATTAATCATTTATTGCTCAGGAACAAGCGGTTGTCGAAGGGCAAGAAGGGCTTGAAGAAGAGGACCGTGGATCCCTTCTCTCGCAAGGATGAATACTCTGTCAAGGTACGATTGCAGAACGGCTTCATTACGATCAGATGCTAATTTGAACAGGCTCCTTCCACTTTCCAGATCCGAGAGTATGCTCCCGTTGAATTCGAGACTTGGTGAAATAAGACGCACAAACTAATTGATAAAAGTGTTGGAAAAACCCTCGTCAACCGAACCACCGGTTTGAAGAACGCCAATGACTCCCTCAAGGGCCGTATCTTCGAGGTCTCGCTCGCCGATCTCCAGAACGACGAAGACCACGCTTTCCGCAAGGTCAAGCTCCGCGTCGACGAAGTCCAGGGCAAGAACTGCCTCACCAACTTCCACGGCTTGGACTTCACATCCGACAAGCTCCGCTCCCTCGTGCGCAAGTGGCAATCCCTGATCGAGGCCAATGTCACCGTCAAGACCACCGATGACTACCTCCTCCGTCTTTTCGCCATTGCTTTCACCAAGAGACGCCCCAACCAGATCAAGAAGACCACATATGCCGCTTCTTCCCAGATCCGCGCTATCCGCAAGAAGATGACTGAGATCATTCAGCGTGAAGCCGCCAGCTGCACCTTGTCCCAGCTCACAACCAAGCTCATCCCCGAGGTTATTGGACGGGAGATTGAGAAGTCCACCCAGGGCATCTACCCTCTCCAGAACGTGAGTCACCACGATTTATCACTATCATTCGCACCCATACTGACATTTTTTTAAGGTTCACATCCGCAAGGTCAAGCTCCTCAAGTCCCCCAAGTTCGACCTCGGTGCTCTCTTGAACTTGCACGGAGAATCCACAACCGATGACCAGGGCCACAAGGTGGAGCGGGAATTCAAGGAGACCGTCTTGGAGAGTGTTTGATTCTAGTCTAAACAATTTCTAGCATCAAATCAAACGTTTATTCAAAAAGACTTACTCATAAAAAAACTTGTTTCCAAAGGATTCCAAAAATGTCATGACGGTTCTCATTTTCTTCTTGCTTTGCGTTTAACGAAAATACCTGGTAGTTTAGAGGAGCACATAGGGTTTCTTGAAGTATTCCAGTGTGGTCTATCGGTATTCATCTATGGTTCTATGATACTCTTTCTATCAACGCTGTACGGTAGTGATTCAATATCATGATGATATTGTATTTTATAAATGACTCTTTTCAGCCATATGTAGATACGGAACACTTTGCAAGACGCGAACGCCTAGCCCAAAGTAATATGGTACGCCTTACCAACCGACGTCAAAATCGATCCAGTATAAATCTTACTATTCACCGCAATAGCCAAGCCATTCGCATATCGAAGCTGTAAAGCTCCCCCATTGCGCGATGTGTTAGTAGCACTCGTCATCGCACCCTCACTTCAAGCAATGTCAATCACAAGATTGCCGTGAGCAACGAGGCCCTGAACAGAGCCAATAGGAATCGTAGACGGAAGTGCCGGCAACAAATGGACGATTCCAATATGACTCTGTAGCAGCATCTCTGACACCACTGACAAACAGAAATTATCATCAATCTGAAACTGATACGGTCCCACGGAACCCTCGTTGGTATTGTACAGATTGTAAGGGGTAGGGTACACAGCAAACCATTCGTTGAGTTGACTCCAAGCGTCGTCACCGCGGAATAGACGCGCATACTGGTTGATGAGCCAAGTACGTGACCAGCCCGTTGATCCAGAGCCGTGCAAGACGCGGCGGTCCAAGAGGACTTCTGCTGCTGTGCCCAGAGTTGAGTTCAATAGCGGACTGAATTGTCGTCCTGGCATCAGAGCCCACAGCGGAGAAAAGTGTCTTTGTCCAATGGCAGACTCTTCATACTCGATTCGCCATTCGAAGATCTGTCCTAAGGAGCCGATATGTTGTGGTCTGATAGTTGGTAGAAATTCCTTTGCAGCAGAGACAATATCATCGTCAAGACCCAGAATTTTGCCTGCTTCGATCGGATTATTGAATACTTCAACAATCAACTGACCATCCATGGCGGGGGCAATATCGACTGCCACGTTTGAGCCGGCATCAGTAAAGTCATCTGGGACAATGAAAGTATTCTTAGGAGGCAACGAGGGACCGGTAAACGTTGTATCCCTCATACACAAAAGTATAGCATTGATAGAAATCCACCACATCGGTCAAAAAGGGGTGAGCTGTGTCTTTCAGAAATTGCTTACCACTGGTGAAGCGGTAATGGTCCATCATATGCCATGAAAGCCACGCCGCCCCCATCGGCCACATTGTCGATGCTGTATAATTGTCTGTCGAAGCCGGGTCACCCCAGAGGTCCAAATTGTGATGAGACACTGTCCCTGAACAATTGTACATTGTCGAAGCCAAAGCCTTGCCACGAGCATTTGCAACGGCCATAAGATCGAACACGGCTCTTGCGTGTCAATTAGATTCGTCGGCCCAGCTGGCCAGTAGTTCATTTCAATGTTGATGTGATTGTGTATTTACCACCCATGGAGGGAAGGTTGAGTTATTCCAGATTCCTTGTAGATTGGCAGGAAGTGATTTGCCATTCGTATCTGTTCTCCGTGAAGATGCGACAAGAAGATGGCGGCCAAAGTTGAATACCAGCATTGTCAATTGAACATTGTTTGATGTGTTCCTGGCATTAGCGATTCGTTGATCAGTTGGGAGGTCGGCCTAACAACTAGGTGAAGTGCCTAGATCAAGAGTAACCCGTTCTAACAATGTACTTGCATCCGCAATCGCGGAAGCTTTATTGGCATCGTAGCCCATCCCATATGCCTTGTCTATTTTGCTTCTCATTTCGGCTTCCCATTCGGGGTTGCGTGGCATACCTGAAATTTGTCTCGGCATCAAAGTACATATCTACCACGGTTGCGCCTTGTATTATCAAAATTGGGTCTGATGTTGTAGCAGAGCCTAAGTGAGTCAGCCTGATGGACGAGCTTACGACTAAGGAGTGCTTACCAGTTTCGAGCACAAACCGAGCCTGGCCAGTCCATAAGATTGGATCTTCGGAGGCCCAACGTGAACGTATTGTTGTTTGACGTCGCAGCACCCAACCAAGGCTTCAACGTTAATTGTGCGATTTATTGTGATTTTGAGATTCAAAACATCCGGGAAGCTGGCTGTGTGTATCTTGCCACTAAAACGCCCTGCTGATAGCTCTCGACTGACGGATCTAATCAGCGTAAATCCACTCCGGTACCTAGGAGGCGTATACCTACGTAAAGTTAACACCATCAACTTGATATGTTACTCCTGTAATTCCTTGTTTTGTATCAAGCCACCGGATGTAGTCCGACATATCCGCAAAACTATGACCGAAGTCAGGAACTATATTCCCGAAATAGCCATACGAGCGTGGCGAATTGTTGGTGGGAATCATCTGAGCTATCGTCAACGTGTTTCCCTCCGTTTGATGTTACCGTCGAGAAACAGTTCGCGAATTACCGACTCATTGACAGTGATGTTGGTAGGAGTGTAGTTCTGGTAAGCACCGGTCCAGATGGAGTTCTCGTTGATACCCAAGACCTTTACGCCATCACCGTAGACTGCTGCACCCAGTCTACCATTACCAATTGGAAACCTTCAAAGGTAAGCCAACGTCCAGGCTGTTCAAACCACATGTAGCAGCTTCCATCGAGAGTAGAACATACAGGCCATTCATGCATGAAAAATAGGACTAAAAAGTTATGAATCTCCATTATTATTGAATTCATTAACCTGATTTCCAGGATATCACCAAATAGTATAAAAACAACTTAGAGAAGGGTGTCATAGAAGAATATCGAAACGTGTCTGAAGATTGTTGTTCGGCTCTTTTTTGAAAAACTTTCTTACAATCGACAGACCCGGTATATTCGATGCCCGAAACCGAGGTAGATTACCTCGAGACTTTAAGAAACATTCATGCTGTAACAAGTTTAATCGTGGCGCGTCTATGAATATTGCTGGAAAACCTCCATCAATTTGTGCAGATCAGAACATTAGCCGGTCATTATCATCGCATATTAACCGGCCATGGTGAAATGGCAGATTGACTTGATATTTACTCCGTTCTTATTTCTGTTTCATGTTACATCGTAACAGTGTATGTGATCTTGCTCATGATGATCTTCCAAAGACTAGCCGAATGTGCCGATTCGGTAAACATAGATTCGTAATTTTTCCCGGTCCGATTCGATCACTCAGGAACTAGTTTCAATATCTCAAACTCCTTATACTTCTGCAAATACGGTGGTCCCCTCCTCCAAGCTTTCAATATTCGAGACGGGTCTGATGGTCTCACAAACTTGCCAATCAAGCGCTGGATTGCTGGCGACGTCCTGAACATCGGATCAAAGACTAGTAGATTGGCACTTCCGGCAGTGTTAATTTCAAAGCCGATTATTGTCAAAGAGTGACCTTGATGTTGTAGGTAAATGGGCGGAAGAATAGTCTCTAGGATTTTCTCGTCGCTTTCTAGGAGTGATGTAGGACAGCCGGATCGGAAATAGTTTGCTACATCTTGTAGGAGCATGTCGTAGGCTCGAAGTCCAGGACTAGAAGCAAAAGCACCGGGGATGCATCTATGACTAGCGGTCAGAAGGGTTTGTAGAGTTTGAGAACTGAGGATCACTTACTTGATTCCAAGACTCAAGAAAAGAGCCTGGGCCTTTGTATTTGAAGTCACGTTAGTAACATAGCCAGTCGGTGTTGATGTGAAACATACCTCTGGAGTACCAATATACTTTCTGGTCCCCTTGATACCGCCAGTCTCGATCCGTCCACTACTATTGAACCCCATATCCCATGCCTGCTCAATCATATTTTGCAATTCCAATATCGAGGGTATTCGGCCAGAAAAGTGCTCGTGGCCTGGTATACGAGCATCGATGATGTGCGAAATGAGCATCTGGATATTCCTATAACCGCAAAATCCGCCTTCTCTCATGAATTTGAAGATATGACGAACCCGAGGACTGCAGAAAAAAGCCCTCTGGACACTGGGATCATCTCGACACAACTCAATCAGCGTTGGAATAACTTTCGAGGTTTCGTTCTCGGCGATATCTTTCTCCTTGATGAGTGATCCGTTGGGACCGATCCTCGTTTGTGTGTTTTCTATATGACCAGACAAAAGTAATTTCTGTAACCATGAAGGCATCTGTTTCTCGTGGGCGTATGGACCCAGTTCTTTCCGCTTAATCCGAAAGTCAGTATGCCCGCTAAAAGACCTTGCGCATTAAGGAAGAGGAAGACCTACGCCTAATCTTCTGATACCCTTGTGTCCATGCTGACTTGATTTTGATGCCTCATGCTTTTGTCTTCGACGATTATTTGTACTCTTTCCTTTGAGCACGATATCTTTTCCATGTGCAACTATGTCGTCTTGATGTAGGCCCGGATCGTCATTGTCATCATCAAAGTCATTGTTGGCATCGTCCATCACTTTCATACTCGCCGCGCCATGTCCACCATTATCAATAGACTGTAGACGAAGATCACCTGTCTCATCTAGGGCTACTGATTCTGCCACATGCAGATCCAAATGCAACTGTAATTCGGTCTTGGCGACTTCCTCGCCACAGCCGTGGGGGCAAGTAATATAGAGATCATCGGTGTCCAGAACAGCTACAGGATCGCCTGGTTGTGCCGCTTGTAGATTTCCTTCCGCTGCCGCCCAGTCTTCTGGTATATGTGTGGGCAGAGATGCAGCTGGGTCTTCAGGATGACAATAAGCCACGTGCTGGCTGAGGAATTCCGCGTCGTAGTCTTCGAAATCGCAGAATGGACATGACAGAAGAAAGTCCTTTGCTGTCTCCTGACTACTCATACTAATTATCTTCCTTTGCTCGACAGTCTGCTGCGTGTAGGATATTCCGAGGTGTCGTTGACTGGAGATGATGTTCTGGGGAAGGTGGAACAATCTTTATCCCCGGAAATTCAGGCACCTTCAGGCACATCCGCTTAATTACGTATCATCGAAGCAAATTTACCACATCAATACGCTATAATCATCACCCAATTGGCAGTCATTACATAGTACATTCTTGCTGGGGCACAAGATTTCTTGGGGTTGCCTGCCAGTTCAACTATCAGTGACCCCTTAGGCCCTTAGGGTTACATATGAAGCTCCCGTGAGTCATGAGTCATATAAAGGGTCTCAGCACATTCTCATCATAATCTACATGAAGCTTTAATTTCCGTCCTGACTCACTCACAGCCCTATCGACCGTATCGTCACTGCTTAGCGACAAAAGCAGTCTGATTGGGCAGGCGGAAATTTCGAGGGGCAAACGGCGACGGCTTACATAAGGCGCCTACCTAAAGAACTGACTCACAGCGGGGCCGCATTCGCTCTGTCCGCAAAGAAATAAATCTGAACTGCGGAATCGGCCTGTCGTTCCAGCTGAGCAAAAATTCAACCACGCACGCAATTCACCCTGAACAACCAAAAATATTATATTATACGATCACCTACACCCGCAGAACATCCATTTGCCCATCGGTACCTTATATGCGCCTCGATCTCCCTGCAGATGCCTCTTTCAGATCGTACCCCGCCATCGGCGAATGGCAATAGTAGCACTGCTTCGGCGGAGCCCTCCTGGACTGTGCAAAAGTTTGGAGGAACCAGTGTGGGCAAGTTTGCTATCAATATAGTCGATCACATAGTACTGTATGTTGCTCTGCTCAATTAGTTTTCAATTCCCACTGACCCTTGCATCAGACCGAGTTTGGCGGATCAAAGAGTTGCCGTCGTATGTTCCGCACGCAGCAGTTCCTCTAAGGCTGAGGGTACCACAAATCGGTGAGTGCAATCTTCGATACTCAACATCCGTATGTCTAACCAGGACCTGGTATAGTCTTTTGCGAGCCGCTCGCGACGCTCAAAACTCGGTATCGAAAGCCTACGATATTCTAGTAGAAGCCGTGAGGCAAGAGCACGTGGAAGTGGCCGAGCAGCAAATAAAGTCCTCCGAACTAAGAGAGCGATTAATATCAGAAGTCAACCATGAATGCGCCCACGTCCTCAAAATACTTGACGCCGCCCAGACGCTCGGAGAAACTAGCGCTCGATGTGTCGATAAAGTGATTAGTGCTGGGGAGAAGCTCAGCTGTCGGTTCATGGCTGTTCTCCTGCAAGATCGCGGTGTTGATTCCGAATATGTCGATCTTTCAGAAATTATAGATTTTACCATCAGCAATGGCGGTCTCGACCAAGCCTTTTACGATCAACTGGCAGCGAATCTGGGAGCTAGAATCCGAGCCTGCGAGTCAAGGGTACCCGTTGTTACGGGATATTTTGGACCAGTCCCGGGAGGTCTATTAGATAAGATTGGTCGAGGATATACCGATTTGTGCGCAGCCTTAGTCGCCGTGGGCGTCAATGCGCAAGAGCTGCAGGTGTGGAAAGAAGTTGATGGTATATTCACTGCAGACCCCCGCAAAGTTCCAACAGCTCGCCTCTTGCCAGCAATTACGCCGGCCGAAGCCGCTGAATTAACCTTTTATGGATCCGAGGTCATCCACCCCTTCACCATGGAACAAGTCATCCGCGCAAGGATACCGATTCGCATCAAGAACGTTATGAACCCCAAGGGAAGCGGAACAGTTATATTCCCCGACTCGACGGCCGATCTTGAACGTATAGCAGGTGGTTATGAATCTAAATTGTTCCGATCAAGGAGTGCTAGCGTCCTGTCTGCGCAGCTCCAGGGTCCCAAGAGACCGACGGCCGTGACCATCAAACATAATATCCTAGTTATCAACGTCCATTCCAACAAGCGATCCCTATCCCACGGCTTTTTCGCCGGTATATTCTCGGTGCTAGATCGGTGGCGACTTTCGATTGACTTGATCTCGACAAGTGAAGTCCACGTGTCTATGGCTCTTCATTCTGAATTACCACTGCTGAACGGAATTGGCCGGGATGAATATCAGATCATTGATGAAGACCTCCGTGGCGCCATTGAAGATTTAAGGAAATACGGAGCGGTAGATATCATACCGGAAATGGCGATTCTGAGTCTAGTCGGCAAGCAGATGAAGAATATGGTCGGTGTTGCGGGAAAGATGTTCTCGACACTCGGTGAGAACAACGTGAATATTGAGATGATTTCGCAGGGTGAGTCTCTTTGACAGCTGACCTTGATAACGAGTGCTGACCAATTCGACAGGGGCTAGCGAAATCAACATCTCATGCGTGATCGATGAAAGAGACGCCGATCGAGCTATTAATATCCTCCACACGAACCTCTTTACATTTTTGGAATAGTTTTACAAAGAAAAGTTTCTTTTTCTTGAATATATCGGACACTGCATGATAAAAAAGTTTTGCTTGCATTTACTGTCATTGCAATCATACATGCACGCTCTGAAGAGATTGGTCTATACGTTCATCGCAAGCGAGCGATACAGTCATTTATTTCTTGTACTTGATTATTGCTTTTCCGTACTGTTATGGTACAGCTTCTTCTGGATTAGATTTTTGCATATTGTCGCATTTCTCTGAAGTGCATTGGGAGTTTGAAATGGCGTCGTTCTATTTTGATTCAGTGGAGATTTTGACAAAGACAGACTTTGATATTCAATGTACATACACAAAACGTTCGGAGTCTTTGATGAGTTTATCTGTTTGAGGAGAGTGATTAGGGCTAGACGGAAAGGGAGCTGCAAGGAACGCCTCAGGTCTCAATGGTCTGCCAGGAACCAGCAAAACTAGACGAAACGATCCACAATGATCCAATCATTGATTTCAATTCTTGATTGATAGACTTAATTCACTCTAACAAGGTTGCAGTCCGAGTCCCGGCACAGGCTCGGAATCTCACTGTGCAGAACTAATGCACCAGAACGGAGCATGTCCTCTGGCCTCGATACACCGCACAGTTCCGGCTCCACAGTACGACTTTGACGATCATCCAAGAACAAGATCGCTAGGCTTGCAAGAATGGGTGAAACACGCCTGTAGGTTGTCGCGACCAACACCCTTGCTTGTTCTCACCCTGTCATTTCTGCCGGCGGCCAGGATGTGCGACTCGCTCCGGAGGCAGGCACGGGGTCGGCAGAGGTATGCGGCTATTGGACGTCGGAATTTCTATCAAAGAGTGTAGCGAGGAACAAGAGAAGAGGGAAGAGGGAAAAGAGCAAGGGATGAGATCCAATCATTCCAGGCAGCCCCGATGATGACATGGGTCACGGGATACGCGGCCTCTGATTGGAGTGCTGAAAACCTGGAAGTGGATTAGCGCTGCCAACGCATCAACGCGACGCGCCTTCCTCAACAACAACGCGTCGTTCCTCCCTTCTGTCTCTTCTCTGGCATTTCGTCCATCTCTTCCATTTCCATCCTTCACCCCATTTCATCGCCCCTTCCATCTTTCATTCAATCTATATCCATTAAGCTTAGAAGGGGCGCCCCGTTTAGAGAAATCGCTCGCTATCGATAACTGTGACCCTATCGCATCCGCCTAGCTTCGTGAGTCGGAGGCCTCGACCGGCCAATGCGGGACTATCACGACGCGACTGGCTTTTGATCCTCGCTCCTAGCTCAGGACGCCACAATTGTGTGACGGCGTCAGCCCTGGTCCAGTAGTCCGCTATCTGCTCCTGCTTTAACTGGCTCGACTAGATTTCCCCATCGCCCGCTCCTCTTTTCTCTCGCCTTGTATTCTTAGTATTCCCCGTCGGGCCTCGCCGCCATTTGTCTTTTTCTCAACTTGACCTGGACTGGGATCTTTCGCGATTGTTCGTTGCAAGTCTTGAGAAGATCATTATAACGTCGCATCGTCAACATCATCTACACCATCAACATCAACAACAACAATACAACAAAATTGCTTAATATATCGTCGCATCCGACGCGTCGCGCATATGCTCCAACATCTGACTTGCGCCTCATCATAGAACCTGGCGGTGTGACAGTGATCACCCCGTACTGAACGATCTATCTGCAGCCGCTGGCTTGCCTAAATGGCCTCAACACATAGCCAACCTGGCTTAAACAACATGATGCCTCTACCACCCTCGGATCCAAGGAAGCAGCCCGCTTCCTTGCAACCCTCACCTCTACCTCCTCTCAATGGAAACACCACAAACTCTGCGCCATACGTGCTGAATCCGCCTAATACTCTGGAACGCCGGAAATCGTCGCCAACCAAAGGATCTCAGCGGCCTAGAACGTCTGATTCAGGTCAAGGCAGACTTGGCTTCGTATCGATTACTGCGCCTTCTCCATCCATGTTCCCTACAGATTCTCCCATCAAGAGAAACTCAAATCAACATATCCATCGACGAGCTCCTTCATTACCCATACAGGCCGCTTTCTCGACCTTTCCAAGCGCGCCATCTCCCTTCCCAACTCAACACCACTTCGCCTCTAGCTTTCCTAATGACGCCTTTGCCGACTTTCCTGACCCATCATGTCAGGTGAGACCACTTAAGAGAACTCTAATGGAATCAGCCCCCCTGATTGATCGGCCAGCAAACAAGAAACAGAAGCGCGAAGACTCGGCGACATTTACACTACCAGAGCCTCACGAAATGCCTCCTGTTGAAGACGATGGATCTAAACCGCCTTATAGTTATGCGGTTCTAATTGGCATGGCAATTCTCAGGGCGCCTGGTCGAAAGTTGACTCTGGCGCAAATTTACAAGTGGATTTCGGATACCTTTGCTTTCTACCGTTCTGGAGACTCTGGCTGGCAGAATAGTATTCGCCATAACCTTAGTTTGAATAAAGCGTTCATCAAGCAAGAGCGTCCCAAAGATGACCCTGGTAAGGGCAATTATTGGGCCATCGAACCTGGAATGGAAGCGCAATTCGTCAAGGATAAGTCTGCTCGGCGTGCGACACTGTCTAGCATTCCACTCCCCCCGATTATCCTACAAAGGGATGCTCCTTCATTTGCCCCTCAACCGAGCACCTCCATGTGGAGGGTTCCTCCGCCGCCGCTACCACCTTCTTCCTCTCACCATCCTGTTGAAATCTCTCAAATCCAAGAGCCATCGTCTGATGCTACTATTCTTGCCTCGGACCCCGCTCTACAAGAAGACAGTTCAGAGCAAGAATCTCATATCGCTCAGACCAATGTTCCTCGCTCCTCTCCTCCTCAAGTTATTCGCTCATCTCCACCAGTCGTTCCCCCTTCAGCCCGTTTCACTCGAGCAGGAACACCACCAACACCATCTCGCCCAATGGCATCAGCAGCAGCTCCTCGCGCACGGAATCAGCCTTCTGCTTCGGCCAACGACAGCGGTTACTACTCGTCTCTTGAGTCTTCAGTAATGAGGACAAACAAGACTGGCGTTATGCTGACTTCTGATCTGGACATTGAACCTCCACGCCTGAAACGCGGCCGTGCAGAGGAAGAGATTGCCCGGATTAGGAGCTCATCTCATGACATAAGTCCTGGCCATTCCAAGGTTCTCAAGAAGAGCGCCAACTCGGTTGCTGGCTCATCGCCTCTGCGCGGCGAATACATCAGCTTGCTMCCCCCGCCATTGACACCGATGATCAAATTCAAGAAACCGCTCAAGCCGCCACCATCTTTGTCGCCTAATACGAATCTTCGTAATCATCGACGCAAGATTCAGCATATGGTCAACTCGCCTATCAAGCATTTAGGTCTTGCCGAAGAAGAACTACCCTGGAGCCCAGCGTTTACTATCCATGACGAGACAACATCTACACCCAATGACAGTATTCAGCTACATTTCGACATCTTTGCCGATTCAGTGGCAGATGTTGTTTACACTCCAGCTCGCAAGTCTCCCGAGAAGCGCAGCATCAAGCGTGAGACGCAAACTGCCACTGGATTGGCCGAGTCAGCGCTTGCAGACATAACCACGACCAGCGTCAACAAGCGGATTGGGCGTTCCTTACTATCGACGGGCAAGGGATTGTCTTCACATTTCCAAGATTCTCCGTCGAAAGTCCCAGCACATCAGTCAGCTCGGTTCCTCGATGCGTCGAATGATGACTTTTTCTCCTTTAGCATGTTTGATGATAGCCCTGAGGAAGTTGACGGTGTTGATCTGCTGCAAGGATTCAAGAAGATTGGCGGCAACACTGCGAGAGACAATACTAGCAACGCTGGTATCAACAAAGCTGGTGGGCTTAGACAGCCACTTAATCAGCGAGGCTATAGCTCTTACTTTTGATGCGTGAGCTCTAATGACTGTACGATGATACGCTTGCTCATTCATCGGTGTTGGTTTGATATATCAGATTCTATTTACGGTGTTCTTTCTTGGTCTGGCGTTTTCTCAATTGATTTGCTTTGATTTTTTAGATGGGAAGGATGGATGTCACACTGGGATCGGGAATTTGGATTCGGTTTACTCACGATGTAATGAACAAAATGTTTGATGTACATGACCCTTTTAGCTAGCGTTGTTATGCTTGTCTTGCTTCCGTCTGTGACGGCCATTCAGTGTCATTTTGTTGCATCTGATTTCTAGCATGTTGTCTGTCTTTTCATGTACGTTGATTGGATTGGATTGGGTCTGGGTTGATTCTGGTTTTTTTTTATAGCGAGGGTTCATGTATGGGTTGGAGAGGAATACTTTAGGTCTAAATTGGAACTTTCAACATCTCATCAATGAGTACTTTTATATTGCAAATTGCAAGTTGAAGAAGTAAACCATGGGTATCATCATATCAGTTCAGTAATCATAATACATATGAGTAATGCAGAAACCAGTTATTTCGAAGAAGACGCGCCAACACCGACAAATCCTTAAAATGTTTGGGACAGAAAGAAAGCTAATCACTACTCGAACAACCCCGACACCCACAGCTAACGCACTGTATCGCCTGCTCCTCCTTGAGCTGCGCCTTGGGCACGCGGCAGATACACGTGGAATTGAAATTGGTCTCTTTGGTCTGTATGCACCGGAGGCAGCACAACTAATCCTCATATCAGCCATCAATTTCCATCCGGATCATAGGACAAAACGCACCTTTTCATAACCCTGCTTCTTCCACTTGGCGATCAGCATTGCGTCCGCATACTTGTTCTTCAAAAGCCAGTCATAGAGCTGTTTTGAGATGGCTTCTTTCTCGTAGTAGAGCTCGTAGATGTATCTAGACCCTAAACCCAAGCATCAGCCTCTTTGTCTTTACGTTGGTGTATTGATGGATGGGGACGTACGTTGATGCGTAATCTGAAATATGGGCCAGAGTACTTCGTGCCTCTTCTTCCCGTCGTGAGATGCGTTCTCGGCATCTTTCATTTTATTGCTGAATTCTAGGAGGGTGTCTTCGATGTCGTCGAAGCCTGCGGGGGGAGGTTTTGCGTTGCGAGTTGTGCGGATTGGTGGCATTTTGCTTTCTTCTTTTTCTTCGTTTGTTTTTTATTGAAGGGCAGTATATGTCAGTTTTTTGGGATGGTAAACGAGTGAATGTGAACAGGTCTCTATTGCTGAAGTTGAAGTTGTATAAGAGTCAGGTGGCGGAGCTCGAGATATTAAATTCAGGCCAGTACATTTCTGCCACCTGCCACCGCTCGGAAATGCTACGGAGCTGTCTGCAAATAGCTGATTTACCATTTTCTCGGAAAGCATCAAATATATCAGCATCTACGTCTTCAACTTCACAATTCTGCCCGTTCCAACATAGAAAGAATACAACGAATACACTCCCAAGACATATTTTCAAAAGTGAACCTCTGCAATAACATACAAAATGGACGGCCAACCACAATTCGATATCAGCAAACTCAGCATGTCTGATCGTCAAGAATTGAACCAATTCTTGCAAAATGAGACACAAAAGTCGAATATCCAGCAGAGTACGTCTTTGTAAACCCATATTCTCCTTTCATCAACTCTTCTATTTTAATGTCAGGCGATAGTCGCCAAATGACGTCAAGTCACTTAACACATACGTACTGTTATACATCAACGAAGCAAGCTGACATCTATCACAGCCGTCCACCAGCTCACTGATATCTGCTTCAAGAAATGCGTCACCTCGAAAATCTCATCCAAGACACTCGACCGAACCGAGGAAGCCTGCGCACAAAACTGTGTCAACAGATGGCTGGATGCGAATCTTGCTATTGTCAAGCATTTGGAGGTCGTTCGCGGATCGCAATAATTTCTTGGATTTCGAATGACATAGATGTACAATGAAGTACAACGGGGAATGGATGTACGGAATCAGGACATAGATTTGGATCCGGTCATGTATTTTTATGCTGTTCAATTTCCACTTACTGTAACATTACAACTACGAAATAGACGCAATTCTGCCAGTCTTTAACCCTTGCCAATAACATCTACGAATAAAAATTAGGGTATAGATCATAGATCATATTGACCTTCCGACATCATTCATTTAGGACGTATTATCCGCCTATTTATTGAGGGTAAAAAAGAATAATTTTTTCGAACCACCATGCAACCAAATGAAAAAGAAAAAGAATTGTCATTTTTAGATTTCTTTAAACAATAGCGAGCTTGGTAGCGGCGATATCAAGTGCGTCAACATCAGGGGTCAAACGAGCATAGGCCTTCTTGGTTCCGTCGGGTCTGCAATGAATTAGCATTATGTCTTGTCATTCAAATGTAGCACACGGGTGAAAACAAACCGGATAAGAGTGTTGATCTTGACAGTGTCAACGTCATAGAGCTTCTTAAGAGCAGCCTTGATCTGACGCTTGTTGGCCTTGACGTCCACAATGAAGACAAGTGTGTTGTTCTCCTCAATCTTCTTCATGGCGCTCTCAGTGTTGAGAGGGTGCACAATGACCTTGTGGTGGTCGAGACGGGTCTCGTGGGGGACGGACTTGCGAGGGTATTTGGGGGAGCGTGAGAGTTGCAGAGTCTTGGGGAGGTGGAATGTGGTCGAGGTACGGATCTTGCGCAACTTCTTGGCCTGTTCTTTTCTTAGTTTTTTATATTTCCGTTCATTCACGGATTTGTAGACGTACACCCTGTCCCTTGAGGACGGCTTTGGCGGCAGCGCCGGCCTTGTTGCTGGGCTTGCCCTTGGCTCCTATTCATACCGTTAGCCATAATATTCAATCCATCCGACCGAATGCGTAGATAATCGATTTATTCGTGTCCCTCTTCATCTCCTCGACTATCAAAGCACCGCATCGAACGAGTCGCGAATCGTGAGTCGTCAGTAGTCGAATGGAATTGGTCGTATTTGAATTCAGGAAAAGGCGTCCTGTCGTTCAATATTCATCTGTCACGCATGCTTGATATTCGAGGTGACCAAAAGAGAGACCACGGAACCGACGATTCTCGCATTCGAATCCGTTTTAATATAGGATTGTGGTGATGGAATACCTTTCTTTTCCCCGGCCATGTTGTCGAATATGGGCGTCTGCTCGTGAATTAACTTGTCGAATCTCAAATCAAGATCAAGATCGAAGCCAAAAACCAAAGCCGTCACTAGAGTAATTTTTCTAAGCGAGGAAAGATTTGTGTGTGGATGGTCACGGGTTGTGGGTGCTTCCCGGCCAATGGGGGCTAATATGTGGGGCGACCAAAACGGGACTAGCTCTTTCCATATTGAATTTCTACAGACATACAGCCTTCATTTGTTGTACAGACTCCTTAACAATAGATATTGGTTTGATCATGGCAGTCAAAAAGCGCAAACGCCCAGGCCTACTCTCGCACACGCGCCCCCGACCCCCCACGGCAAAACATCTCACCCCCTCCACCCCAACAGCCTCACTATCATCCAGAGCAACCAGAAATCTCATCAACGCTCACCACCAACTCCTCAAAGCACGTGAAAGAGCCGTCATTGCCGGCGATGAAGCTTCAGTCAGTCACATTGATGCTCAGATAGAAGCCAATGGCGGGKTGGAAAGTTATCAACTCGCCAGCAAGACCGGCCAGTCCCGTGAGCGAGGTGGTGATTCGAGTACTGTCTTGCTAGAATGGATTCGTCCGTTATTGAAACGAATTAAGCAAGCAAGGCAGACTGAAAAAGCATCTGTAGGAAAGCTGAGATTACTGGAAGTCGGTGCACTTAGTACAAAAAATGCCTGCTCTCAACATGATTGTATCGATGTGACCAGAATCGATCTCAATTCTCAGGAACCGGGCATCTTGCAACAGGACTTCATGGAAAGGCCACTTCCGGCTGCTTCTGATGATGGTGATGAAAAAGAGCGATTTCATGCCATCAGTCTATCCCTGGTACTCAATTATGTACCTTCTGCTGCTCAGAGAGGAGAAATGCTGAAACGTTGTTCTGCGTTTTTCACTACATCTGCTCCATCTCCGCTCCATATAGAGAACACGAGTTTCAGACCATATCTCTTTCTGGTACTCCCGGCAGCATGTGTCCTAAACTCACGATATTTCAATTCAGAACGGCTCAATGATATAGCTACAAGTCTGGGATATAACAAAGTCAAAGAAAAAGTCACCAACAAACTCATTTATCAGTTATGGGAATTTCGTCCACTTCCACTCGACAACAACAACAAAAACAAATCCGCAAGGATATTTCAAAAGGAGGAACTCAATCCCGGCAAGACGAGAAACAACTTCACTATTACCCTCAATGGGAACCGTGAATCATGAAAGGTCGAAAAGAACGCTACAATATGCTGTATACGTGTATATGCATGTGCTTCAACAACAGGGCCAGAACATCAAATCGAAATCACGATTAGACAGGCACGCTTGATTCGGGGAATGGTAAGAAAGCCCATGTGGTTCCGACGATGGCCATGACTGACGAGACAATCACCAGGAACCAATCAAAGATCCTCTCACTAAGCGAAATCTCATTTCCAAAGATCTTAAGGTAGAATGCAAGTGGCAGAATGATGCAAATAGTAAAACACAACAAAGAACCCATGAGCGCCATGATGCGGTCAAAAGACGGAAATACAATGGCGATGAAAACGATCAGAACGAGCACAAAGACGCGTATGAGAGCTTTGCCAATCAAGGCTGCTTTCTTGGGTTCTTCGCTACTGTCCTGCGAGGAGTGAGAGTCCGACGAGTTCAGACCGCACAGGACTTCAGCCGTTGCAATAAGCGGCCGGGCACTGTTTGTGTCAGCTTTCACATTAAAGTTCTCCTGAGATAGACACTCACTTCAAAGGCACCTTTGTGATCGGGATGATTGCAGTAAACAGAATCATGCAAATCGAAAGGGCGCGAGGATAGCCGGTGCTCTGCAGTATATTGACGATAACTTCGTCACGGACGCTCTCCCCAAACATCAACCAGCCGATTATAGCCATTGAACAATCAAGGCCAAACTAGACACTCAACATTAGTATCCAGATCTGAAGTTTGCCGCAATAGAATTCATGAATCATACCGTAAAAATATACGTAACGAAAAGMCYCCTGCCATATTTATGGGGATGTCTCATGTCGCGGTATATATTTGGAAAAACGCCATGTCCGCCCCAGGGAGCTAAAGAGTCAGAATTCGTGTGCATATTTCTTTAGGGAGGGCACCTACACATAATGAGGCCAAAGCTGAGAGGTAAAGTCGCCCAATTCTCAGGGAAGAGGGATGTATTGGCCGGTTGACGAAGAGATCCAGGCGAGTCTGGCTTGATAAGACCATCTATGAAGACGATTCCCACGACTATAAATGTTAGACGACTTCTGCAGGGTTACAACTACATGGAAAGCGGCAACTTACTTGCAGTGCATGACAGTATACCGAGAATACTAGTGACACTCAGGAAACGCAATGGAACAAAGCTGAGCGGCAGTAGGACAACGCCACAAATAATCTTCCACTGTAATAGACTAAGACCAGGTAACAGAGTACCGAGGGAGTCTCCGAACAACACCACAAGTGCAACGCAAGCGCCTAAAAGTTCCAAGCAAAACAACAGACTAGTCACAACACGAGCCTGGTGCCCAAAGCTTATGTATGCGAGGTCCCCATAAGTCACTAGATGGTGGTCGACGTCCATACATTTAGCCAAGACCCTCGCAGTGTAGGCCGTAACTGCAGCTGAGAAGCACAAGAACGAAAGACCAGGTATCCAACCAGCATATTTCATGCCGAGAGGCAGACTTAGCAAACCGACACCAATCAAGACGTTGACCGAGTTGAAGATGGTCTGCGGCACCGTGCTTTGACCGACGATGATGCTCTCCTTAGTACCGTCTTCATGCTGAATTTGCTTCACCAGTAGTGGTCCTCTATCCGGCTCCGGCTCGCCACCGGATATCAGTTGGTGTTGGTGTTCATGATGAAGCTCAAGCGCTCTATGTCGGGCGGTCTCACTTGCGCGAGAAGCAATCGTACCATAGGAGGTCCCGAAACTTCTACTTAAAGAGGAGTGGTCGTATGCTCGGAGAAGATCAGCTGGTGTTGTCGGCGAATCTCTGCTCAATAACGGTCTCAGGTCTTGGGGTGAGCTGTCCCTTCTATCGGTGCCGTCATGCACACTGTCTGAAGGGAATCTTGACCGTCCGGAGCGATAGCTGGCAGACAAAAGCGGGTGTGTCGTGGACTTCTGATCCACATCGTCCTGTGCGGGCTGGCGCTCATCTGTCTCATCGGGCTCTTCGTACTCAAACACAAAGGATGAGCGCCGAGGAATAATTTCTGGGAATGCCGCTGCTCGTTGCCATGACCGTGCAAAGTTGTCCAAGCTGTTTACACCACCTGCTTGCCGAAGCCGCAAAGACATCTGCCCAGCTCTACAACCTTCATGAGTACAATGCAAGAAACTTCAATATGTCAAAGCCAGCAATTCATACCTGTGATGAGCTTCGCCATCGTCGTCCTCGAGGTCACCTGCGACATCATCACCGTCCAAGTAGTTTGCGGACGTTGAGGGCGAGAAACGGCCCGATAGCCAGGAGTTTAGATAAGAGCCTGCGGATCCTTGACTAAAAGACCGAGCTTGTCTCCCCTCAGCGGAGTTCGTGTGGTTATTGCTGTTCGACATGAGAATTTGGAGTTTCTGCCCGGTGTAGGTTGGAGAAGGTAGTGAGTAACGGCGGAAGGAGCAAGTCGAGAAGGTTCGGGCTGGTCGAGCTTAATCATACACACAACGTCATGTTGAAAGCCAGCTCTTAGAGTGAGAACTATAGGACAAGGAGGGGGAATGTCCGTTAAATTATAACGATAGCTATACTATGTTTTCAAGCCGGTACGTAACAGAGCTTGGTCTCTGATAAGAAGGAGGAGCGCATCCCCACTTAGTCTGATAAGCTCGGTCTCGTGATAAATTTTTTGGATTGGGATGACATTGCAGAAAACACCAGTAGAAACAAGTTAAACAAGTTAAACAAGTTAAACGAATATACTATACCTACCAACTGATGTCAGTAGATGTTTGCCAAGTACTTATACCAACCATTTCTTCTGCCCATCCCATACACTATGGGTTTCCTTTCGACTGTATCAGCCCAGCCACAGTCGAAGCCGTACATGCTGCAAGTTACAGCTACACCAGCATCGCGGTACGAGTAAAACAACCGGGTAATTAATACCGAAATTAATTTCCGCACGTAACATGTCCCTGTATCGTTTACACGATCAACCCTTACAATTTAATTTCTTAGGGTTAACGATCGCCCTACAGTCAGGACAATATGCTGGGATAGTGGGAGATGATGGTATTCCGTCATAGCTTAGCTAGATGTATTCCATCGAGCCACCGGAATAATCGTCCTCACTTGACTTCGCCCGGCTACCTGCTAATATCCAAATTTCTCCTTGTGCTCCGCCCATAATTTCCCCCGTAGCTCCTTATCAAGCAAAATATCCAATCCTGTGGCCGCCATCACTTTGGCATACTTCAGAGAGGCATCAAACGCAGACCGCGTGCCTGCAGATTTCTCGAACAGAGGATGATGAGGACCGATTGTTGGATTGTCTACATCAATCGAGAAACCGGGATGCAGACTAGGAAGTGCGTAGCTGACATTCCCTATACTCTTGATGTTAATATATAACAGGGAGCCAATGATTACATAAGGGAGAGCGCACCTTGATCGGTTGAAGCACCGCTCACCTGAGGGATAGACCGTATGTAATTCAAATTCTGATCCTGACAATGGTCATAGAAGCGATCCGCAATTAGATCGCTGCAGCGGAGGTCCTTGTAGTTTTCTAGCCTGCAGAGCACTCATGTCAGATCTCATCTCGCGCAGTGATGCTCATACTACTTACCATTCAAAGTCTACCGTACACCCAGCCCCCTTTGCAGCCCCTTCACAGCAAGCGATTACTCGTCCACGAGTATCTTGCAACTCGGTATCCGTCTCCGCGCGCATATATAATTCAATCTGCGTCAGGTGCGGAATTACATTTGCCTTATCCCCGCCTTTGGCTATAATGGCATGAATTCGCTGATTGGGTGCGACCTGCTGTCGAAGCATAGAAATACTGGTGTATGCTGCCACTGCAGCGTCTAGCGCATTGCGACCTAACCAGGGAGCGTTCGCAGCGTGGGCGTTGACTCCATGAAATGTCACTGTAGTTCCAGCTCTGGCCATACAACGCGCAAACACCACGCCATCTCCCTGATGGCGCGGTCCAGGATGACCCATCAAGCACGCGTCTACGCCCTGATAGGCACCCGCTTTAAGAAGCTCAATCTTACCACCTCCTCCCTCCTCAGCAGGCGTCCCAAGAAGGCGGACCCGTCCCTCAATATTATGCTCCCTTACAGCCTCTGCAGTGGCGAGAAAGGCAGCTAGCGAGGACGCTGCAATCAGATTATGCCCACAGGCGTGGCCAATCTCCGGAAGGGCATCATATTCTGCATTGTATACAATCAGGCCCCCTCCCGTACCCACCTCGACTTCAAAGGCGGTCTCAAGCCCATAGGCATGACGGGTGACGGTATAGCCCAGCTTTTCTAGCAGGTTACAGATGGTATTATGAGCATGAATCTCTTCATACCCGAGCTCGGGGTGGGAATGGATCTGGAAAAAGCGTGTTAGCTTTATCGTGCAATGAGTAACAACGTAATTGCCCACCTCCTTGTTGATCTCCCAAAGGTCATTCTCATGCGTTACAAGGCTTTTCGTCAATTCCTCTTTGATGGCGGCCATCTTCGTCTTAGGGGTGCCACGCTTTACTCAAGTAGAAAATGATTCAGAAGACGGGCGAAGACTGAGCGCCGACCCTCAGTATTTATCTCATCTCCGAGATCCATGGTTGTTAGGAAAAGGTACAGCTCCTGTCTTGACATCGTGAACATTGAACTTCGGCAGCAACAACCAATCGTCAATGATGCTCGCCAATTCGCGGGCCAATCATCTTTCTTGCTTAAATCACCAACTGTGACTAGTCTAGGTGCAAGTGGACCGCTTATCACCACAGCACTCCGGAATCCCTCATCTTCAAGGGCTCTTCTCGCTTCAGATCTCTTTCACCTTGCATTTTCATATACTATGCTCCGTACGAGGATTCCTTCCAGCCGCCGGCCTAATGTCAGGCCGTCATGCGCCCCGGTCTCGGACGGGTTGCTCAACGTGTCGCACCCGCAAAGTGAAGTGTGACGAGAGTCGGCCTTCTTGTAAGCGATGCGAATGTGCCGACGTTCGATGTGAGTGGTTAGAAGTGGCTCGCAAATCACGGGGAAAGAGGACGAGTGCAAAGGCCTCGAGGGAAAGTCAGGCCAAGTTTTCGACTCTTTTACCCCGGATTGAGGATCCGGCGCACATTGTTGCGCTAGATCCCTTGACGCTTTTCTACCCCTTTTCTCTGTCGGCTCAAGACCGGGAGTATCTGGCATTTTTCCCCCACACGTCGTTGGTGCAGTGGTTTGGGAAGCCGTGGAAGTGGGCGTCTCTAAATTATCTACACAGTAAGATTGCGCCGCATTCGGTCGTGGTCATGAGGATGGTCCTAGCCATTGCTGCAGCGGAACTAGAAAGCATACGATACGCGCAACAGACACAGAGTAGTGGCGAACCCCCTCGCCAAAGGGATCATGAACGCTGGGTAGCAGGGACCCACCACTACAGAATTGCGCTCAGGGGCTTTCAGAGTTTGCTTGTGAAGTCCCGGCCTCTGTCAGAGCAAGAGTTCGATGAGATTTTGGCAGCATTTTTATTGATGGCAATTTATGAACTCCACTTCAGCGCCGACACAGCCGGACTACAGGTTCACATTAGTGGTATTTATACATTTCTACGTGTCCGAGGCGTGACATTCCAAGGTACCTGGCAGCAGGGAAGCAATCTACCTGTCTTGAGCCAACAACTACTTTTATTTATCATGTACGCCCTGTCTGTCGGATGTCCATCGCGGATTTCTTGGGTTTGACTAAGTCGGACTACAGGTATATACATATATCGATTATTCACCAGGGTCAGGCTGTACCAAGTCTCTGGGAGAGGGCCGGCCACGAAAGCCAACTGCCTTCAATTTTAGACAAGCTTTTCTACGCAAGTCGAAATGTCCACCTCTCCATATGGCAGTCGGGGTACCCGACTCAGGAATTAGTTGATGACTTTTCCGTTTTCCGCCCTCTGGAGCTATTCAACGAGTGTAACAAATTCAAGCTTCTTATCAGAGACCAACAATTGCAATCAGCTGTAGATGCGGACAAATTAGCAATGGAACTTGCCGACATCGGAAACGTAAGTACCAGCGACGATATCCATTCCTCAATGACTCGCTCGGTCGACTAATCAGCGGCAAAGCGATTCCAGGATCTGATCGCACTTAGTCAGCGGTGTGACTCGGGGTTGTGCAAACGAGAGCTTCAGACTATCTATTATGTAGTTGCCGAGTTTCACGCGATAGAGTTGATGCTCCACCAGACAATCTGCACGGCAAAGAATGAATCCTGTCATCGGCGATCCCTTGACGCTTTCATGCGGATTCTCAAGAAGATCTCAGCTGATGACGACTCCAAACTGGGGAGAGTCTTCTGGGCCATGATTGTGACGGCGGAGTCAATATCTGACGAGGACCACCGTCAATGGATCCAAGACGCCCTTCAGCGCATCCGGAATATGGGAGTATACAAGTCTGTAACGCTCTGTGCCATGGACAAATCGTGCGGTGGGTCTGTTAGTTCCAACTTGCACAATAATCAGTATATCGTGGGATCTCCGCATTAAATAACAATGACTCGCTCGTCGAAGGCCCCATATGTGTTCTTCTGCCCTATCTAGAGTTTAGACTACCTTGGCTAGCGCCTCTATATTGCCGATATGACGAATCACGGAGTGCCATAAGATAACTCTATCATCGTTAAGGGCATTTGGGTTGGTCGCAGAATTAGGCGATCCCCCAGGTTATCATGACTGCCATGTCCATAGATAACCGATTCTGTAGGAGAAAGGTATCATGAAGTCTATAAAAACTACTCTTTCATCTATGCTAGTCGCATGGTATGAAGATGTGACTTCCGCTGGAAAGCTTGCCAGATGAAATTTCTGCTATATCGTTGCAAATTGCCATTCCTGAATACAGAAACATTCCCACAATCAAACGTGCATCATGGGAGAGAAGCAGAAGAAGACCACCTCGAAGGTTGGGAACTCGGCTGCGAGTGTGGACGTTGCTCCTGGGGAACAGTACATAGGAACAGAATTGACTCCGTCGAACCGTAGGCGATTGGTACGCAAGATTGATTGGATGTATGCTAGGCTTCTCCAACTTGAAGAAAATCCTCAGATTTATTGACTCTTTCAAAAGCCTCATGCCGCTTATGGGAATTTCCTACATGCTTCAATTTCTTGATAAACAGGCATTAGGGCAATCCACCCTCATGGGCATCATTCCAGACCTGGTGGGTTCGATATCTCTTGATATGTTGGAGTGTCCAGTGTGAGAATACTAACTTGGATGTTTCAGAAAATGACGGGTAATCAGTATTCATGGTCCGGCTCGATATTCTACTTCTCCTACCTCGTCTTCACCTACCCGTTGTCGATGCTCATGGTCAGACTGCCGCTGGGAATGTTCATCGCTTTGTCAGTGTGAGTGTTTTTGCAGTTTTTTTTTTACGTACACTGTACACTGTACATCACTTGCATATGCTAACGATGATACATAATAACAGACTTCTTTGGGGAGCCGTACTGGCTTGTCATGCTGCTGTATCCACCTTTGCCGGCATCATGGTGGTTCGTTTCTTTCTCGGTGCAACCGAGGCCGCTGTGTCACCTGGCTTTAGCCTGATCACCGGCATTTGGTATACAAGACAAGAACAGCCTTTGCGTCATGGCTTCTGGTTTGCAGGGAATTCTGTTGCTACGGCTTTCGGCGGCCTGGTGGCCTATGGGGTAGCTCAAATTGACGGATCATTGCCTGCATGGAAGGTGAGCTAGCCCCTCGGAGCTTTGTGATAGTTATACTGATCTGACATGAATCAAGTGGTTTTTCATTATATACGGCCTGATCACCATGGGTTGGGCGGTTGTATTGCTCCTCTTTCTCCCAAACTCCATTTCTTCCGCACGGTTTCTTGACAGCTCTGAACGCCGAATAGCGGAGGAGCGAACGCAAGTCAACCAAACCGGGACCAAAAACAGCATTTTACAATGGCATGAGGTCTGCGAGGCACTTTCCGACTACAAGATCTGGATCCTTTTCTTCTTCCAAATAGCCAACAACATCCCAAACGGAGGGCTTACAATGGCAAGTTTCTAGTGACTACGCACAGCTCATTCCAACTGACTGACTGGTCCATTTAGTTTGGTTCACTGGTACTCGCCGGGTTTGGATATTCGACTCTGCATGTCTACCTCTTGCAAATACCTATGGGTGCCGTCCATGGCTTGTTTGTTGTAGGAAGGTTAGTCCCTCGTGAGGCACTCCTATGCCACAGAGAGTATACTAAATCTCGATCAATACAGCACTTACCTTGCAACTAAGTTCCATAACATTCGATGTGTTCTGGTATCATGTTGCACAATAGTGTCGTGAGTTAGTCTATTTTCGCCATGAGGCTTGAGAACTCGGTTGACAACGTGCTATGCTACAGACTTATTGGCTGTGTGTTGGTATACAGATGTCATAACAATGGCGCCCGCTTGTTTGGCATGTTCATCTTCTCGGCCTACGCAGCTGGTATCCCAATGACCCTATCGATGATTTCTTCCAACGTTGCAGGGTTTACCAAGAAGGCCACAGTCAGTGCGATGATGTTCGTCGCATATTGCATTGGCAATATCGTGGGCCCATTCTTGTTCCTCTCCCGTGAAGCACCGGCGTATAAAGTAAGTGGCGAGCTGCGCTTCTTCCTGCATAAGTGATCACTAATGTGTATTTAGAGCGGGTTCATATCTATCATTATCTGCCTCGCTGTTGCTACTGTCCTCGTTCTTGTTTTGGGGCTTACCTGGCGGTGGGAAAATCATCGACGAAACCAAAAGTACGGACCGCCCGTTGAAGTCGTCGCTATACACAACGAAGGAAAGACCGGAACCATTTCCGCGGTGGCAGTGGAGGACTTGACGGACGTCCATAACCACAATTTTCGCTATGTATTCTGAAGAGTCATCGTGCAGTCGTCCGAAATGATCGTCGTGCTCAAATTTCGGCAATCCGAGCCTTATTGAATCACCAAGGGTTGGCCCTTGGAGAGTCAGTATGCGTACTACTCCTGTTTGTCTTGCTTGCTTCATATGAGAGGATATTTCAGCTGCGAAGCCTAGCATATCTGCCTACCACGAACACACTAGTCAATCTATTACCATATTCACAACAAGAAGCGAGCTTGGAAGCCTTCAATACGCAGCAGACCAGGAACGAACTAGTAGTAGAACTGGCAGACTGACAACCAGCAAATATACCGTAGCCCTGATCATGGGATGGTAGTATTAGTCGTCTTACTGGAGTCTGGATAACATCCGGTTAGTACGTGTAACAGCGTATTTTTGGTTTTGATTGGTATAACATGTTCACGTCACCTTACGTATGTCTTACAATACATGACACAGCCACACGTTTAGAATTACCACAGTACTAGAATCGTAATACCAACCATTCACCCCGTCGCAAGCTGAGTATTATTTGTGTTATGCCATGTTTCCAATGTGAGTTACTATGTATATTAAGAATGGTCTGCAGTACCATGGTCCCTGGGCACTGTGTAGGTATGCAGTGGCTCATACCCTGATCCTAGTGTGATGCTTCAAGCTGCAAAGGCGTTGTAGGCCGTCTACACAGACTATAAAGGATAGAGCATTATGTTGTATGCCTAATCAGTGCCGAGTTTGGTAAGTAGAGAGAAAACATAGACAGGCATATTGTGTCATTACATACTAAGTGGTATATCTTGCACTGTAACAGTGTGTCGCTGTTGTTAGCAGAGAGGGCAAACCCCACAGTACAAGCGTGCCTGGCAAAATCCAACCCCGCCCAGCCCAGACAGTTTTTCTCTTTTTTCCCTACGTCAGCCACGCAGTCTCTGGCAACAAGACAACACATTCTCTCACTGTCTCTTGCATATATTCGACAGAAATAAAAAAAATACACTCGCACTGACGATTCCTTTCCCTTCTTCATCCAGGGCCTTCTCACTGCGGCCGCGTCTCTCTGCCCACCATGAGCGCACCTCAACCCAACGAAGCGGAAAAGAATATTGAAATATGGAAGGTGAAAAAGCTCATCAAGCGGCTTGAAGCCGCCAGGGGAAACGGAACCTCCATGATTTCATTGATTATTCGTATGTACTATTCAACTGACTTGCAGAAATTCAATACTAACAGCATCCAGCTCCCAAAGATCAGGTTTCCCGCGCCGCAAAGATGTTGGCTGAAGAATACGTATGATACCCCAGCAGTCGATTATTGGGAAGATACGACATTGACATATCAGATAGGGTACCGCTTCCAACATCAAATCCCGTGTCAACCGTCTCTCTGTGTTGTCCGCCATTACCTCCACCCAGCAACGTCTCAAGCTCTACAACAAGGTCCCTCCTAACGGCCTCGTCGTCTACTGCGGTGAAATCATCACCTCCGAAGGAAAAGAGCGAAAGATCAACATCGATTTCGAACCGTTCAAGCCCATCAATACCTCTCTTTACCTTTGTGACAATAAATTCCACACCGAAGCCCTAAGCGAGTTGCTCGAGTCCGACCAGAAATTCGGTTTCATTGTCATGGACGGTAGCGGCACTCTTTTCGGAACTCTGAGTGGAAATACCCGAGACGTAATTCAAAAATTCTCGGTCGATTTGCCCAAGAAGCACGGTCGTGGTGGTCAATCCGCTCTGCGTTTCTCCCGTCTCCGAGACGAAAAGCGTCACAACTACGTCCGCAAGGTCGCTGAATTGGCTGTGCAGAACTTTATCACCGCCGACAAGGTCAACGTAGCTGGTATCATTCTTGCTGGTTCGGCTGATTTCAAGAACGACCTGAACCAGTCCGATCTGTTCGATCAGCGTCTGCAATCCAAGGTCATCAAAGTCGTTGATGTGTCATATGGTGGTGAAAACGGGTTTAATCAGGCTATTGAGTTGGCGGCAGAGACTCTTGGAAATGTCAAGTTCATCCAGGAGAAGAAGCTCATCGGCAAATACTTTGAAGAAATTAGTCAGGACAGCGGAAAAGTCTGCTACGGTATTGAAGATACCCTCAAAGCTTTGGAGCTGGGTGCCGCCGAGACCTTGATTGTTTACGAAAATCTTGACGTGACCCGCTGGGTCCTCAAAGCGTCCGATGGCTCGGAGATCATTCTTCACACTACTAAGGCTCAAGAAGCCAACCGAGAGCAGTTCATGGACAAAGAATCCGGCCAAGAGATGGAAATCATTGAACAGGGCTCTTTCCTGGAGTGGCTCSCCGAGAAATACAAGGACTTTGGTGCTGCCTTGGAGTTTGTTTCTGACCGTTCCAGCGAGGGTAACCAGTTTGTCAAGGGTTTCGGTGGTATCGGTGCCTTGCTCCGATACAAGGTGAACTTTGAGCAGCTCGCGGACTTTGATGACGATGATGAGTTTTACGATGGTATGTCTCTTTTCTCCGCCTCTTGTCGACTGACAAATACTAATGTTTCCATTTAGATTGACGGTTCTGCAACCTCGCAGGGAGCGAGGATGAGCGCCCAGAAATTCCCCCAGCGGATGTTCTGACGGCTCGCCGCGTCAAAAGCAAAGCCGTTGCCAAACAGATTTTCGAGGCCGTTCTTGTGAGAGTCGGTTGTCTTGAAACTGAGATATCCGCCAACTTGGTCCGAGGTATGCCATTCTACTTTCCTCTTTTTCTGACATTTCAACTAACCTTGACAAGGCCCATCCAAGCTCCACATAGTGGATGCATTCACCAGTACGGCATGTGTGACTCGAATTGTTTGAGAAGAGAATGGCCTTTTCTCTCTTTTGACATGTCACGAGAAAGAGAAGAGATTCTTTTCTTGCGGCGTAGGAACAAGAGAGTAGTCAAGCTCATGTTTACGATTATACAAAAATAAAATCCTTACTTGATAGACTGTTTTATACCAATGCAACGACAAGCAATAAAATTGTTCCATGTATTATCTATAGTCATCAGCACTTAGGAGATGATTTGGTTCGATATATTCCCACTGACAAAATCCACCAAAATGGCCGCATACCTAGTACCTAGTTATTAATAGTACCAACCTCAAACATCTCTGTTTAAAGAATCAGACTCACGCAACAGTAGCACCAAAAATGTCTGCCCGACGCGCATTCGTCATCAACCCAACACTCAGCGCAAACAGCGCTGTGAATCCAGTGGCCATTCCAAGCTTCGCGTCGTCGTTGGTGACATAGTACAGACTCGTGATGGGCCCAATCAAGACGATTGCGGCAACGAAGATAGTAGTGAGAGCGAGTGCTCTTGAGATGGAGGATGCAGCTCGTCTCAGTGAGGTTGAGAGACAACGTCAATGGGAGTCCTTGAGAAAAACAAATCGAGCGTCGAGGCCTCAATTATCGGCATCTCGACGACAACCAAGTCCATCGCCAAAGCCTAGTGTTCCTACGGTCATAAGAATAATCAAGAATGGAAACAATGCACAGGCGAGAGTTTCTCTACGAACCTAGTGGAAGAAGAAAACGGGGGTATCCAAAATTTCTCCGCCTCTGCAAAGCCACAATAGAGCTAGCTAGCGCTCAGAACTTTGATAGAAGGAAAAAAATTGTTTGACCTCTGATGCATATGTCCATGGAGTTGTATTTTTACGCCCGAAGTGTGAATGCTGTTGTCATGCTGTATATACCCTCAAGCTACCAAATCACGTCCATCAATCCAACTTCCTAGACCTCTGCATGCATGGCATATAGTTCCTAGCTCTTTCAAAATATCTTCAGTGCACGTTTCATCATTTGCAGCCGGCACATGCTCGCACTCGACGAAGAAAATATACTGCCACGGCCGAATCAGACTGGGTCTCGAGTTGATACTGGTCAGGTTCAAGCCATGTTTCTTAAAGATTGATAACGCGTCAGCCAGTGCTCCCGGCGCTGAGTGCTCGATCGTGAAGGATATGAGTGACTTTTTCTTTTTCTTCCGCCCTTCCGTGTCTCTGGCGGCGGCCGCAGTCTTCAGGTAAGTAGTTATGCTGGAAGGGCGTTCCGATAATCTGTTCCCTAAAATCAGGAAGCGTGTAGTATTATCCGGTCGATCTTCAATATGCTCCTGCAACACATATGCTCCATGGAACTCAGCCGCAAGTTTGCTGGCAATTGCAGCTTCTTGACCAGAGGTCTCCTTGGCGACAATCTCGACCGCTTTCGAGGTCGAGGAGACATCCTGCCGTTCTACACCTCGAAAGTGCTGACTCAAGAACTTCTCGCATTGACCCCATGCCTGAGGATGCGTATATAATTTGTTTATCGACTTGAAAGAATCTTCTTTATTGTCATTCGACGGTTTAGCAGTAATGAGGCAATGCTGTACCGTGAGAAAATAGTCTGCACAGACGGTGACATCTTTATTCGATCCTTGTCGATCCGCCAAAAGATCCAACGTCTGGACAACCGAACCATTTGTTGAGTTCTCAATGGGGATCACAGCATAGTCGGCGTTGTTGCTCTGGATTGCGGAGAAAGCTTCGGCAAATGAGACGGAAGGAAATAGTGTTACGGTCTCACTCTTGCCAAAACTGTCAATGGCAGCCTGTCCAAATCAATTGACTGTTAGCTCTCGTGCTTGGAACGAGGAGAGGAGAGTTGCAGACCTGGTGAGAATATGAAGCCAGAGGCCCGAGGAAAGTCACTTTTATTGAGTCTTTCATTTTATGTTAGATAGCTATCTCATATGCTGTAATATCAGAGGTATGCCCGTATGAACATATTCAAGAATGAATTAAAAAAATGCCCAAGAGAGTGTGTGTTTGACTGTTTGTGTTGTGCCTGCTTACTCCGCCAAAATGTTTCTGTTACACGGAAGCAAGGCCGACAACGGAACGAACGAACGACCCCACGGCGGATAAGACGATCTCCCATCGTACCTTCAACAACTCACAATCACCTTACAGCTTGCAATGCTCGTTTCGCGCACTTGCAGGCTGCTATCACACAATAATGCCTCGCTAATAATCAAGCGCGCAGTATCGTCGTCGTCATCGGCTCCCATCAACCCGTCTATAATTCGACATGATCTCACATCACGTTTGTTACCTTTGAGCTACGATTACCTCACACCTCAACCATCGCATCTCCTGAATCTCTCGCTCCCGAGGCTCCTTCAGTCTAGAATAGATGGTGGGAAAACGGAGGAAAATGGCGAAGACCGGAGCAAACTACCTTCGGTAACGCAGCCTATTCGCATGCCCTCCGGACATCACCTCGTATACTTTCCTCCGCAAGTCACACTTTCCGAGCTGCTGCCGGACGGAACAGATATTTTGCATACTCCTGGAGAGCCATTTAACCGCCGATTATGGGCTGGTGGGAAAATTACGTTTCCGCAGCCAGGTGGTCACGCTGATAACCTGTTGCTCAACGGCCAGCGCGCAGCCTGCGTGGAGAATATAGGCAATGTTGCTGTACAAGGATCCGAAGGCGACGAAAAGATACTTGTTACAATAGACCGACGATTCACATCGGTGCATGAACTTGAGGATGAAGCACAAATCAGGGCAAGAGTAGCAAGCGATAGCAGTGAAGTCCTCGTGGAAAAAAGAACCTTGTTCTTCATGCGAGACCTTGACCCAGAGCAGCAACTTGAAAGAGACAGGAAGAAGAGTAGATTCGTAAAAGGTATGCCAGTCTCAAACTCGTTTAGTTCGACATGAAGTCATTACTAATATGATATCGCTTCGCGAACCATAGCGCCCACGGATCCAGATGTCAGCTATAAGATGACGCCGTCCAAGGCTCTACTATTCCGGTTCTCGGCTCTGACATTCAACGCGCACTTGATCCATCTTGATCCTCTCTATACGCGCAATACGGAAGGCCATCAAAATGTTCTAGTTCATGGACCATTAACAGTAGTATTGATGCTTAGTTTCTTGTCGAATCATTTATCAAGACTAGGGCTCTGTGTCAAGGACTTTGAATACAGAAATTTGGCACCATTACACGTTGATGAGGAATTAAGAATCTGCGCCAAAGCAAAACAACAAGGATCAGGTCAGTGGGCAGTTTGGATTGAAGGGCCACAAGGTGGTCTGGCGGCGAGAGGGACTGCTTGGGCTGCTTTTGTGTAATTAATGATGCCATTTATTACAGGCATAACAATCCCATCCCAAGTTAACGTGATCTTGAAACACGTACTCCGTGATATCTTCGTACTGAAAATGTAATAATATACATGCGAAAGTATCAATACGTTACCGAACGACTTCTTAATACCGGAACAACTATAGTCCAAAGCTAAGCGGAGCCTCACGCTAAAACAAATTAATTTAAATCGTGTCTTCTTGACAGCTTTTTTCCTCTTTCCTTTCAATTCTCACTCTTCTCGCAACCTGAGCTGTCCTGTCTTCATCTCACTGTCTCTATTGATTCTATATTAGACACGATGGATGTTTTTTGGGCAGCTCCTCCGATTTCCAGGTACTTACTCTTATTCTTACCTGCTCTTGCTTTACTGCCAGGCAGACAGAATATCAGGACAAGACCTAACTAGCTTCTGCTACAGGACACTGACTGCACTAGCTTTCTTCGAGGGTCTGGCCATTCATGGCCAGTTCATACCTGCTTCCAGATTCATTTTCCTTCCCAAGCTTATTTTCACATTCCCTCCGGAACCATGGAGACTGATCACTCCTTTCTTCCTTGTTAGTGGAGGAGTTCACTTCTTCTTCGATCTTTATTTCCGTATGATTCCCTAGGAGTTCCGCCATCGCAATGGAAGATGGGAGCATTCTTGTTGACGCATTGCTACTTTTCAGTATACACATACGCAAGCGGTTTGGAGAGAGGCTCCCCTCGCTTTGCTCTACCGGGTGACTTTACTGTCTATCTCATTTTTGTGTGCACTGTTATCATGGTAAGTTTGCGGATAATCTCTCTTTTCCGAGTCTTTTCACAATGTACCACTATACACAAAAAAAATTGAGAACATATTTATCACTACAATTGTCTATCTTCTGTTGTTGGCTTGGAAGAAAGAAGCACTACACCTCACCATATCTGCCCGCCCAGTTATTCTAGCTGAAGCGGTTCCTGGAAGTGAGGAAGATCAACCCTGCATTTCGTGCAGTCCCATATATATGTCAATTCCGGGGCTGTATGCGGTGCGGGATGGTGGGACGACCAATTGAGATAACCATGCGCGGTATAATCTCCGCGTATGGTGGTTATGGTGCCCTACATTTCTTTATTCTCTACATGTCTCGATAAGCTATAATCTATTCAACCTTGATTTTCATTCCTTAAGAAGCTTCCTGATAAAAAACGATTGCTGACTACATGTAGATCACTGCATACTGGTACATGTCGGCCATAGTGTTCACCCACGGTACGAAGAGACTACGAATGTCCTAGCTTCATTATAAAGACACATAACTAACAAAAATCACACACTGAAGGCCTTATACTGGCTCTCACACACACTTGGTCACAAGCCAATCGTGGAAGATATGTGAGCTTTTACGTGATGCAAATCAAGGCCGAATACCTTCCCGTGTGCCTTCTTCTGCTTGATTTGGTGAGCGGGGGCTGGGGCTCTGCCGTCATGAGCATGATTGGCATTTTTGCATCCCATTTGTATGACTTTCTCACTCGACTCTGGCCGGTCTTTGGTGGAGGAAGGAACTACCTAAAGACCCCAGCATTCGTGCACCGGCTATGGGGAACTACGGTCAGGGAGCAGCGATCTCGGGGACTTGGTCCATCTGCTGGCTCCTCTAGCCAGGCTTCCTCCGGTCAATCTTCGGCACGAGACGACTCTCTTGGATCTTCATGGAGCATGAGAGGTGCCGGACGGAGACTGGGTGGTAGTTGATCTATTCCGGATCATGTTTGTAACAACACGCACACCTTCACGACAACCAATTGTACGTTAAATCGAGATAAGATAGTATCAACAATATTATTACAACGCATACATACATAGTAGATCATGTAAACCATACAAAGATCGATCTTTTCAGTGGTCGACCAATACGACCGTCTCATTGGATGATTTAGACCTAGTCCACGCGCTAACCCTAATTAGTCGCCCAAGCTCGGACCGCACTTTTTTTTTCTTCTGCCGTCGATTTTTCAACCTCAGAACCTCTGACTGGCACAGCAATCACCATTCTAGCACATATCGCCAATTTTTGGTTAATCGCAAAAATGGCTGCTGCAACCAAGGACATTGCTGATTTCAGCATCAAGCCTGAGGCTGTCACTCCCTCTATTCCGACATCTGAGTGGCCTCTGCTTCTCAAGAACTATGATCAGCGTGAGTTTGCCTCTTCTACTGTCGCTCTTGTAGTGAAGACGACAACGCAAATTATCAATTCACGCTGACTTTCCTCTCAGTTCTCGTCAGAACCGGTCATTTTACCCCTATCCCAGCTGGTTGCACACCCCTCAAGAGAGATTTAAAGTCTTATATTAGCTCTGGTGTTATCAACCTCGACAAGCCCTCGAACCCTTCCAGCCACGAGGTTGTGGCATGGATGAAGAGAATTCTCCGGTATGTTATTTGCGTAAAGAATTACTGATAAGAACGTAAGCTAATGTTTTACAGAGTCGAGAAAACCGGTCACAGTGGTACCCTCGACCCCAAAGTCACCGGTTGTTTGATTGTCTGCATTGATCGGGCAACCCGTCTCGTCAAGTCTCAACAAGGGGCCGGTAAGGAGTACGTGTGTGTTATTCGTCTCCACGATAAGATTCCCGGCGGTGAAGCTCAGTTCGCTCGCGCCCTCGAGACCTTGACCGGAGCCCTCTTCCAGCGTCCTCCTCTTATTTCCGCCGTCAAGCGTCAACTTCGTATCCGAACCATCCACGAAAGCAAATTGTACGAATTCGACAATGACAGACATCTCGGTGTTTTCTGGGTTAGCTGTGAAGCCGGTACCTACATTCGAACTCTCTGTGTCCATCTTGGATTGTTGCTCGGTGTTGGCGCACACATGCAGGAACTTCGCCGTGTTCGCAGTGGAGCTATGGACGAGCAGGATGGAATGGTTACTTTGCACGATGTTCTCGATGCTCAGTGGTTGCATGACAACCAGCGCGATGAGTCTTACTTGAGGAGGGTCATCCGCCCTCTTGAGAGCTTGCTCACCACCTACAAGCGTATTGTCGTCAAGGACAGCGCAGTCAATGCTGTTTGCTACGGTGCTAAGTTGATGATTCCCGGTCTTCTCCGATTCGGTAGGTCTTACTCTTTTCTGGTTTGGGATGGACTATACTAACAGTGTGCAGAGGCTGGTATCGAAGTCAATGAAGAAGTCGTGCTTATGACTACTAAGGGCGAGGCCATTGCTCTTGGTATTGCTCAAATGTCTACTGTTGAGCTTTCGACTTGCGATCACGGTGTGGTTGCCAAGGTCAAGCGATGCATTATGGAGCGTGATCTTTACCCTCGCCGATGGGGCTTGGGTCCCGTCGCTTTGGAGAAGAAGAAGCTGAAGTCTGACGGAAAGCTTGATGTGAGTAGACCATACGTATGCCCATCGCCGATACAATTTACTGACTACGACGCAGAAATATGGTCGCCCTAACGAAGCCACACCCGCCAAGTGGCAAAGCTCATACAAAGACTACAACGCTCCACTAGATGAGCAGGCTACCGCCGCCCCCGCCCAGAAGCCTGAGGACGCTCCTGCTCCTTCATCTCCATCATCAAAGATGGACATTGAGGAGGACAAGGCAGAGGAGAAGCCCGATGACGAAAAGAAGAAACGCAAACACGACGGCGAGACGCCCGAAGAACGCGCCGAGCGTAAGCGCAAGAAGAAGGAGAAGAAGGAAAAGAAGGAGCGACGAAAGTCCAAGCAAGAGAAAGAGGACAGTGACAGCGACTAAGCAACCTTATGAATTGCTATATAAGAAAAGTGGCATGATTCTGGAGGTGGTGGCTTGATGCCGGCATGGTCGCCTCATATGTCCTGATCAAATTCGTTTGTATCATATACAACTTTCTGCCTGGAGTTTAGGGTTTTGCGGTTTTTTGAATTGCTTGTCGAGATTTTTCCTCCTGTCTATCTTGTCTTTTTGGTCTTCTTTGGGGGAAAAGTTGGAGCCATGACGTTTCTGGATCGTTACTACATTTTTAGTCGAATGGAACAGTGACTACTTATTTAATCGAAGCGTACTTAGGTAGCGTTCAAAGTCAAGTATCTAGCATGCTCAGGTGGGAGTTCCCATTTGTATGGGCACGGGATTATCCTCTATCATTAACATTATCTACATAAGGTCTTGTTTAGGGCAAGCAGACACATATCGTGACTGAGCCCCATTCAATGGTGCAACATACTGCTGGAGCCCCCCGACAACGGAAATTACCATAGATGTAGAACGAAGCCATATAAACTGAGTTAATTCATCCCGGAGTTTTCAATTCATCCTCATCATCATCCTCAAGCGACCATTGCAATCTCAACTTCGTTCTTTCCCAAGTCAAAAAAGACTATCATGTCTGGGCTTCATCCTAATCATCCAAATCCTCGTCCTAATGCTTTTTCTGGCGCTTTATACAAATCTGATCACAGCATCCATCCTATCCGTGACCTCAGCCTCCCCACGATCACCACATACATCAAACACGACAACGGCAACTCACAAGAAATCTCCTGCATCGGACTACGAGACCTAGTAATAGGCTCTTCTCAACCACAGTGCATAGATACGTCATCCTTGGAAGAACTCTCGTTTCACGCATGGGTAAACAGTGTACGCGAAGATATGGCTCSCGAGACCCGTGGAAAGCTGGCATTGTCGAGTGGCTGGCACATTTACATTGGGCTCAAGACTGGGACACGTCTGATGCTTGTGCCTCCGAATGATCGTGGGTTTCGAGCTGGTCCCAAGCGAAACTTTGATCTGACTCGTGGGTTCGTTGAGACAGACGTCACGATCATATTGTGCCGTCCGACAAACGAGTAACTCGTCTTTGCTCACCCTAGCTGATATCACTTTCACTGGGTATCCATGCTGGTATGCTGAGCGTTATGATCAGATATAGACAGGTGAATGACAATAGCTACATCAGTTATCGATGGTGAAGACTAAAGTTCATGGGTTCTTTCAGGCGGATTGGCTCAGCCTTGCCTTCGCAAAACTGATCTACAATTCAAGATTTCGGCAATACATGCTTTAACACGAACTTTGACATTGATAGACACCTTGTAATTCAAAGTGCGGTGAAGTAGAAAATCCATGTGAGCGCCATCCAGGCATCAAGGCCTCCATCGACTTATCTCGCTGGAAGCCTCCGTCAATGGAAAATCCCGTCAACATAGAGACCATGCCTATATATTCGAAGAATAGATCCACCTGTCTCGAGGGTATTCTTTTCTTCCCTTTTCTTTCCAAAGGGCTACTATTACACGCTGCTGATACTCACCTTCCTATCACACCAGTGCAACAAATCGTCATGTCTAATTTACCTAATCCTCCTCCTTATTCTACTCACAACACCCCTCATCTCCGCGACATCACTCTCGCAACTATTACCACAGTCCTCGTAAGCAAATATGGCAACGAGAAGGAAGTCTCTTGCGTCAGTCTCTGAGACCTCATTGTTGATTCTGGCCTCGACCCTATTCCAATGTGCATAGACGCAGCATGGATTTGCCGACTATCATACGGGAAATGGATCGAAGCTGTAATTGAGGATGTGTTTTTCCCAGACCACCGGCAAATAAGAAGACACCTTCCTTCTCATAGTTGCAAGATCTGGATTGCAGTGGGTACAAAGCAATTGCGAGTTTTTCCAAGCGATCGTGGATTTCGAGCTGCGATTGCGAAATGGTTTGCGTTGAATTCCGAGCAACCTGCGTCGGCTATCACTATCTTCATGGCACGATCTGATGAAGAGCCAAAAGTTAGGTATGTTTTGTCCGTCGTTTCCATTGATAAGCCGTCCCTAATTCCAAATACTATCCGAAGACTTGGAAATCAGGACATAATCAGACATCCACAGAACAATAGCGTACCAGTCGATAGCGTGGAAGTATGAGGGACAGAAACATTACATGGACCTGATTACTGTCAGCTGTATTCATGAATGCATCGAAATTTTGGAAGAAGCCTTTGGATACTTATGGGTGACTGGAAGCTTCTCGGAAAACGAAGTGGTGTGACTTGGGCAATTGGGGATGCCTCACATATATGGAATTCTGATATTGAATCACACGAATTTTACTTAGTTCCATCAATTTAAAAAAACATATAGCAACTCTATCTTTGTCCATGTGGTCATCTGTATTTGTAGTGTCGATGTAGAAGGGATCATGTGAGGCCATCCGCTTCTCCGCACTCCGCAGGCCAATCACCGCTTAATCCCGAAACTCTTTCACTTCACCTCTTCTCCTCTTCTCTTCTTCTTTCAAGCAACCAAGGGCGTTTCGTGCTGCTTGTTCTCATCATTCGCACAATCTCCTGCCATGAATGATATTGTTACAACATGGCTGCCGAACTCACCTCAACCAAGCTCAACCCTGAGAGCCATCTCCTCTTGGTATGTGCTCACTACGTCACCACCTCACCTCCTCACGATAACCCAGCATAAGCTGACCTCACCCAAATCAACAGGACCAACCTCTTCTCCGTCTCCCCCACGAACTAGCAAGACGAAACTTCAAATCCGTACAGAGAATCGTCGAACGAGAAAGAGATTACATCATCCCCGCACTGAAAGAAACCGCAAATGGCTCGTTGGCCGGCACCCAGACCCCCGATCAGACGCTCGCCTCCTTGGACGCCATGATAGCTAGAATGCAGGGGTTGAAACGGAAGATGGAGTCCCTGCAAGAAGAGGAGAAAAGGATTCAGACGCAGTCGAAGAAGCGTATCCAGCATCTTCAAGATCTTTATAAGATTCAGACCCTGGCAGATGTCAAGTATGAGGAATGGTCGCGGACACGACTGGACAGATTGATTGTGGATCATATGCTACGTTCTGGCTTCCCCGAAAGCGCGAAACAGCTCGCAAAAGCAAAGGGTATTGAGGATTTGGTCGACACTGGCACCTTCGTCCAGTGTCAACGCATTGCGGAGAGCTTGCGGTCCGGAGATGCCAAGGAAGCATTGCAATGGTGTGGTGAAAACAAGGTTGCTCTCAAGAAGAGCCAGGTATGTACAGTTCAAGTCCACATGTTAAGATACCAACTGCTAAGTGCCACGCACTTGCAGAATACCTTGGAATTCGAATTACGCCTTCAGCAATACATAGAAATGGTCCGGACGGGCCAGCCGACTAAGATGATTGAGGCCATGCAACATGCCAAAAAGTATCTTTCACAGCACCTCGAGACACAGTCTGTAGAAATTCACCGTGCTGCCGGTCTACTTGCTTTCAAGAAAGATACAGACGCAGAGCCCTATAAGGTACATTCAGTACTTCATCGTCGTCCGGAGAAAATCTGCTAACATACATTGCGCGCAGTCTATGTACTCTCTCGATCGTTGGAAATATCTCTCGGACCTCTTCCTTCGCACGCATCACGAGCTACTCTCACTACCCCCTCGACCACTACTCCACATAGCTCTATCCGCCGGCTTGTCCGCTCTAAAAACACCAGCATGCCACTCACAATACACCTCCTCAAGCACCAACAATTCATCAATCACGACGTCACTTTGCCCGATCTGTTCCACAGAGCTGAATGAGCTGGCTAGACATGTGCCGTATGCGCACCATACAAAGAGTTCGGTAGAGAATGATTCCATCATCCTGCCTAATGGGCGAATCTATGGCCGGGAACGGATACTAGAAATGAGCAGGAAAGTTGGGTCCGTTGGGGAAGGGAAAGTGATGGATCCGACGACTGGTGACACTTTTGATGAGAAGGACATGAAGAAGGTTTATATTATGTAGTACATACAGATCGAATAAATTGTGCATACACTTCTTACTCATTGATATATACATATGTAAAATGGTAGTTATATTTGATGCTGGTTGAGCGGCTAAAAGCGGCGAGCGGCAATCAAATTTGGATACATAAAAAATAACCTCCGACAAGCCATCATATGTACTCAAATCGAAGAACTCAGCAAGGGTAACGATCACAATCTTAAACCAGCTCGAATTAGAAAGACACTATATATAAGAGAGCAATTGAATTCCATTTACAAAAAAAGAAAAAGAAACCCTGTTTCCGGTCAAAAGCAAAATGGCGAAATCAAAAAACAAACATCCGAAAGGGCAACAACAAGGATCAGGAGACTCCAAGAAACGGAAGATGCAACAGTTCCAGCGAGTGTCAATGTCATATCAGCCCGGCGCTTCTTCAAAGGCAACAGATCCATCAGGGAAGAAGAGGAAGTTGGCCGATACAACGGCCATTGATAGCCCACAACAAGCGTGGAAGAACAAGAAAAGCGCGAAGAGTACGCATCAACAGGAACTACATCAGCGGCCGACGATACCATACCATAAGAAAGATCGGATACTATTGATTGGAGAGGGTGAAACCTTCCGCTCCCTCCCAAGCTATTGATGATCTGTGGTCTAACTTCACATAGGCGACTTTTCATTTGCGCGCTCATTGTACGAGCACCATCGCTGTAAGAATGTGTTCGCTACCTGCTATGACTCCGAGGAGACATTGTTGAGTAAATATCACGGCCATGCAGAGGAGAATATCAAGCAATTTCTCGACAGACCTGACAACCAGGGCAGTGAAGATGATGTCAACAACAACAACAACGAAGATGAGAACGATACTACTACTACGAAAAAGTCTATCAAACCGCCAACTCGGGAAGTGATGTACTCCGTCGACGCCAGAAAGTTAGGAAGTAATACCGGCGGCGGAAAAGATATACGAAAAGGCATTCTTCTGAAACGGAGAAAGAGTCAACCTTATCATCGAAACGGTGGTCAGCAAAATCAGGAAAGCGACGCCGGCGGGCCATGGGATATCATATCCTTCAATTTCCCGCATGTAGGTGGTCTATCGACAGATGTCAATCGACAAGTACGCGCAAATCAGGAACTGCTTGTGGCTTTTTTCAAAGCGTGTGTTCCCCTGTTATCGAAAACGCCTAGAAAAGAAGACGATCAGAATGCAGAGGATGATTACGAGGATTACTACTCGGATGATGAAACGTCTGAATCCGAGTCCGAAGAAGACGAGGGCAATCAAGATAAAAAAAGGACGATACCAAGGCAATCAGGCCAAATCATCGTCACCATCTTCGAAGGCGAGCCGTATACACTCTGGAACATCAAGGATCTTGCCCGGCATGCGGGACTGGTGGTCGTGACTAGTTTCAACTTTCCCTGGAAATCGTATCCGGGGTATTCGCATGCGCGGACTTTGGGGATTGTGGAGAGTCGAGGTAATAAAAACGGGAATGAAGATGCGGAGACGAGAAGAGGATGGAAAGGGGAGGATAGAGAAGCGAGGAGTTTTGTTTTTGAGGTCAAGGGTAAATCTGGTGGGCATTGGAGACAGGGACAGCAGAAGATGAATAACGAGGATGGTGGAAAAGGGAATAAGAGAGGAAGGAAAGACGATTCGAGTGATGAGGACTAACTGACCTATCTACCTTCGTACGCGAGCGCGAGCCTTGATATTGATGGAGTGGTGGATGTCTGATATTCCATTCATTCGAAGAGTCAATAAAACAAATAATAATCTATCAATATATACAACAGTCATTGAAGAAACAAAACAGTCATTCCAAGTCTACTAACACAAAACCCCTTGCAATGAAACCAAAACATAAAAGTTAAACAAATAGTCGTACCACATGTATGAACTGTGTCAAAATGGTAACGTTTTGAGATGGAAGGGGAAAGTTAATTGGGTCATTATAGTTAAATTTTTGTAATTTCATCTTGTCATTCAAGATAAATATATGCTGAAATTGTCATGATATGTGAAAAACATACGTAGGAAGATGCCACCAGTATGAAATGTCACATAAACCGAGAAAAGTCGATGGTCCATGCTCGAGCATCGTCACATCGAATTTATTGAAATGAACTCCGAGAAATTGCCTTACCGATATGGCGCTCTCATGGAAAAGTCAAAACTCTAATCGTATCATTGTTTTAAAGAGCTCTCGCTGCTCCTAGACTCTCTTGACATCGGAAGTCAACTTAAGACCTCAAGGAGTCGCGCATGCTTTGGCTGCTGGCGCTAAGAGGTATGTTCGTAGTAGGGAGAATACCGGTCTTGGGTTTGGCGTTTTGCTTGAACTTGGCAACAGAATACACAATACCGCTGACGAATCCAATGGCAATAGCAGAAACACTGCCTAGAGTGACGGGAGCGTCAAAGAAGACGAGACCGGATACCGCAATGGGGAGTTTGTTCAAGGCTCCAACCATGGAGTAGGTTGTCGATGAGGTAACGCGCATGCACCAGGCGGATGTGTAAGAGATGAAGACGGAAGACAGACCGGAAAGGACCATGGCGATAAGGATGTTTGTTCGGCTGGCAATTGGGAAGTTGCGGGCGATGTTCTCAGCTGACCAGTCCTCAATAAGCAATGTAGCAACGATGAGGACGGGTATAGAGAGCAAGTTGTTGTAGAACATGGCTATAAAAAGTTAGTCCTTTCTTTAAAAGTGCTACAAATGGACTAAGCTTACTGTCAAAGTCTTTGAAGTTGGTCAACTTTATGCGCTTGCGCATGTACAGACTGTAGAACGCAGTACAAATGCAATTGGCCATCATCCAGACATAACCGGCATTCAAAGTCGAAATCTGGGTGCTAGCGTTCGTAGTGGATGTGAGCGCATGCTGAACATCGGCCCAAGCAGCAATAATGGAACTGGCAACCATCAATCCGAAGGAAAACAGAGTGAGACCTGTAACAGCAGAACCGCCAAACCAGAGGACTTCCCCATAAGCGATCAGAATGATGGTCAAGTTCTTGAAGATGGTGTAGACGGGAATCGAAAGGAATTGCAGGGCCTTGGATCCGGTGAAGATCATTCCGATAAGAAGAAGAGTAATGGGGAACCCTAGATAAGGTAGACGATCAGTTTACTGGAATTGACTTCCCTGCCATTGCCAACTTACACTTCTTAGCTTCATCTGTGTTGAAATTGCGAAAGGTTATGAGTCCACCAGCCTTGCAAGCCTGAATAGCGATGATACACACGACGGACTACAACAAAGTCAGTCAAGAACCACACCCACGACCACCGAACGCAGAACACACCTGAACGAGAAGCAGGAGAAAATTGAGATTAAAGTCCAATCCCGACAAGACATATTTGTTCATCACAGTCATCATAATAGAGGAACCGCAATAAGCCAATACAGGCAGAATAGGGTTGTTCGACAGAGCGGCCGACGGGCCGGAGGATGGAGTGTGTCGAAGGGGAGGTGCCTCAAAGGCTCTGCCTTGTTCCATCTTCTCGTCTGTTCTTTTGTCGTCTGCCATGATGATAGAGGAAGTGTTGATCGCGTGCGTGAGGAGGTTCGTTCGTTGCGTTCAAACTTGGAAGTGGATGACGCGGCTTAAGATTTTGACAGCGCGCGTTGAAAGGTCGTACGCTGTGAAAGTCTGGCCGGAATTGAGCAAAGCGTTGACCAAAGGCGTGACCAGACAAAATATAACTAGAAGAAAGAAAAATGGACGAAGGAAATGTCAAGTAATTGTTCAAGCCAAGTTGGTCTATACGCAGGGGGAAAAAGGAAGGAAGTAAGACAAGACAAGCAAACTGGGCGTTACGGCTGTGGCTCAGCGATAAGCATCCCCATTGGCCGACGGCCGGAAATGGCTTGTAATTAATGTGGTATTATTGGTACGTACACGTACGTACATCGAAGGTCTAGAGCCGGTCGATTTGGGTTGGTATGATACGACGTGTATCAATATATGGTAATTTCGAACTGTATTGGTCTGTATTGCAATGGACATTTAGTTACTTGCCCAAATTGTACCCCCGCCGAAAAGTTGGAGTATACAGACCCTTCGACGAAACGATCATAATTCACGTTCTCTCAGACCAGACATTCAATTGGTACACTAATTCATAACGCCAACATGTCCAATCCAGCCCCCCTCGACGCCAAAGTCTCCTCAATCCTCGGTCAAAAATTCGACTCCTCAAGAACCGACCCCGATGACCTCGATGAAGACGCCCTGTTCGACGAACTTGAAAAGGAAGATGACACCGCCTACCGTGCCCACCGTCTTGAACAGCTACACAAAGAAGTCGTATCCGCAAAGGAAGCACTTAAACAAAAGCCCCACAACAACAGCAGCAGTAACACTACAACCATAGATGCCTTCTATCCCACCTTAGTCGACGACCGGGCCGTGCTAGACCTTACAACGAATAACGAGCGCTGCATTGTTCATTTCTCGCACACGGATTTTGCGCGCTGCGCAGTCATGGATGAGCATTTACGACTTCTCGCACCGCGGCATCATGAAGTCCGGTTTGCGCGCGTGGATGTACGAAATTGTCCCTTCGTCGTTGAGAAACTCAATATCCGTGTTCTACCCTGCGTTATAGGATTTGTTGATGGTAATGGGAAAGAGCGGATTATTGGGTTTGAAGGGTTGGTGTCGATTGGGAAGAGTGCGCTCAGGGGCAAAGGGGCAGATAATTTTAGGACGACGGATTTGGAGAAGAGGTTGTTGTCTGCGGGGATCTTGGTGAGGGGGAAATATGTTGAGGAGATGAGAGGGTTGGGGCACGATGATGACGAGGGTGAGGGCAGTGAGAGTGACTTGGAGGATGAGAGGAGAGGGAAGTCGTTGCGGAAGGGAATACGGGATGGGACGAGTAAGCAACGTTATGCTGAGGATGATAGTGAGGATGATTGGGATTGAGGTCTGTATTTTGCGAACTGGACGCACATACAAGATGATCTTCTAAATGAAGATAGTGCCGTGTTTCCTCAATGCCCACCAGAGAATGGTATCGGTCAGCATGAGACGGCCGGTCTGAAGTCCTCTAGACTCAGGGTTCTAGTAGTGGATTGCCTGAAGAACACTTGACTAGAAATAGATCAAGAGATCAGTACAATTAAGGATATGAGCTATCATCAGGCTCCGATATACATACAATATACCCATTACTTCAAGTCGTTACCAATCCCCTTCTGATCCGAAGTATACAATTTCAATGTCTGCAAGGTGCTATTTCTGCATGATCGTACAGTTACAATGAAGGATGAAAGAAAGACGGACACCGACCGAGACAAGAAATAAGAAATTGAGAGCACCATATTTTAATACAAGCATAAATAATGCAAAAGAAACAGCGAAATACAAGACAGAGCAACCTGGATCTAAGCAAACGCAAAGACAATGTCCTCATTCGGAGGATGATTGAATACAACACAATCATAACGTAAAAGGATATCGCGGCAGAAGAAGTAGACATCATAGAAAAGACCGATCATTAGATCGCTACCGTTTTCATCTCACCCAGATTCTCTGAGTCCAGATCAAGAGAAGTTGCCTCTGAAGATGAAGTATGTTTCGATGTCTTTTCATTGACAGAAATGTCCTTCAAAGGCCCGGAAATCTCCTTTATAGGATCACTCTGTACCACCGGAGTGGCCATCTCTAGAAGGTCTTCTCCAGGAGATTCCTTGATTGGTGCCTCTTTGGAAGGAAAATCTTGGGCACGGTCGTTAGAAGTAACCGGGCTCGACGCCTCTTCGGTCACTCGCGCAAGAGGACTCGAGACACCGAACTGCGTTTTAGGGCTCTGTGTCTGCACACGATTGCTGAAACGATGAGGGGATCGTCCACGTTCTTCACTCGGTGCGGGACTGCCGTAAGGAGAGTTTCGTGACTTGTCGACATTCGTATTCAATCCCAGGCCGTTTGTAGACCTCCGGCGCGGTCGGCGTCCATATTTCTGATCTACTCTCCAGCGGAGAATCTCCAAATAGGGCGGTTCCACGTTCTGTTTTCTGAATGGCTTCAACTTGAGCTCACCGGTCTCTTCATCTACCAAGACGAACGGGCTGGCGAAATCATCCGCAACTTGGGCGAGGAATGCTGCCCATGACCGAGCAACCACATATTTGCAATCGTAGTCACGCCCGAAAATGATAACTTGACCCCATTTACCTGCTGGACCAGGAGCAAGATCGACAGCGATACAGTTGCCGCCCCAATCACGCGCAAGAGGGATCCAACCGGGATGCGCATAAGTCTTCTGAATAGCACGAGGAGGTTGCGAGTCTTGACGATCTATAAGCTCCTGCCTCCATAGCGGGTTCGAGGCTTGATGTTGTTGAGAGGGACCGGCCGAAGACGAAGAAGCACCAAATGCCTTAGACGGAACCTGAGGTGGAACGATGGTCGAGCTTGAAAAGTATTCTTCTGCAACGGTTCGCCAATTCCTCCACTCATGAACAATTTCCTCGCAGTCTAGCAGCATACAGCCAAACATAATTCCTGTCGGTTGTCCACCGCGCTCTTGACCATCATGGACCATCAGCGACTCACGAACCTCGAGAGGTAAGCTGATATCTAATTCGTGCTCCAGCTCGTTGACATCATTTTGCGTACAGCCTTCGCCCAATTGATCGAATAGCTCCGGGTAGTTGTCCTCGGCCCAGCGATCGATCTTCTTCCAGGAATGAGTGACTGGCGGTGGTGGAGGGGCGCCGTCGTGGAAACTTTGCATCTGTATTTCGCCCAAGCCAGAGCCATCGGCATTGCCAGCCTGATCGCTCGATCTTCTAGATTGCGACACAAGTGATCGCATGCCCGGTGAATATGGACGATTAGGGGAGCCTATGCCTCTTGGGGAACCAGTCCAGCCATTAGAGTTTGTCTTGGTGATTTCTTCTTCCTCAAAAGGCGAGGAGAGATCGGGACGAGAGTCTGCTGCAGTAGCTACGGAAGTGAGTGTATCATGACGGCTTGAATTGAGGGGGACGTGCTGGCCGGTCCGATAAGGAGAATCGTGGGACGCATGGCGATCATTGGAGGTCATGGTATGCCAGAAGGAACGCCATGCCGAGTTAATGCTATTTGAGTTAGACGACGAAGAGTAAACATAGAACAGAACCAAGGTTTGGTTCGGGTCGAGTCCAAGGAAATGGATAACTTACGAGCCAGAGACAGTTTGCGGAGGCATGACGAGGAACTTGAGTATTTCGAAGATGGGTAGCTTTAAATGGAAGGAACGTCGGGATATCGAAAAGGAAATTAATAGTCGACCGATCAACAGTTCATTTGGAAAGATTGCTCGGCGGACACGCGCAGCCTGCAGTCCACGCTTGATAAAGATTCAAGTATGATGATGCTGCTGGTGACAGGGTGACACATGCAGGGGGTACCCGAGAGCGTGATAATTAGAGTATGTACGTCGAAGCGCTTGTACAATCTCTCGAGAGAACGATCGAAACCCAATCGATGGGAGTAAAACAAAACAGCTAGACGCGGCGGTATGTACGCGAGAAGAACGAGTCGAATGGCGGCGGCAGTTGACTTTGACCCCGGATTGGTGAATCTTTACCACTGACGATTTTGTATGAGAAAAACAAAATGTCAATTGATTTGATGGTGGGAAGCGAGGGACAACAAGGGAAAGACTCGATCAAGGGCGAGTCCGCTGTGTTTATAATTGGGAGGCAGATATACAAACGAGGAGAAAACGAGAGAAGATGAGGTCAGAGTGGATGAAAGCAGTCAGTCAAGTCAGGGAGGTCGCTAATAAGTAGTACGCAGGCGTGATTTCCTGCTGCGCTGGAAGTTGGCTGTTTCTGCCTGAGAAATGAGGGTGTGGCTTGGTGGAGTCGCGGCGGTCAGAAGTGCGCTCTGATTGGACGGAGGCGAACATGATCTGAGCCAATCAACGGGCGTTGAGGGCACAATGTTGTCCTCCCGGATCGTTATCGGCCAGATTGTTACTTGCAGAAGATATTTGTGACAGGTCTTATCATGTACATGTATAGACTCAATATCATATATGCTCTTTCAAGTTTCTTGATAGGATCATTCTGTACAAAATGGCTCCGAAGTGGCATCAAGGTTGAACCGCCAAGACACAACCGTAAGATTAACCCGTGGATGATGGACATGAACAGGGAGGCCCGTTCGTCCCTGACGGTACTGGTTACAGTAATTTCATTACACTTAGCCACTCTTCAGCCACATTTTACGCTCAACACCCAATAACGGCCATCTTGCAGCCCGGATAGATATCCACTGCTCGGTAATTATGTTTCAACCAGCTGTAAATTATCGATTGCGCGTGCACATGGTTCTTCATTTTCGGTAATCATTCCTCAACTTGAGACTTGGATGTTCAAAATCTGAATGAAGTTTAACTAAATCCTATGAGACAACACATAATCATCAACAAACATCAACCGAGCCACGTATCCGTCTGTTCGCGGTATTCGCCACCTCGACATGTCGCCTCCAGATACGTATTGTACATACCAGTTGACGTACGTACGTCGATCAATTGTGGCTTKCCGCTAACGGAGCGAAAAWAGATTTAGCTCGTCCATATACTCATGATATAGGGGCGAGTTTCAGTTTTTGGTCATTACCGTCATTTAATCAAGAAAACCAGGGGCATAGAGAAGGAAATATACGTGTAAATGAGAAATGAGATTTGCATATAAAGAGTGGATATAGTTGGAGCTAAAGGAGAAATCGCAAAGGAAAAAATAGAAGGAAAACAAACAAAAGCATCTGCTGTCAAGATATGGTCTCGAAATCGAATCTGCGATCAAACACCGAAAAGAGTGACCGAGCAGTAACGCCCCAAGCACCCAAGTCATAAAAGCATGCCATCCAGGTGATGACAACATGCTGTAAGTTTCCGGACTCCCTGTAATGAATGTAGAAAACAGCAAGCCGACATCTCAGAATCCAGAAATATGAGCCCGCATAGATTAGAAATAAGATTCCCAAATACCCATTGCGCAAAGACACGTGAAACTGTCACCCATAAAATCCCACCGAAAATGCGATATGAAAATTCCTCGTCCCAAACCGATTCACGGCAATGCATATGGTATCTGTAAAACGAAAATGATGAGCTACAAAAACCAATGATTCGCTCAGAACCGAAATCGAAAACAAAGCCCCGGAAATAGACGAAAGTAAGGACCCCAAAACATATCAACTCATGTTCTAATCGAATGACGCGCAATGTTCTTTCGAAACCTCATGACAACGTAGATGCCGAAAAATTATCAAACGGAGCAACTAAAAGAGTGTAAAACATGAAGAAAAGACCCTGCCGAAAGGCAGAAATGTAATCAAAGTGGCGTAATCAAGCCAGAGAACTTTGGACTCCGTTGGGTTGCATACTCGGAGTCATATCCAACTTCAAGATCCGTCGGAGATCATCTTCCATTTTCTTGGTATCAGACTCTGGCTGACGTGGAGGCGGAGTAGATTGTAGTCTAGCATTAAAAGGAGATGGTGAGTGGTATCTCTGCGAAGGTTGGGCATTTCGGTAAGGCGACTGGAAGGGCGGCCCATACTGATTTGGCCTGGCGGCATTGACCGGACTTGCGTAAGGCGAAGCATCTCGATGGAACGAAAATGGATTGACATTTTCAGCATAGGCCTGCGGAGGAGATATGTAAGAGTTGCCTGGTCGACCTGTAGTTTGCTGAACATGGCCATTGAAAGAGACAGGAGTAGGAGGCCCAGAATTGGCGTGTTGCTGCACATTAGCAGTATATCCTACACCTCCGTTTGGAAAATAACCATGCGCCGGACCTTTGGGATGGGGAGATGCTGATGCAGGACGTTGAGGACGAGGGTTCAGTAATAGATGCTTTAGTTCCTCGGTCTTAATCTTTCGTTGAGCATCATCCAAATCTGTTGCTGTTTGCTGCGGAGTACCATTGGCCGTCAACGCATTCATTTTCTGTTTGTATGAAGAAACCGGGGTCGAATATGTTGGAGTGCTCCTGTCGGAGCCATCGAGCTCAAGTGAGAATATCCCATTTGAAGAATGCTCTTGGCGCTGACTGGCTGAAGAGACGTCAGTGGAGCCTGAAACTATGCTTTTCGAAACAGCCTCAGGGCTCTGCTGAGTTTTGACTCGCGCATCAATGGCAGCCTTGAAAAGAAAGTCCAGAGGAGAAGGTTCGTGGTTGATCCGAGTAGCGCTGGCTTTAGGCTTTGAGGGAGTAAGCTCCGGCGCTGACTCTTCCTCCAACTCGTCGTCAAGGTCTAGGGAAGCAGAAAGACCGGAATCGGGAACAGATTTGGAAAAGAACGATGGCATCGGGAGGGCAGACGGTGCAGGAGACGCATGGAAAGTAGGACCGGCATAATGTGGGCTATCTTTGAGCTGCGGCGGAGAAGTTATGCTAGGCTGCGACGAAGTATGGCGATGGTTCACGCCGTTGCTGTAGGCAGGATTGGCTGGGCGAGKGTTTTCTCGGGACTTCTTGGCGGAGCGATTGTCACTCTTCTTGCGTGAGCCGTTGTGTTCTGCGTTGTAAACACCCGGTGTACCTGTCGCGAAGTAGTCGTTGGGGCTTGAGATACGAGGCGGTGATGAAGGAGGCGTCGAAAGCATGACAGTCTTGGCCTGAGAGGCAGGKGKGTTATTCCTTTTCTGTTGCCGTTTAGGATTGCGTGATCCTTTCATAGGTGTTGTTGTCACTTGTTGAGTCGACATGGCGACAGATTTGGTGGCTTAAAAAATAGGCAGCCTGTTGGAGAGAGTAGGAAAGAAAATAAAGAAACAAAGCACCGGGTAAGATAAGAAGACAGATAAACACAGTCGTAGTAAATGGCTATGATATGTGCACAAAGAGCCGCCCAGCGGTCTTCTTAGAAGAAATGCTAAGAGGATCGGAAGACGTATTAACTCAAAGACAAGTGTTATGAGAGCGTAAAAACAGATCTATCACAATAGATGAAGCGTCGTGGGAAGTGCCGATGAATGATGATGGCACCGTATGTTTCGAGACGAAGATCGAGGAAAACAAATAAGAGGCGGTAGAAACCGGCGGAGGGATCATAGCTGCATTGTCTCGGATTCTGCTCAATGGAAAGTGTGTGAATGGAAATTATTGGTGCGAAAGAGCATGCATCTTGATCGTTGGGGGATGTCGAGGAGAGTGATGTTGAAGAAGAAAGAAGTGAGATGAGGTTGAGTGAAGTTGGAAGTCTAAGGCTCGCGGAATCGACCGGTCGACGAGTCAGGTGTTGCGCCTGCCAGTTGGGTTGCTGCGAAGTGGGGGAACTGGCTGCCCGCAAGGTTGCCACTGCCAACCGCAACAGGCAGCCTCCAGACGGCTTCAACAACATACTTTTTGAGGACCTTCGGCCTGTACTCTACTTGTTTATTTTGAAAGCTCTCCGACTCAAATCGCGACTTTGACTTGGCTGATTCCGGCTATCTGCACCTTTGTTGCACACGTGTGCAGCGATTTGCCAGAAAATCATCATCAATACTTATCGGCTCTGACTGGTATCTAAGTTGGTGGCTGTAGCTACCCACTATCACTCACTAAGCAACCACCTACCCCAACACTGCCTCGTCGAATCCATACATTCATCCACCAACACCTTACATCCAATCAATATCATCAATCATGGCCGATGTGGAAATGCAAGATGCAAGCTCAGCAAAAGACAAGGCTGTAAAGACCTCGAAGAACGCAGCTGGCGAAGCCTCCGAGGGCAAGAAGCGCTTCGAAGTCAAGAAGGTGAGCACCACTTTTTCCTGACGTCTTCAGTCTGCTCTCACACCAAAGAAATCTTAAAAACTAACTGCATTTGCTATAGTGGAATGCCGTTGCTCTCTGGGCCTGGGATATCGTCGTCGATAACTGCGCTATTTGCCGTAATCACATCATGGACTTGTGTACGTTTGGCTTGATTTGCTACGAGTTGAAAGAGTCTAACACGACTTAGGTATTGAATGTCAAGCAAATCAAGGGTCATCCACCACAGAAGAGTGTACAGTGGCATGGGGTATCTGCAACGTGAGTTTACTTCCAAGCTTCCAACACCATGCGAAGACTTGCTAATCAGCTGTTTCCGACTACTAGCACGCCTTCCACTTCCACTGCATCTCTCGATGGTTGAAGACTCGACAAGTTTGCCCGCTAGATAATAGAGACTGGGAATTCCAGAAGTACGGCCGATGAAAGCGTCCCATCCTCGATTATGATATTCGATATTCTGCGTTCCGGGTCCGGTTTCTCACAATTTGCTGCGCATTTCTGGCTAGAAAAGAAAGGGCATTTGCTGTGCTTGTTAGATCAGAATCCGCGCTTGATCGGCCGCAGACATGCGGCGATTTACGTCATTTAGCTACTGGGAAGTTGTAGGATTGATATAATGACTCATGACGAAAATGCATAACTATCCCTCAAAATTTAGACAGTAAATACGCAGTAAGAAGAACGCCAAGTTCGCTAAAACAGATGGTATTGCATCAACATATATCTTCGATAACCATAAATTTCCACAGACCTATCTATCCAACCTTGACTCCATCGACAACAATACCCGGCACATTGATTTCCGGAGAGGTTGTACTCCGATTACTGCCCGTAGAATTGAGCCACTTCTCTGGATTCCTATTGTAGAACGGCCACGGCGGAATTACAACGAGTCCTGTGAACGCGGTGCCCGCGAGTCCGATCCAGAGTGTGAGGTAGATGTCTTGTTGGACGTAGCCGACGATGAAGGCCGTGATCTATTGCAGAGGTATTAGCATCGTTCTAAGATGCGTGTGGATCTGAGTCGGGAGTGAGTGATAGGGACGTACCCCGGATATGATGAGGAGAATTGTTGAGAGGGTCTCCGCGAGATGTTGGCCGTGAAAGTCCTGTATAACATGTTAGCGACCAACGATGACTTGGAGAGGCATGGAGCTTGATTCGTGGCTGTACTCACGATTTGGCCTTCGAAAGCGTCCTGGATCGGAGCGAGGATATTGTCCATATTTTATAATTCTTGTTGATGCGGTCGAATGCAAAAAACGATAGTGAAGACAATATGAATGTAATTATTGTAGAAGATGGAGTAAGGCATAGTTGGCTCTTAGTCCGGAGGCTCTGATTTGTTAGGAGCTTGTCGGTGGGTCCATGCTGATGCGCCAATGACCGTGGATCTTCTATTTGATCATTATTCGGCCCTCTACATGGTAGGGCATAGTTGGAGCTACAATGGCATATTCATCGGATAGTAGCGATGTTAGGTCTCATTGAGCCTAATGGTCTAGATTTCGATAGTGATAATATCTTTGCCTGACTTGACTAAATTGTCCTTTCGTGTCTACGTTCTACTAGACGAGGCATTCAGCTATGCATGCCAGGAAATTATCTTCAGTGTTCTATCAGGAAGAACGCTTGTATTGCTTGTGATACTCTAAGGTACTGTAGGAATAGTAATACAGATAACAGAAAGTGGTATGGGTATCAACATAATCATTACTTCTTACTAATCATCAATCATAAACAGCCAAGCTACTTCCTCCTCGGCGTCGGAGTCCACATATTCCTCAACCCAGAGGAAGACGAAGAGTGTTTCGGTGTCTTCCCCACTTTGGCCAGGAGTTTTTGCGCTGCCGGCGTCAACGGCTTTCCCTGCGGCGTCTTGCTTCCAATGGGGGTACGTAAGCGCGATGATGATGACGATGACGAGAACATCGGGTTAGGACTGCTGGGGAACCGTGGCACGTCATTACTCCCTATAGCGACGCCTGCTTTCTCAGCTCTCTTTTTCTGCGCCACGCGATCCACCATTCGGTGATGGAGATCTTCGCGTTTTCTGTTTTCCTTAATATTGAATGGATTCGGCGTTGTGTCGCCGGGCGACCGCTCGCTGGCTAGAAGTCGCAGACGCTCGTAGACGGCTCCGTCGTCTTCTTCTGGTTCGTCCTCGTCGACGAACGCGTATCCATTCACACGTGGCGTTTCGCTACCTGTGTATTCTCCTCCTACGGATGAATCATCCGTGTGCCGTACTCTGCCAGCGATTGCATCTTTGATGGCGCTGAGAGAAGGAGATGCTGGTACTGCCGACTCTTCGGACCCAAATGCAGTACTACTATCAATCCTCGTATTTCCATACACAACTTGCTTAGGTCCAGCTTTCGAAGCCGCCTCCGCTTTCTGCTGGCGAGTCTCGTGCTGCTCTTCCACAGAACCGGGCGTGAACATGAAAGAATTCTCCACGGCAGATTTCCACGTATCCGGCACCGCGGGCCTAGAATCCAAATCCGTAGTAATAATCAGCTCCTTGCTAGTACTGACTTCACCTTGTCCTTCGATCCGTTTCGCTTCTCTTTGGCGGTGCGCAATCTGTCGCGCAGACAAAATCTTATTCCCGCTCCATTTCCAAGCATATTTTTCCCTTCGTTTCGCATTCTGTTTATCCAGTAGACTGTTGAACGACTCGTTATCTTCGCTGGTATATTTGGCTTGAAACGAGTTCAAACTCAGGTTCGACACATCAAGGTGATCCTTCGAAGAGACACCCGATACCGTCGAACGGGGAGTCGCATCGACGGATACTGGTGTGTCGCTGCCCCATCTAGTTGTCGTCGGTGTATCCATCACATTTCGATACGGCGTACTTGTTCCCCTCCTAGCTGAGTTACTTCCAGGCGTCATTACTTCAGATAATCTCTTGCCCGCTCGCGCAATCCATTCCTTATCTTTGGAATCGTAAGCATCGAGAAATTCCTGTTTCGTTTGCATTTCCAGTAAACCTGGAAAAAAGTCGCGCGCTATGATGTGCGATAATGCGTCCGTGTAGCTGTCTTCGTCTAGGACTGTAGAGGGTCGTTTGATCTTCTTGGCCGGTGGCGGAGGAGGCATCAAGGCCATGTCGATGTCCGCCTGTCGCTTGACGATGGCTTGTGAGGGGGATGTCATTTTGAATATTTCGCTCTTGTAAAAGGGTTGTCGGTCTTTGCGGTGCCCTCTTTATTCACTCAGATAGACTCCGACATGGTGTACTTGTGTTATTTTTGATTGATGAAGATTAAAGTGAGTTGTAAATGCAAGTTGAAGGTGACGCTTTGATGCCAAGACCGCCTCATAGGCAAGCCCGCGCTATTCCTGTCCAGGCAAGTGATGCACAGCGCTGTCATCTGATCGCAGAATGAGCTGTTCAGCCTTCACCACATCATCAGTTACGTAGTTTACACATCTACTCATATACTTAGAGGACTTCTCGCTTGAATAAATCCTAAATATATTCAGAATAACCACTTGTCCAGCACTTTCCCCACGCAAAATATGCAAATGCAGTCATGATAAACCTCAGTACTCCATCCGTACAGGCACCTGTCTATATGAACTTTTCTGTGCACACGATAGTTCAAACAAATCAGAGACATCCAAAAGGCTGTCCGAAAGCAAATACAGCAAAAGAAAAACAAGCCTCCAGGACATCATTTCCTATTCCCAGTCAACCCGGACTGATTGAAGACCATAAAATATAACAGGCTCAAAGAAAACAATAAGTAACGACCGTGGCAACCCAATGGATAAATGATTGAAAGGAAAAACAGAAAGATCGTCACGTCATATACAAATATAGAAAGAGAGATGGCTATTGCCAACTCAAATGGTTGGTGGTAGTGTTGGAACATAAATTTATTGCATAGTGGGGAAAAGGGAGTATCCAGCTCGGCTTTTCCGCTTTTGCGCAGCCAGCGATTGTCGAATCGCGAATGGAAGGCCCTGAGCCGATTGTTGCAGCGTCTGCTCGTCGTGGTCAAGAGCAGAGGTGGATCTTGTTCGATCATGGGTCGGAGATGGCGATGGATACGGCAGATCCACGACATGGATGCTACTGTTGCTACCAGCGGAGCGAAGCTTCGCCAGCGCACTCAATTCTGAGCCCAAGCTCTTGACTGGGCGATGAATAGAGAAGCCAGGTCGAGTCGTTTCAACTAGTTGGGGATGCTCGAGCGATTCGATGCTCTCCCGAATAGTGTTCTCACGGCTGCTGTTGGCACTGTTCGTCAACTCTGGAACGCTAGTTGTTGAAGTCGATGAGCGGTGTTTGCGCACAATGGATGCTGCGCGCGACAGAATGACGCTTTCTTGAGAGTTGTACTTGCTGATTTGCGAGTAGCTACTCCTAGGAGATGCCGTAACGTCAACTGGATGAGACGTCTGCGTATAGTACTGAAACTGACGATCAGGATCATCTCCGACTGCGAGGAAGCTTTCATAAGCAGTTTCGTTATCGACATCGTCTGTCTCAAGCTTTTTCGGGTATTCGTGGCCAGCAGTACCAGCGTGGAAAAATTCAGCATGAGCAGCGCCGTCACTCAAAGGAGTCAAAGCCTCGTGTGATCTGGTGAGAACTGATTGCGCCGAGCCTGGATCCAAGTCCGGAGTGGCTGGKATCGAGCTGGCGTTCACTTGGAGGTAATGGGGTTTCAGGCTCTGAGTGTGGACTGTTCGTGAAGGCATTTCAGTGCCTGGTGCTGTCCTCGAGGTATCCAAAGAGAGCCGACTCCAGTCAAATTCACAATCTGCTACAGCTTCATGTTCATAACAAAAGTCGATGTCTTCCTCCCATGCCATGGGGAATTGGCCAAAACCAGCAATCGAAGTACGCCTTGTTGTATCGCTGGCTTGCGAGACGGGTGAGTCCTGGATAATCGGTTGGAAATCGGGCAGAGTAGGCGATGTGATCTCTTCAGTGAATGACAGCTGCGAATCCTGAACAATGATTATAGACTCGTGAGCAGGAGCAGCGGATGCCTTGGCATCGTTCGCGACAACCTCATTAATGCTTCCTGATATTGACATGAGACGGGATGCGCGCGCAACCCCTTCATCCGTTTCTTTCGTCTCATCTTCTTCTGGAACATCCTCCAAATCGGACAAGTAGCTGTTGATGAAAGCCGTGGTGGATTTGCCATCATCATCGATGCTAAGATCATCAGTAGTCTCGAACTGGCCACTCATCATCCCAGGGCTGAGTTCGGGTTGGAAAATTCCGGCAAGATCGATGCGGTCCAGTGAGGAGACCTTATGGAATGGTGCGCCATCCAGTGATGGGTATTCATAGTCGCGAATGCCAGGCTGTATGTTCACTCCAAGTAGTTCATCGATGGCCAGAGTTGTCGGCTCGGGTATGTCCGACTGAATTTGGCGGGAAGACACACGTGGCGGAGCAGCAATAGATGGTGATGGTGGCAACGGCTTGTTTAAACGAGAGACAGGGCGTGAGAAGTTCTCAATTCTTCCTGGCGACTTTGGCTCACGCGGTGATACTGGAGGACTTCTTCTCAAAGGTGATGTAGGCGATGTAGGTTGTCGTTCCTCCAATTCGTCTGCATTCTCGTCGAAGGAGTCGTCCGAACGAAGCGCTTGAGCGCGAATACCTTTCAAGCCAGGCTCCGGCGTTTGAGAAGCTTGAATGACAGAGAACTCTTCAACTAGCTCGACATTGCTGGTGTTGTCCAGAGCTTGGAACTGCGTTGAGCTAGTGTGGGTTACGTGATGAAAATTATAAGGCTCCGAAATGATACGTTTTAGTTGATCATCTATGCTGATCAGCGTAAAACATCAATGCAAGAGAGTTAAAATCTTACTTGACTCGTTCTTCTTGAGCTTGGGGACTCTCTGAAAAACTTTCGAGACCTCAAACCGAGCAGCACTCTTGCCGAATTCGTCCTCTTCCTCTAGTGTCGTAGCAATCACATTCAATTTACTGCCCTGGCGGCGCAGTATACGACTTCCTCGAACCAGCAAGGACCTAGCAACATTCTCGGAAGTCTTTTCCTCATGCGGGACTGGCGACGCTGGATGCTCGCCGTAACTGAGAGACTCAGCGGGCGGTTGCCGTGTGGGGGCGGATGAGACGTTGGTGGTGTTGCTTCTAGAGCGGGAAGAAAACATTGACAATCTTTTGGGGCTGTTGACATTGGCACTCGACTTGGAGCGGCTGTGGAAAGAATGTTCCGAGAAGTCACTTGTAGATGATGTCGGTGGCCGCTGAGAAAAGTCCATGTCGTCTTGCCAGGAATCCGGGGATATTGTTCTGGAAGCCATGTTGTTGACAAATCAGGGAATATTGATGATATCGAGTCAATTGTTGTTGAACATACATACGAAAGATGCGCCTGGAATTATTGTTGGTAATTGAGATGGTGTATCATCATACCGCTGTAGCGACAGCGACAGCAATGCAATTGACCCGGTGTCAATGGGAGACAGTTATTAATTTCTAAAATCCAGTTGTGCATTCCCTGGAAGATACAGTATTGGGAGGTTGCGACACGAAATCAATGAGTGAAAGGGGTGTATCAGGACGTGGGAAGGCAGTGGGAGTGAGATGAGGCAGCCCACGCGGGTAAACTATCAGAAGAAAGAAAGAGAGACTGTATACACAGCAAGAGAGTAAGAGAGAGAGAGAGAGAGAGAAGTCCCGGTGATGCTAAAGAGAGGTTAATAATGAGTGAGTAATAGGAATGAGGGAGAGAGAGACAGAAAGGAGACGAGAGAGTGTGACAGAAGAGAGACAAGCTGGGGAAAGATGCTAGCGGGAAGGTGAGCCAGAGAAAGAGAGGTTTTCGTGCTTGCCCTTTTCGAGCAGGCCGACCCCACAAGCCAGGACGGGGGCTGATCTTCACTTTGGAACGAACTAGACTGGATACTGCGCGGGATCAAGGATTCATTTAAATTCAATTGAATTGAATCTGGATGGGGGCTCGTGGGAGGTAGTCCGAGGATGGAAGCCGGGAAAAGGGAGAGCTTAGGACTTACCAGACCGAGATACCTGGACTGAGTCGGTGGCCACTGACTCGTTGACGTCTAGCGCAGCTTGTCAAAATCCTCTATGCAAGCCGCACGCAGCCAGGCATGAATAGCCTAAGAAGAGGAGATAAGCCAAGGATTCGCGATAATTGTGTGTGTGTGTGTGTGTTGATCTCGTTCAAGCGCGCAATCGATTGATCCAACGCGTCGGATTGAGCGCCGTGTATTCCAGCTACCAGGCCAGGAACGGATCCAACAAACAAGGGTACGCTACAAGGACCATGGATCCTTGTACATGTGCGGGACGGATAAGTGACAAGACGCTCGTGTATGTATACATAGTATGTAGTCAGCCAGAATATAGCCGACGCCAATGGCGGGGATCCTTATATATTTTAGCAGAGCATACGAGGTGAAATCATAAGGTTATGCCATGCCACCACCGTTCGTTCTAACTTCAACCGGTTTCAGTTGTTCCCCTGGCGTCCTCCGTATTGTAATAGATTACATCGTGGAAATGGTCAATTGATAAATGCGTAGCACTGCTACAAACAGCGAGCTCGCACAGACTCCAAGACGCTCGAATTGTTAGCACACGCGGAAGATTCTGGTTACATGCCCTACGTAGTACTTCTCGGTACGGCGCAGCATGCTAGACTACGCCGTAATAATGAGCCTCTAACCGGATGTGACTTAATACCTCATCGCTCGGCTCGAGCCAACACAGAACACTGTATGTGCTATTTAAACGAACACTGCATGACTGCAGGTACAATGTGTCCCATACATAGTACGATTTGTTAAGGTCATCGTACAATACTGAGCAAATCATTCCAAACTTGACACAAAAACCGCTATGTAAATGCTAAATATTACTACGTAAAGGAAGAGACGAAAAAAAAAAAAACAAAACAACAGCAGTGGAGCCGGAGKGGAGCCCGAACGTGTGATTCCAACACGTTGGGTTTTGTCTCTTTCGAGAAGGAATCGACACGCCAAGTGGAGAATAACCAGGGGCGGCCGAGATAGTTAAAAGCGGGAAAAGTCAAAAAAAGAAAAGAAAATAAGTGCATGCAGCCAATCATAATTTAGCTGTATGATACTCCCGTACGTAGGCTGTATTACAGTATTAATGTTTACACCCACGCACATACATACATATGCACACCCAGCGACCTCGGTCTCTGAATACAGCGTGCTTTTGCCTACAGCTACGGAGTACATCATACACACAGACATGACTATAAGAGGCAAATGGAGCCAACCAGACTTTTCGCGATTTGACCCTTTCAAAGGACCGATCTTAATTTACTGTTACTATTCCTGCAATGTCCAAAGAATCTAAAAGGGCAGTGCATGCTATGGAGCACAAAGTTCAGAGTCGCTACTAAGAAACGTTCGCAATCTAAGATGGAGACATTACTCGTGTGTCCAAACGCTCTCGTTCTTTAGAGTCAGAAACGTACGCTCCGGATGGAGACTGTACTACGTAGGTCTCCATAGAGCAATGATGCTTAACTTGGTCCGATACATAAGTTTCAGCCTTGAAAGCATCAGTCGCTTAAGCATATTTTCAAGGAGCGTCTAATCTGGTAACAATCGAGGTATCGATATACACGATGATTTCGGATCGAGATCATGCAATTGACCAATCAGCTACCGAGCCCGGATTAAACAACTTGGGTTTCACAACGTTTCTTTTTCGCCTACCTGCACGCTCTGCAGCAGGCACACCGACTACGACTACGGCGAACAATGTAGTTGGTTACGAGTCTGAAGAATGATGCAAAAGACGAAAAGCACACGTGAAACGGTGAAACAAGCGAGAGAAAAAGCAAAAGATACATCTGCCGTACGGAGCACTGCCGGGGATGATCATGTGTCTGTCATATGAGAAGTTGACTCGAGTGTTTGCTCCTCAATAACATCGACAATATGATGTTTGAGCAAACTGCAGAGTCAGCTCGATCAATCGCCAGTCGACACGTCCAGAGACGCGTCGTCAAGGGTGTATCTGCACAAGCAAGACCGAATACGAATTGTCTTACAATAACAGAGACATGAATCTCGTAGGTAGTGTGCAGGTGCAAGCAGACTGACTACGTGCCTCGGCCGCCGAGAGGGCAAACCCCTGGCTAGGCCTCATTAGGCTGCGTTAGCCTCGAAACACCATGTACGGCTTGTACGGGCATTCGTTTAGCACTGATCCAATCAAATCACCATATTTTCAGTAAATTAGAGTACTGCTGCGTAAGAGTTTATTACGCACTAAACATTTCGGAACAAAGCGGGGACGGCCTGGTTGCCCTCAAAGATGTGAGATGGATCATGAAACTCGCTTCACTCAACGACTCGAGGCTTTGAAAAGAGCTCGTCAAAGAGACCTGAATCACTCGTTTCATTGCGAAGAAGGTTCAAAGAAGGGCATTGTTTCATCTGTTTCAGTCCGAATCTTACTCTTTGATAGATCTCGCAAAAAGGAATCAAAACAAAAAAGAAAAACTCGACATGGGAATATCCAGTATCCACCATCCCAGAAATCGCTCATCACTGCATTGACCAATACTATGTAAAGCAATTCCACGCTAGAAGAGATTCTGGCCTAGTCTAATTTATTTGTTTTGTTTTTCACACGCCTTTGACGCAATTTACTCCATTTAGCTGTGATTGGAAGAAAGTGCGATTTATGGAGACAACTACAGGGATACCGTTGGTTGTTGCCTTATACTAACATAATATATGGATATTAATATCGTCATGGATTCTTAGACATACAGAGCGGAGCAACCTATACGGAAGTGGAAGGCAATTGCATTTCTCAAAGTCAAAGTGAGTAGAAGTTGCTGCCAACAAATGCCCCGACGGCTGCTTTCTTTTGGATGTTTTCAGACTGAACCCTAATTCCGTTTTGGGCAATGTCCACCCGACCCTGGGAATAGCTTGCGAGGATTGCTTTGAATTCGGTGAGTCTTTGGCTTTGCCTATCAATTTATATTTCCACATAATACATAGTCTGTAGGCAAGCAAATATTTCCCTATCCCAATTAGCATCTCCAACAAGGATACATCCCACGATCTCACAACCACGTTCGACTACCCTACGCTAGACAGCGGCCAGCCGTTGTGATGCGGAGAAGCTTGTATATATTACTTTATCGAGTAAGGCACAAAGTGTGGTTGTTGGGTCTGTTTGAGCCAGTACTGAGAGGACGAATGTCATAGTTTAGCATAACTAGTAACTAGTTAAGTGCTAAGCAAATCACCGAAGTGGCTTGCTATTGAATATACATCTTAATAACGTACGACTCGCGTGTGGCCTCGGTATCTCGGGGGCTTGGACATCTTAACGTATTCTACTATTTTCACAAGACCAGTCTCGATTCCGTGAGATATTCGTTTGTTGAATACAATCACATTCATGTCTACTCCGTAAATCCTTCTCGTATTCATTACGATACAACAATCTAGTGACTTAGTAAGAATATCCACTGTGGATGACGGCCGTTGGAGGATCGGTAGTGCTATCGCCGTCTTGGGGTTCGGGATACACACTGAGCTGGACTGGATCCTCTTCGCTGAATCAGAGCCACCATCTGCGTAGTTGATTACGTTGATTTGCTCAGTGGAGCCTAGGTGCAACGGTGTACATAGTAGGTCAGCATATCTGTGAAGTTGTGGATACTGAACACCAATGATGGAGTAGTCAATTTGATCTCTCAAAGCCCTAAGCCCAGCAGCTCAGACTAACAAGTAACTACTAACTACCGTCTTGAGCGTTCCGTGCCCGTGCCGTTCATCGACGATCACACCGAGTTCATTCCAACTCGTTCGCAGGGTCGTATACAATAATCGAATATGTCGATCGTGCCTGTTGATCGATTCTGATTTTCATAACGAGGTCGAAATATCGCCTCAGCACGTATGCCCTTCGTACCTGTGTCAAGTTAATACACAAAATAATTACGGAGCCTGGACATTGATCGAGCCAGGCGGAGGGCTGTGGATATCTAGCACTGACAAACGCACAACATTGAACATTCGCGCCGTTAATTAATCAACAAAAGGTCCTCCACAATTAATATGAGACCAATATATCTTAATTTATTATTCTCGTATTTCATACAGCATAGCACGGACATAGCATAAGGTAGTATGGAGTTGAGCAAGCATTGAACATTAGTCCCATGAAATATAATGCAGGTTACAACGCCGAAGGATTCATCCAACGCGTCGGTCAGATTATGGACGTACCAGTGCAGTGGATGGCATGCTCATCCTCGGATCCCTGAATGCACAATACATCAATATCAGAGTGGGTGAACGGACTCGATCTTGCCCTAAAGTGGCGGTCAATCTATGTTATGTGGCGTAGGAGCCCTTTGGCGCACCCAGCGCGCAGTTTAGTTCTTATATTGATTCATATAACATCTTTTTCGTATTTTTCAATTACCTCGCCCTATGCATGAGCAAATACACGAAAAAAACATGACATACATAGTAAGGACATATGTAGTAAGAGCCACAATCCCAAAAGGTCACGGAGCATCGCACAACGTTGCACAACACCTCGGCTGACGACCGAGATCTCTCTCCCTTTTTCAATAATACGAGAACCACATTCAACCGTAACGGATCTGTGGTTACGTGGATGGATTGACAAACGTGTCTACTGTTCTACACATCATGTACATATGTACTCCGTACTCCGTGGCCCGAGGACGTACAGAGCCGACCAATTCACCGGATCAATTCTGATGAAGTAATGAGAAAATGACAGCTAGAATAATGGCTAGCTGACTGAGTCATTTCCGCACATTTAAAAAAGACATTTGTTGGTAGTACTAAGTGTGGTGGTGAATATGAGATAAGCTAATCGCGTTGTATCGGCCCTCGGCGATACCCTGTCGGGGTTTGGTTTGTATATATAGATACATGTAGATACATACATTGGCGTTGGTAGATCCCATTCAACCGCAGCATCGCCCGATCCCGTGATATGACATGTATAATCTGACCTGACTGTGAATAAGTACTTGATGACAGTGCGACCCTCTGTTCGGTTGGTTGGTTGGTTGGGTATTTCGAGATCGACATAGATGCGCAATGTTGGCCGTGTACTCCGGCTCCGTAGTATGATTGGAACTGTCATGATGACCTTGTAGACATACAAATGATGAACGGACCCCAAGTCATCATCGTCAATTACCTAATGTGCTGTCCCACGTGTTGCTGAGCAAAGGAGTCAATGGTAGAGTGGGATGTATTTCATGGTCAATGCTCGTTCAATGCGGTCGCCATACTCGCTTATTTCTTGTATTTCATCAAGACTGTACGAGATTAGACGAGAAGGAAATGATAATGCGCTCATCACTTTGACCAGTGTCAGGAAATGACGAAAAACGCAAGAAAGCGGCAGGGCCGAAATTGCCTATTAAGGCAGGTAGCCAGCCCGTGTCTTTAGCCCTACATAGTAATCGCTGCCTCTCGCAACTAGGATAAGAAATTCTGTCAATTTGGCTAGTTAGACACTCACTCTAAGCCTCTAACACATATTTATCTAGCTAGCTTCAACCACCATACTCCAAACACGGCAGATTCTCAACAACTACTCCGTACGAGCCTTCAAGTCGGACCCGTCCCGCCCATCACTGCGGAGTCCTCATGTCGATCATCCCTCGATCAAGCCTTAAGAAGATGAGTTAAGTGCCTAGTTCTAGTCGCAGGATTGTACATAGCCAGCTCTTGGGAGTCGAATGCAATCAAATTGTGACACAGACTGCATATTTTGGACCTTAGCTGGGTTAGCATGGATAGAGTTGGGGTAGACGGGATGGTGGGAATGGTCCCCGGAGCGTCGCGATGTCTATCATACTATGGTTGAAGTCAGCCTGGATGGAGTAGAGGTGAAGAGCTGTGTTCATTCGCATTTCGAACGTGAGTGACTGCGCTGGTTGGATGGTCTTGCCGTGTCGACTCGATTTCTTCAATTTTGGGATTGACTGACTAACTGCCCGACCCGTCATGAGTGTCCAACGCACTTGCTAACATACGAAGTCTTGTTTATTGGCATAAAAGTCCAAAAATGAAGAAGATGAAAAAGTGAAAGCATCGCATGGTTCACACATGAAACACTTCCCCTCCCCTTCATAGTTCCCATCGGCCCATTCCGTCACCGATAGATTGGGTCGGTTCATTTGGAACTCTTTTCCTGAAATTACATCTACTGAACCATCTGAGCGTGAACTATACTCGATACTGTTGTGTACTACAAGATATGTACGTGGTTAAAACACACTCCGGGAGTTTGTCGTAATTGTTCCACGCTCTGATTTGACGCCGATACAGGGTCTGTGGACTAGAAAATGAGAAACGGCACAGGAACCTGGTAAGGGGGCATGAGCGCTTGACACTGTCGACAGAATTGATGCCGATCAGGTCTAGACAAACTGTCGACAAAAGAGCCAATTTAGTGGGCGGGATTTGGTGTGCAACGACTTATGTGTGTAGAATACGTATGTTGATCATGTACTACTGTCCATTTAGGGTTCGCAAACTTCCTGAAACAGTCCGCTCAAAGTCTAAAACTTTGAAGGTTCTGGACTTCTCTCGTCGGATATACTCCGGAGTCTTTGAAATCAACAAGTTTTGGAAGTGAAAAGGTGATGCGAAAAAGCCTCGGCCAAGATTAGACATGCTGTTTGAACGTTCAGGTGTTTCATCTGACTCGTCGCTTCAAAGAATACGCAACCACCAGCTCAGCCTCGTCGATATGATGTGGCTTACCTTGGATGTCGATATGAAACCTCTTAGGACTGGAGCGAAACGTGGCTTGGGGATGTGCCTAGGCATGTTTCATATGCTCTATTTGTGCTACGAGGAAAGCCTAGGCAAAACAAATTACTGTTTACTTCCAAGTCCGAAGGATTGAAGAAACGAAATGTACAATATGCGATTCTAATCGTACTCAACTACAGAATCCAAAACACCATCCACAATCCAGCAAGAACCAATCCCAACCCAGCACCAGGCGCAGAAAATCCAAAAGCGCCATTCAAATAATACGCCGCGCCCAAATAACTACATGTGATATCACCGTCCGAAGCTCTATAGCCATATGAATCATTCAGATACCTCCCAGTCGGACATTTGAATCCCAATGCCGCGGGACATGTGCGCACCAAGTCGTTGCACAGATCGGTGCATGGTAGGATTTCCTTGTACGGACCGGGGCGAATTTCCGTGTCAATCAACGAGTTGCGTGAGGCATTCGTTACGGGCGATGTAACCAATGGACTATCGGATGGTAATGATGTGCCGTTCAAAAACGCCTGGCCCGCGTTTCGTGGTTGGAGATAGGAGTAAGTCGCCGACCAGTCGTAGCATCGTGGGATTGTGACGGCGCATAACCATTGTTTGTAGGCCGAGGTGCAGTCGTCACAGCCCACGGCGAGAGAGTACATTGATGTCGAGGAGGTGTTGCATTGGATAAGAGACAAGGAGTAGTCAAAGTTTTTGTAGTATGATTGTGCGGCTTGATCGTAGATTTGCGCGAGTTGCGTGCTGGTGAGATTGGGGTTGGATGGCACTGCGTAAGCAACTTCGGAGCAAAAGTCGAGGTTGTACAGAAGAGCGCAGTTGTCATCTTATTCCAAGCAGTCAGCAATTGAATCACAAAGAGGAGCAGAATGAATGCTTACCGGTCTTGGTCGTAAAGTTCATCGCCCTCCAAACTTTCCCACCACCACCAATCACTCCATTTCCAGAAGCAGTCGAGTTACCGGTCATACCGAGAATGCCGTAGTAAGTAGAACTACTGTTCAAATACGTAACGTAAAACTGCTCCTTGGGCTTATTACCCAATCCCCGACTCGTCATGGACGTGTTGATAGCCTGATTCCCCTGCCGCAATTGCGCCAACTGATTCAAAGCACAATACGACTTTTCCAACCCGGAAATTGAACTGTCGTTGATATTATTCGCAAAGATAGTGTATGGTGGTGTAATATTCATCCACTGTTGATAGTTTGTGGATCCGGGTAAAGATTGCGTCAAGTTATTTGTTATCAGAAGAGCCGAATTTATATCGGAGTCGATGAAGTATAGATTCGTATCGTTGTCGACCGAGTGGAAATATGCATCTATCGAAGCTGCCACTTCGTAGTTGTAAATCCCCGTCCACAGAGTCGAGTTGGGTGCCGAGACACCAATGTAGATGTCATCATCGGCCTCAATCGCCGTGCCCATATATCCCTGATCAGCCGTATAATTAGTCTGCAGGGAAGGGTCACCAGCAGGCCCAGGGTTCTTATTACTTGAAGATGTCGATATATAAACTGTCAATGGAGGCAGTTGAGTGCTCGATGTCGCTTGTGGGTTGCTCGTATTCAGACTCGGTTTCAGACACGTATTCAGCGAAATGTATACAGTATTTGATCGTTTCTTCAATTCGCGTCGTTTCTCGTCAACAGTACTTGAATCTGTCGTATTGTCCGACGTCATATTGGCCGGGAGACCTTCTGGCGTGGCCGATGGTGTTCCCAGCACAGACTCCTTGGTGAAAACCCAGTATTGTGTCTGACCCAGCTCGATATTGAGCAACTTGAACTCATTATTACTGACCGCCATAGGGTCTGTTATAGCACGTCTGATGACCTGGTCGTCATCGCTGTCTCTTTGATCTTCATCGTCTTCAAAAATTATTGCTGAACCCTCGCCAGCACCATTATCCCGCAACGTCGTCAAGTGATCGACTTCTTCAAGCGCATAAGCGAAACTTCCAGAGTTCGTTGAGAGAATATAAAACAAAGCGAATACGAAGATAGTAGCGGCGAAAGTGGCAGCGAAACGCGACTGCAACGGGGTGAGCTTGGGGAACTGCATCGTTTTCTCGGGGTGCGCTCGTTGCGATGGAGGATCCTGATCCTTATCCCTCAACTCGAAGGCGGGGTGTTTTCATAGAGGCGATTGCGATTGAAATGGTAATCAGTCGTCGTTCAAGGCATGATGTTTATGAGATCAAGGTCATTCCTCCCTGTTCGTTGGAAATCAGGGATGTAGTTCAGAGGTTGTTGGCGGTTTGAAATTATTGGTTGGTCCGGCACATCTGAGTCTCGGGGTGGGACGAACTCCGTCTCAGACAGGAACCGCTGACTGCGCCACACCAATGGTCAACCAGTACGTATACTCTCTATTCATCATCTAATTGTGCCATTGTGGATTGTCAAAAGCTGTAAACAGTATATGTATATTCGCGTATATAGTATATCCATATTTAACTACTCACAAGAAGCAAAAATTCAAAATGCAAATCAGACAAGAAGCATAAGCACTCAAACAAGTTTGTAGTATCGTGCAACCACCATAGTCGAAGCAAGCATAAATCCAATAAATCCAACAATGCCAAAAAACCATCCAAGGCCTTCGCTTTCCCTTCCAGGTACCGGAACGTTCATGCCCCAGAGACCACAGATTAGGTTCATTGGGACGAGCAGACTGGCGATCAAGGTCACCTTGCTGAGGATGTTGTTAACGTGGTTTCCCAGCATGATGTTACTCACGTTCAGCTGTGCTAGATAGTTGCTATGAGAGCGGCTGAGCATCTTTTCAAAGTGAGTCAAATTAGACACCATGGTGACGATGTGATCTTGAATATCACCAAGATAGAGTCCGATGTCGCCACGCGGAGTAACGGAATATTGCTCATTACAACGCTTGGAGAAGCCCCGAATAACGTCGGCCTTGCCGCCGAGGAGTCGCATGAGGGTCATGACTTTCTTGCGAAGATCACCAATGCGTGGCAGGAAAGTACCAAAGTCTTCCACGCGAGCAACAAACACATGATCTTCAATCGCTTCAGACTCGATCTCAACATCGCGCATGATTGGACCAAAACTGTCGACAATATCGTCACTGTTTTCATTAGCATCAAAGTCGTACTTGATTGGACGGATAGACTTACATCATGGCGTAACAAATCCAGTCGCTACTCAATGACACGTAGTCACGAAGCTTGCCGATACGCTTGCGAACGTTGGCTGCATGGCGGTTTTCGGAAAAGGAAAACGAGAGAACGCCATCACGATAGACAACCATATACACATTGACCGGGTCCAAGTAACGATCATGGTCCTTGTCAGCATGGTAGAAAGTCCGGAAACAAACAAAATAGTATTGTTTGAACAACTCAACTTTCTCTCGAGCTTCTTGAGTCATGATATCTTCCGCGGTCAAAGGGTGAATAGAGAATGCTCGTGAAATAGCGCCGAGTTCGGCTTCGGTAGGATCAACGACATCCAACCACCACACACCACCCTCAGGGCCAAGCTGGAATAGGTCACGGAAGCTGTCACCCGGAAGGATGAGATCACCTAGGTATGCCGCATGGATCGTGCTTTGGCTTTCCGAAGAAAAGAAGGTGAATCGGTTCTGTACGGTCATGGGCTGGAAATTGTCGATGGCCTCTTTCTCGTTTATGGTATCTCCAGATGGCTCAGTCGTCAATTCTGCTTTTAGATCGTCCTCGAAGTCCCGTTCCGGACTTTCGGACGCAACAACAACCTCGGGCATTTCAAGAATCACATCGCCGTGTTGTACCTGTTGACGGAGATCGTGGAAAATGCGAGGAGTAGGGCCTTGAGAGCTCAGGCTATGTTTGCGGCTGAGAGCAGCGTACTTGTCCCTCTTGTTCAATGCAACAAACTCTTCCAGCTCCTCATAATCGATGACGGGGATACGACCCGGTTCCTTGAAAGAGCATCCGCATTCGCTCTTGGCGTCGTCGACGGCAATCTCTCCTCCCTGATCAGGTCGAATGACACTGGCTTGGCTAAAGGTCGGGCGGCGGGGTATGGTACCATTCGAAACAGTGCGCTGGAGGATGGTATCAAGATCGGTCTCAACATGACTTCCAATCGTATTGGCACGCTCACGGCGTCGAGGATCGGCAAAAGCGTCCACAGAGTTGGGCGGAGAGGAAGAGCTGTCCGATGACGGGGACGAGTTCCGAGATCGAGGGCCCATATCTTGTTGGCAACGGCTTCGAGTACGATGATGGCGTGGGTTTGGATCCACTGATAGACGTCTCGCAAAGGAGTCGATGTCACGATCGTCGTCGACGATGGCTTGTTCAAAGTCACGAGAAATTGGACCGTTGGCCACATAATTGTCCGGTACTTGCAGGAGAGGAGAGCGACGGCCCAGTTCGGCCTGCTGAGCAGCGGTCGGGATCCCCGACATGATGTCGATGTTGTATTGTTGTCTAAATTGTTCGTCGAATTGATTTTCCTCGATAAGGCGAGGCTCGGCGGTGTCGAACCCTGTCAGAGACGTTTCGGAGCGAGGAGTTCCCAACATGGCCCAGGATCTGGCTCAGTGGAGGATTTTCAAAAATTAACCCATTCAGAAAAGTGCCTAGCGGCGTTGTGCGTAGATGACGGTTGCGTAGTGTCTCGCACAGTAACGAGCGAGAATCAAATAGCTATAATATATCGAGTATATCTCGGTAAAGCTCAGCCAGACCCTTTGCAGGGGTCTGGCAAGACGGACTTGAGTGAAAGCGAGATTACCAAAATGTTGACTAGCACGGGAGTCAAGTTAAGGAGGCCGAGTGTCGCCCCCGCAGAAGACCCTGAACTTTGGGCCCAGAAGAGGGTGAATGAAGGAAACCTGAATAGAGTGAAGTCCCGCCAACTTGACTGTTTGGTTGTTATATGAGCGTTGACGCTCCAGGGTGCTCCAGAGGAGTTGATGGTTGGGGAAGAGTTCTGCGTGAGGATTAGGAGATCCTCAACTTAATTGACGGTAGGCCTCCTGGAACCTGAATTGTTTGTCTTGATTTTGCTTCTCGTCGGACGAAGCTGGGATCAGATGGATTGGCGATATAGAGGGGTCGAGGTCAGACGTGCGAAATATCTGCGTTGGGATTGGATGAGCCGAGTCCGGAACCACCACCGAATGGTCTTTCGGGAAAGACGAAGGAAAAAGGTGGTATCAAGATACACTCAGGAGTGTTCGCACAATAAAGACTTTCAATAGACAATAATCGGCACAGAAAGATAATAAACACCGTGAAGGTGCGATAGGTGGTGATGGGAAGAAAGAGAGGAAAAGGAGATGAAAAGATTTGTGGCAATGACGGTGTTCTTGTACATCCTCAGGCCGAAGGTTTTCACGCCAAGTCTAGACTAGCCGATGCCTTAGCGCCTTCAGAAAATGCTTTCGGAAAGCCGATGCGTTGACTACTAAATTACTATGCAGAGCATCCCGTGGACTGGACGAACTTTACAGCCAAACAAATCGCTCAATTACTCACTTCGGCTAAACCTGGGTATGCCACCGTTTCAATTTTTCATCTCCAATGGCCGGTTTTTCTGGCCACTTTGTCGCAAAAAGGGAAAGAAGTCTTGTGTCGCATTGCCTAGACTATGTGCCTGAGGAGAAAATTTCTTCCCTGCTACCCAATATGGGCCAATGTGACTCCATACTTACGTACTACTACTCAGTTTCCCATATTGCATTCTTCCTTCTGTATCAGAGTGTCAGAATGTCAGTGTGTTTAGTCTCGGAAGGCTGAATTAGCATTATGCAGGGATCACCTGGGTAATATGCCACGGCTTACAAGCCATGTACGTCGTGCTGCTGATCAATGACAGCAACTGAAGAAAGCAAGCCGCAAGTGATTCCACTAAAAACACCATGTGAAAAACTGACTCGCCAATATGGACACAGCTTTTTGCATGTCACTGTCACGGCATCAATGGTGGCCACCGAGATTAAAATGTCTCATGGGGGGCGCCACGAAAGAAAAAGCCCTAAATTCTTTTCCGGTGACTCTCAGATCCCCGCATGGTCTGGACATCAAGTACGTTAGTACGTTAGTACGTATGGCAGCAGTAAGCACAAGCTAGTACCACTGTAAACAATAAACAGTGTTCAATTCAAGGTCATCTACCCCATACCAAAGGTTCACAGTGACATATACTATGTACTAGAGTCTCAAAACGCTGAGCACCAAATCGGAGTTGAGCGTGGATTGGGGATGGAGGTCGGCTCAGGCCGAAGTCGGCGTTTGCTGCAAACCCATTGGACAAGCATCCCGCGCTAGCACAAACATCGTCGCTGATACACCATATCGAAAAAATAAAAGAACACCAACATTCTACAATTGAACGTTGGCGTAAGAAGAAAGGAAAAAAGAAAAGGAAAGAAGGATTGAGGAGCAAGCAATTCTTCCACGTGATTGAGAGGAAATTGCTGTGCCGAGTCAATTGGTGTCGTACGTGTCTCCGACAAAAAATATCAGCCCCTCCATTCAAAGATTATCTGACTCACAACTGCCAGTCACCTCAGCTGTCCATCCACACCCATACCCTCATACACAGACTTACAAGCGTTAGACGCGATCGATACAATGTCCTCCTCCTTCAGCATCCGCATCCCCTGCTCGTCCGCCAACATCGGCCCCGGCTTCGACGTCATTGGGCTTGCACTAACCCTATACCTCGAAGTGCACGTCACAATCGACTCGACGCCTTCCTCGCTCGAGCACAACAAATACCCCCTCAACTGCGCAATCACATATGAGAATCTGAGCGGCAGCAAAGAGCAGATCAGCCTGGACCCCGAAGTCAATCTGATCACCCGCGTGGCTCTGTATGTGCTGAGATGTCACGACCAGCGCGCATTCCCGGCCAATACACATGTACACATCAAGAATCCGATCCCATTAGGTAGGGGTTTGGGAACGTCTGGAACCGCGGTGGTAGCTGGTGTAGTCTTGGGTAATGAATTGGGAAAGCTGGGCTTGACCAAAGCCCGTCTTCTCGATTACTGTTTAATGATCGGTAAGTCCCTAAATCTACAGACAAGAGCGCACGTCTAATAAAGATAGAACGACATCCGGATAACGTCGCCGCATCTCTCTTTGGTGGCTTCGTAGGCACATACCTCAGCGACCTCAAACCCGAAGACGTCGCGCGCATCGAAATCCCCTTGAGTGAAGTTCTCCCCGAACCCGCCGGCGGCATCGACACGGGCAAACAACCGCCCAAACCACCCGTTGGAATCGGTCACTGCACAAAATTCCCCTGGGCAAAGGAAATCAAAGCGCTCGCTATAATCCCAGACTTCGTCGTGCCCACAGCCAATGCGCGTGATGTGTTGCCAAAACAATATTCGCGCGCCGATGTGGTTTTCAACCTGCAGCGTGTTGCGCTTCTGCCCATTGCGCTGGGTGCTTCTCCCCCAGACGCGGATATGATTTATCTCGCTATGCAGGATAGAGTGCATCAACCCTACCGCCAGACTCTGATCCCCGGATTGATGGAGATTCTGCAGTCCATGACCCCGGCCACACAGCCCGGTTTATTGGGTATTTGTCTTTCGGGCGCGGGGCCTACGATTCTGGCGCTTGCGACGGACAATTTTGAGGAGATTGCGCAGAAAATCACCGGACGTTTTGCCGAGAGGGGAATTGAGTGTCAATGGAAATTGTTGGAGTTGGCGCAGGAGGGGACACTTGTGGAGCATCATTAAATATATCCGTTTGATACATTCAGTACCTAGTAATAGACAGTTGAACAGTAATCAGCATCATATTGATTTTTATACTAATAGATGATAAATTGAAAAAAAGACCCCAACGCTAGGCTTGCAAATTGTTTTGTACAGACTCTTTGATATTTCCAATGATGATAGCAAACCCCCAAATGAGCAAAAGCATAGTAAAACAATTGGGAAGGAAACGAAAGAAGATTGATGCACTGAGACAGGATTCTATTCGTCGTCGGCATCCTGCATCTCCTCATCTTCCACCTCTCTGGAAACAGCAGCAGGCTCGTCATCTTCATCGCTGTCGTCGAGAACCCGCTTGCCGCGTCGAGCACGTCCGCCTCTCCCCCCGGCGGCTGGAGTTGCTTCCTCTTCGGCAACTTCATTATCGTCATCGCCGAACAAATCTTCATCGGCAGCTGCAGGAGGAGCAGCATCTTCGTCCAATTCGTCATCCGAGTCAACCACCAACTCGCTACTCTTGTATTTGCCGGGTTTCTCCTTAGCGCCTCCTCGACGTTCCAATCGTCTTCGTCTTTTGGGTGCTGGCGTTGTCCCGTCATCATCGGAGCGAGCTACACTGATACTTCGACCATCAGAAACGACGCCATCGTCCTCATCGCGGCGCTTCCTTCTTCTGCTGCCGGACGGAGCTTTCTTCTTGCGTTTCTGTCGCTCACCCGTTTCACTATCTGTACTAAACTCAACTGCCTCGCGAGCTCTCTGTTCCTCCGCTCTCTTTGCTGCTAGTCGCTGCGTTTCTTCAATGATACGTTGCCGCTGTTCTGCTAGTTGGCGTTTCTTCTCCAATTCAAGTTCCCTCGCCTTTTGGACTTCTTCTTCACGACGTTTCAATTCGGCGTCACGAGCAGCGCGGGCTTGTTGCAATTTGAGAGCGTTCTTCTCCTCATACTCCTTTTGGTTCTGGATGGATCGCTCGAGCTGCTTGCTGATCGTATTCCGGCCCATGTTCGCTCGCTGCTCCAAAGACTCGCGAGGATATGGCGGTGCCTTGACCTGAGCAATGCGTGTGAACGTTTCAATTGCCTTCTCAAGACCTTCGGCCGCTTCCTGCAGATCTTGTACCGTCCTTTGGGCTTCTGGTAGGCTATTCACGAGAAGTGCAATCTGATTCTGGACAAACGCGACGTTGAACTCAAGATGTGCCTGTTCCGGCGCAACTTCCAACGCACGATTCGCATAATCCAAAGCAGTCTTCATGGCTGTCAGATTCTTTTCATGTTTCCCTCTCAACCACCAAACTCGTCCAAGGCATGCTAAGATTTGCGCATCGCGAGCTCGATCTTTCGATAACGCCATTTCATAGCACTCAATTGATCGCGAAAACTGTTTCAATTCCGCATAGGCATGACCCAAGTTTAGATACACACTAGCGTCTTTGATGGTGTCACGGATCTTTGAGAAAATCTGAACAGCGCCCGTAAAGTCTTTACGATCGTCCACAAGAGCAATTGCAATTCCTTGGGCTGCGTAAGCATTCTGAGGATCTAATTGCAGAGCTTTGTCAAAGAACTCTACAGCGCGCTCGTACATCTTCCGTCTCTTTTCCTTGTCGGCGTCGGTCTCACGTCGCATGTCACGAGCTGTCAAAAGGTGCACATTGCCCATCCCAGTCAAAGCGTATCTATCATGCTTGTCAAAATGCTGCAATGTATGCTTGTAGTGCCGTTGTTCGTGGTCCTCTGCCAGATTGGCAACTCGCTTCTTGGACTTGCTGAGGTACCAGCCAAACAGCGCGCGAACCTCAAGATTCGTTGAGTCGCTTTCGTACAATTTGGCCATCTCCTTAGGTCCTTCATCTGTCGGACTCTGACGAAGCGCAATATAGGTCATTCTGGCACTAGCTTCGGTATAATCGCTATGTCGCTGAAGAAGACTCTCATACACTTTCTTGGCCTCGTCTGGCAGATCGAGGGCTTCCAGGGAACGAGCAAAGTTGTATCTGACCGTTGTAAGAAGCGCGTCGGTGGCCTTTTCACCCTCCAACTCCTCGGACTTGTCACAAGCCGTCAAGGCAGCCTGGAACAGCTCTCTTGCTTGCGCTACTTTGCCTGACTGGTAGAGGAAACAGCCAATGTTGTTCAAAAGTTGCGGCGGCAAATACTCCCGAAGTGCAGCCTTGAGTTCTCCATTCTGCAGCGTCGCGTCAGGCCTATCTTGGTCAGGAATCTGATCCATCTGAATTTCTTCAAGTTGGGTGAGACACTGCATGCTCTTGTCTGGCGAAGTGCTCTCGTATAAGCGGGAAAGATAAATCAGCACAGATTCGTCAGCTGGAATGTTCTTCGTCGGGTCCTTCCAAAGACTGCGGACGTTCTCGAGAAGAGAGATGGCTTTTGTGGTATCGGCAGTTTTGTCATCCTTGCTACCGCTAGCCTGAGCAGAGAAGACATCTTCTGCTAGCAGAGCGCCCAATAATGCCATACATTCCGGGTTCTTCGTCTGCTGTATAATCTTCTCCAGTCGAAACTTTGCTCCATCCAGGTCCTTGGATTTGACCTGCATCTGGACGACACCAAACTTGGCGGGTAGATATCCACTATCACCACCACCACGAGCTTGATCAGACCGATTGAAATACTCAGAAGCTTTCGCCGTGTCGCCCTCGTAATGCGCCTTTCGGCCTAGGAGATACCAGCCTTCACTAGCGATAGACACGACGTCGGTCTGTTCAATAGCTTTGCGAGCCAAAACTTCCACCGCTTTGTAGTCTTTGCGGATCAATTTGTATCCTGCAAACCTGGCACATGCCATTGGATAGTCCTTGTCGAGCTTGAGAGAGCTCTGTGTATGCGTCATGGAGGTTCTGTATAACTCTCCGAACTGTGGATCGCTTGTGGGACGTTGGGAGCTGCTGTACAGGTAGTACGTTCCGACTAGGATAGTGGCAACCTTTGATTTGGGGTTCTATTAGATGTACTGTTAGTAAAGCTCGACATTAAGGGGATCACCCTTTGAACAAACCAAAGACAGTGCCCGTTCCCATGCGTCTTTTGCTCGTTCTTTAAAGCCTAGTTGCCAAAGACAGCATCCGATACCAATTCGTGGATCAGGATCAGTCAGACCCGGCATTCTGGTGAGGACAGTCTGGTAGACTATCAGCGCATCGGCATAGTTTCCCAGAGAATACTGCGCTCTAGCTAGACCCAGATGAGCCATCACATTTCTGCCACCAGAAGCTTTCGATGCTTCCTCAAAACACTTCAAAGCCTGGCGTAAGCTCTCGACTCTATCGGATGTATCAGGAATTCCGGTTCTAACAGGTCGCGGAGGGTAGAGGGATGCCCGAAGAAGTGACAGGACACCACGCGCCAGGAAGAGTGGCGTGTAGGCAGGATTGAGACGAGATGCCTCGTTGAGAGTCGACGTCGCCTGTTGCAGATAATAATCCTTGATCTTCACATCTGAGTTGTCGCCATCTGGAGCAACGCGGGGCGCTTGACGACTCTTAATCATCAACAACCAGCACAGCCAGTTCAAAAGCCCTAGCTTCTCTTTCGTTGCTCCATGAGCGACAGACGCCAAACCCTTTTGCAGAATTTCGATCGCATGGTCAAGCTGGTTTTGTTTCGCATATGCCAAGGAAATGATCACCCAAAAATTTTTTGCGGCCTTCTCGTTCTCTAGCAGTGTGCACAGCTCTGTTGGGTCATCGGGGAGTTCTTCGAGACTGACTTCGACCTCACTGTCGAATGTCGACGCAGGGATGTCGATGGCTGAGGGGATGTCAGAGAACCGAGAGGCTGAAGGTACCGTTTCGGTACTGAAGGCCGAGTTTCCAAAGCCATTCGTATGGCCGTTTTCGAGTTGCGACATGATGAGTGCTTGTTCTGAGGGATGAGATGACCGCAGGTCCGAATTCGCAGATGGTGAACGTTGTTAACGATACAAAGCCATCTGAGTGTATGATATGATGATCAGAAAGATGCCGATATTTTCAAATCATCGAATGACAGATTGGTGCATGTGCCTTGAATGCGCACAGCGTGGACTGGAGAACTGTAGAAAGACAGCTACTCCCGTCTTGTCAGTCGCGGAAGGTCGAAATAATAGAACGCCTGAGAGCCTGAGGCGCGAGCTTGGCAACCTCTGGTAGTGGCCAATCAAAGGCATGATAGGTCGACGTGCCGCCCCACTTGAGCATCAATAGATGAGAACAATAAGACAGGATATTATTGATTCAATACTTTGAACTTTATTGACTGTTTATACATAAAGCTGAAAGGTGTCAAGTAGAGAGCACCACTGTACCTAATCGCCGAATAAATCTCAGCCATTCCTCGAGCCTATTGACCAGAAACGCCATGAATCTCGCATGCACCGGATAGTTTGCAATGAGCTCAAAACATCCTGCAAAGGAATCCAACTAATAGCAGAACAGTGAAGATCTGCGCAATTTCTATCCGGCGGGACAGCTCTATTTCCGTTTCAACATAACCACGAGATGCCTCATCTTTCTGTTTAGCGGGGATGTTTTGTGTCTCGATGGAGGAGTCTAAAGAAGTCGGGAACCGCCCAGTCTCAAAGAACTGATCAAGCAAAGCATCTTTCTCTCTCCAGCGCTCCAAGAGCCATTGCTCAAACGCCTTCGGGTCATCCAATGGAATGTCTGCCATGGCCCAGCGTCGCCAGTACATGTTGACGGATTTGGGGGGACGACCCTGACCATAGGTAGATCGCAAGGTGAAATATTTGTCAGGATATATGCCTTTCCTACAGAGATTGTCAGTATTGACGACAGTAAATACAACAATAAAACAAGGTGGGTACGAACGGTGGACCCTCGTAGCCTACAGTGCAGTCATACACAAAATCTACGGTACCTCGTAATTGCTGCAAGCAGAATAGTAGTCCTGTGGACCGCGGAAGAATCATATGCTTGAGAGGAGCAACGCCCATCTTTTCGCCGTACTTGTTGCTGATGTTCTTTGTGTTGATGGAAAGGTTAGTTCCCTCTGGGAATATCAACAGCCACATTGGATCCAAGCTCTGTGAGCCAGACATGGGGCCAGCGTGTCTCGTCTTCAATTTCTGGAGACGATGCTCCAAGCGAGGCTTATCCGATTCCCACTTACGAGCCATGAAGATGAAGCCATAGAACATCATTCCTTGACCGATGACAGGTATCTTCTTGAGCGATTCCTTCAAGATGATGTAGATATGGCCGTGCATACGGGATGTATAGCTCACCCACCACAGATACAGCCAGTCTGTATATACTTGATGGTTCGCAACGAATACAAGGCGGTCCGGAAAGTTCGTCTTGAGCAACCCGCTGGAAGTAAGCTGTATCTGCCCTTTGACCGACTCATCGCCGCTGACACGGACTACTGTCGGGGCACCCCACTGGGTGATGGTGATGATGAGAATTCCAAAACATTGCTTCGTCATAGCCATATAAGCGTAGTAATAGTCCTTATTGACAAAGTATAGCGGCGCTCCGATGAGCTGGGTTATGAATATACAAACACAGCAACCGTTGAACCACGTTGCGAGCAGCAGAGATCGCAGTATCTGCATGGCAACTCCATGCTTCAGGCCAGCATTTTTGTCCTTCTCGGTTAATGGAGGTTCTTCGCTCGCGTCGGACGACCCGGATGGGTCGGCCGGCACTCGATGTCGTATATCGGACATGGTGGGGGGCTTGATGCTCGTTGAGTTCGATATGCAGCGTAGACAGAGTGTATACGGCGCTCGTTCAGATAGAAGCTGAGAAGATATGGCGTTGATCTGCCGGTAAACTCGATACTGTAGTAATTGTACAGGCGTAGTGGGGTGAGATCAAGGCTGCCTAGTAATTAAGATCTTTGTATGAACGAGCGGATCCAGCCGGCTTCAAATCGAGGGAGAAGGCATTGTGAAAGAGTAAGGGGAGATGACTTGAGTCACGGTCTAATTGGGAAAGAGAGCATGTGAGGCAGCAAGTAGCGAGACGCAGTTAAGTTAGGCTTCATCGCATCCAGCCCTGACTGCGAAAGTAAGTTCGTTGAGTCAGCGTGACTGACGTCTTTCAAATTTCTGCTACATGATTGGGGATAGCGGGCAGGCGGTGAGGAGGTCAGCTGGGTCTGCCTGAGGCGTGGAGCCGGAGCTAGAGCCCCAACTCCGCTTTCTGCGGTTTTGTAGAGTACATTGCGTTTTTACGTCTTACTTCCCATCTGCAAGCATGCTATTTGGATAAATTTGGCATCAGTACCTTTCTGACCTATATTTGGCCAAAGTTAACCAGAGAGACATGTCCGTGAAAGGATCTCTGTCTCGTTACGTCTTGTGGCAGCGATTTCTATCAAGCTGCACCGTATTTCAAGATCCGTCATCATGAGAGCTACCTCTCCGTGGATTCGACAGTTCTCGCCGCCACACAATGTTCGGGCCACTTGTCGTTTCTTCTCTGCTTCATCATCGCGACGAGAAATCAAAGATATCCAGAGTCTTCCTGCGCGACGTCTGCCAAAATACCAAGGTGTGCGTTCGGATCGAGCGTGTCCGCGACGCTCAAGTACAGACCCGACTAAAGCTAACTCGGCATAAATCTAGAGTCTCGAGGTAGCGACTTATTATCCCTTCGATGGCCGGCCCCTCCTCGCAATATCCTGATTGTGAAGAAGCAAAGCGCMCCTGCCGTTACGGCGTCTGTTATAGAATTCATCAAGTATGACCTCAGTCCTATTGATGGCAAAGGGCATTTTCCTAACGCGGAACCAGTCATCTAGCATCCACATATCCCTCGTTATCAATCATTTTAGAGCCTAAAACTAGCCAAGAAGTTCACTCTTCTCTTCCGATTCCAGTCTACACATCGACCTCGGAAAAGCCACTGTCTGCGTCAACACATGATAAAGTCGACCTGGTGGTGACCCTCGGCGGAGATGGAACTATACTTCGCGCCTCGTCTTTATTTGCGACATCACACGATGTTCCGCCTATGCTGTCATTCAGTATGGGTACCTTGGGATTTCTAGGAGAATGGAAATTCGACGAATACAAGCGAGCTTTTCGAGAAGTCTACATGTCTGGCTCGGGCGCAGGTGACCGCGCTCCTGTTCTGGATGACTTGGAGCCTAGCACGGCCGAGGAGGACGTCGAATCGAAAATGGGGCCTACAGGCTGGTCCTCTGTCCGTGGTAAATCCATGGGTTCTACCAGAGGGGCCCGGGTATTGATGCGTAACCGTTTGCGTGTTGGTCTATTTTCACCGGACGGCGAAGCTATTATTCCCCCATCACATTCCGCCGTGTCGACCGGTGTATCGGATCCACGGGTTTATGCACTGAATGAAGTTCTTATCCACCGTGGAAAAGAGCCTCATCTCGCTGTTCTGGATGTCTTTGTCGGTGGGCGTTTCTTAACGGAAGCGGTCGCGGATGGCATGATCATTTCAACGCCCACCGGTAGCACCGCCTATAGTTTGAGTAGCGGAGGTAGTATCGTACATCCCTTAGTCCCGTCGCTTCTCCTGACACCGGTATGCGCTCGTAGCTTGAGCTTTCGACCGCTAGTTCTACCGTCGAGCACACCAGTTACTCTACGACTAAGTACGAAAAATCGCGGCCGAGAAGTCGAGTTGAGTATTGACGGCAAGAACATGGGCCAGGGCATGTCTGCTGGAATGGAAGTACGAGTCTGGGATGAGGAGATTCGACATGGAAAGAACGATTGGAGAGGCGGCGTGCCCTGTGTGATGCGACGAACCATAGGAGTCACCGACGACGGCTGGGTTGGTGGGCTGAATTCGCTGCTAAAGTTCAACCACCCGTTTGGAGCAGATCCATGAAAGTCGACGTGTTTTGGTCCTTGTACCTATTTACTTGTATATAGAACCATATTGATATTTGAAAGTGAGGACTAGTTACCGTTCGTTAAGTAGAAAAAGCTGGTGAGGAACCATCTTAGTTGTTTGTTTTTAAACTGTATACTATAACCGCTTGGAGTCTCACTTACGTTTACGATTGAACAACATCATTCACGGTGGCACAGCTACGAATCTTTCTGTGCCCCTCCTTCGGCAAGTCGTGGATTTGGGGTCTGGAATTGTATCTGAGCGTTCCCACTGGTGACTCGTGAGTGGACTGAGACAAGGACGATCGGAGATAGCCTTGGAGCATGGCTGATCTACATGATGGCTTGATGCTGTCTTTCTAGAGTGCTCCGTACGGCTGAATGTCAAATGCAGCCTTGTCCTGCGTGTTCCAAGGTGGCTGTAGCGGAAAAACATATCCAAGGGTTGATGTTCATCGTTTCTACATGTAGTGTCGCAAATGCACAGTGTATCTAGACAAGTGATCAAGTACTCATCGGTCATGACTCGGTGCAGTTCATTTCAAAGATTCCAAAGATCAAGAGCACGACAGACAGACCCAAGTGGGTATCTGGCTGTCTGGGCTAGTCGAGGCTGGCCAATTCGATTGATTCTTTCTGGCGTCCCACTCTGTGCGGCAACTTCCCCTTTCTCCCTCCTTCCTCCACTCTGTCTATCCAGCTTGTCTATTTACTTACAATTACTTCTTCCTTCCACACTCGCTAGACGCTAGAGGTTTCGCTATTTGTTGTCGTGTTGCTGTCTGTGTTGTTTCTGTTCATTTATTTCCTTGACAACCCTCTCCTGCAATTTAAGCGCCCTGGATATACCTTCAACCTTCTTACGAGTACGGGCAGTGCCCTGTGGAACTCCCGTTTCAACCAACCCCTAGGCAAGGTAAGCAAAGCGGAGGCCCGAATTGCCTATATCGTGTCACTCGAGTCACTGTCTCCTGTCTACCCAGCCTATCCCTTCGTCTACATTCGCGCTCTTATTTAGAGCAGACTGTTTGCAGTCTTCTATTCATTCAACAAAGACAATACAACATCTTCATTCTCCCCTCTTTCCCCCCGCCCGCTTATCCGTGTCCGCGCTTCGCTTGTGCCGCTCTAACATTCCAGTGCAATCAGACCTGTGGATATCCCTTTTGCTTTATAAGACAACTGCTTTTTGATCTTTCGATCCCGGGCGCCCAGGATGGCGTCCTCTCATGGAAAGTAAGTATTTCGTGCTCCGCATCACCCTGCTTATGTCAGGCCTTGAGACATTTCGACAAGGCTCGCGTCGCCGTAACTGATACGCCCTGTTGTTTGGTGACGCATACAAAATCGAATCAGAAACTCATTCAGTCATTCACAGTGTATACTCGGCCGACCAATTTATGAATCCCGGACCAGCCCCGCGGCCACCTACGGATCGTCCTCGGCTCACCACTGTACCGTCGAGCCCAAGTGTGGCTACTTCGTTCAGCCAAATGACCCTGAACTCGCCGAGCACTCCGACTTTGTCTATATTCCCCAATACCAGCAGCTTATCGCTCGCGCAGTCCAAGGGATCCCAAGTAAACCAGGGTGTAGCCGTTATCAAAGAAGGCTATGTCCGATGCAAAGAAGACAAGTTTCTGGCCCAATGGAACCAACGATACCTTATTCTTCGGGAGTTTCGCCTTGACTTTTTGAAAAACGAGACTGGAAAGTTAATCATGTCAATTAATCTTTCCAATATCACGGGCGTGACTCGGTCCGAAGACACAAAAATGGCATTTGAAATCACCCGCTTGGCCAACTCAAAGGACGCAAATTCAAAGGCTGCAATAATCAGTCGTGATGTGCCTACCAAAACAATTACTTGCGAAGTCAAAAACGATGATGAGATTTACGACTGGATTGATAAGATCTACGAACGGTGCCCAGGAATGGGAGGGGTCAGTAACCCGACTAATTTCAGCCATCGTGTGCATGTTGGTTTCGATCCCAAAACTGGTGCTTTCGTGGGCCTGCCGACAGAATGGGAGAAGCTATTGACTGCGTCAGCGATCACCAAGGAAGATTATAAGAAAAACCCACAAGCCGTCATTGAAGTGCTGGAGTTTTACTCAGACATTAAGATGCGGGAACAGAACCCTCAATATTACAGTAGCCTTGCACCTACTCCGCCAGCATCCAACTCCTCCACTTTGCAATTTGGAAACGGAAACGGCATTGCTCCTCCCAGACCAGCTCCCCCGGCTCCACTCCAGAGGGTAGATACTGGACAGTCCCAGCGATTTATGAACGACCAAAATGCGGCGGCGCGCAAGAATTCGGATGCAGACCGCGGCTTCGAAGTTGATCGTATGCGGGAAGTTGCCGAGCAAGAGCAACGACGCCGCATGGAAGAAGAAGCACGACGCATTCGCGAAGAACAGGAGAGACGAGAGCAGGAAGCCTATAATGCGTCACTACCCAAAACCCGAGTACCTCTCGCAAAACAGGAGCTGGGAGGCTATGGTCCTTCTGATTCCGAATCACCAAATCCTAACCGATACAACCCGAGCCGTCCTGCTCCTCCAGCGCCAGGCTCTGCTACTCGTCAACAGCCTCCAGCCATGAGACAAATGACAGCCCAGCGACCGGCACCGTCACCTCCGACCGCAGATGGCCAATCTGCTCAAAGGACAGGTAAGTATCTCAAGTCCAATTATAGTTCGTTGGCTAATATCTTCAAGACCCAAAGCTTCAACAATCCATACCTCGCCCTGCCATCAACAATGCACCAAAGGCGCCCACGCAGAACTCGGGTCCTCCACCAACGCGTCTTCCTGCACCTGTTCAGCAAGTCAAACCATTGAACATTGCTAACAAGCAAGGAGCTCCTAAAGCTGGCGTTCCAGATGGGGTTCGTCAAGCCGAAGCCGCGCTTTCGAAGAAAGCCGAACCACGCCAGAAGGAAGTACGCATGTCGAGTATGACCGAAAATGAAGTTATGGAGAAGCTTAAATCCGTCGTGTCCAAGGAAAATCCACAGGAATCCTACAGCAAACAGCGCAAGATTGGTCAAGGTGCTTCGGGTTCCGTGTATGTGGCTCGCGTCAAGGAGAATGCGACGTCACCAGTTGCACGAGAGATTTACCGGACGCATGGACCTCGCGGGCAGGTCGCTATCAAGCAAATGGATCTTCGCAGCCAGCCTCGTAAAGAATTGATTGTCAACGAGATCATTGTCATGAAGGATAGCCAGCACGCCAACATTGTCAACTTCCTTGACTCTTTCTTGCAAGACCAGAACAACGAGCTTTGGGTTGTTATGGAGTTCATGGAGGGTGGTGCGTTGACTGATGTGATTGACAACAACCCCGTTATTCAAGAAGATCAAATTTCTACTATCTGTTTCGAGGTATGTTCCTAGTAATATGCGTGACAAATTTCTGCTGACGCATGTTTTGCAGACTTGCAAGGGTTTGGCCCATCTACATAGTCAGAATATTATCCACCGTGATATCAAGAGTGACAACGTCCTGTTGGATCGTGTCGGCAATGTCAAGATCAGTACGTCAATACAAGTATCTGTTTTACGAGAGCATTACTGACAAGTTATTTCCAATAGCGGATTTCGGTTTCTGCGCCAAACTCACAGAATCAAAGAGCAAGCGAGCCACCATGGTTGGAACACCCTACTGGATGGCTCCCGAGGTCGTCAAGCAAAAGGAGTACGGACCTAAGGTTGACTGCTGGTCTCTGGGTATCATGGCCATTGAAATGATTGAATCCGAGCCGCCATATCTTAACGAAGAGCCCCTCAAAGCATTGTACCTCATTGCGACTAACGGTACACCTCGACTCAAGAAGCCAGAGAAGCTCAGCAAGGAGTTGAAATCGTTTTTGAGTGTCTGTCTATGTGTTGATGTCCGCAGTCGAGCCACCGCTGAAGAATTATTGGCGCATGAGTTCTTGAAGATGGGTTGCAGTCGAGCTAGTCTCGCCGAGCTTTTGCGCTGGAAAAAGAACGGAGGACAGTAAGAAATCGGCAGCTTTCAAGCTCATTATGTTTTGTCGCTACAGGATGGCAACACCACCACCTCCTGCTCTGCTTCTGAGGCAGGATATGAAGACGCTTCGGCACGTCATGTTAAAGAAGTGCTGAGATGTGACGTCTACGGAGGATCGCTTGTTATATTGATCTTCCCATTTCTAATATCTCTTTCTCAAATCTTACGACCCGACATTGTAAATTTTCTTTTTTCTGGTCGTTTTCCCTTCCATATTCATGGTGTCTGTTGCAATATAGGAGCTCGCTTGGCATTATATCCCAGATGCTCAATACTTCTTTTCTTTCTACTATGCCTTACGTCTCTGCATACAGAAATTGTGTTAAAGAAAAGAATTTGAAAACGAGGAAACGTAAGGGTTTCTTCTTTTCTACCTTGTTTCTACTCAATGCTATGGGTTACGAATAAATGAATGATATTTTTTTTCATAGCTTTCTAGAGATAGATTCAAAGTTATTTAGCATAACAAACATTCTCATTTTCGTCTCTATAGTTTTCCGGACCAAATGTCATGTATGTTGAATTGCTGCGTACTAATACACGTAGAGAACGACTTCATTGCAGACCAAACCAACTTCATATAAAAACACATTAAGAAAAATCATTGCCCGTTGTCATCATCCAAGACATGACGCCCTCTGTGTTGGAATCTTTTTCACCCGAGAGAAAGACAAGAACAAAGACACAACATCCAAACAGAAAAGGATCCAAACAAAAGATCGTAGAAGTATATTAACCACCAGCGGCAGCAGCAGCAATCATCCCTCCAATCTGTCCAAAGAATACACCCCGAAGTACCTGCTCACCTTCCCCGAGGGCCCAGTGACCAGCCTCAGAGAGATGGTGACGCCAGCGCTCGCGTTGCTCGGGCTGCAGATCTTCCCATTTACGGGCTTGATGTTTTTCTTCTATCGATGAGGGTTCATCCTCGGCAGTAGAGTCTGTGTCTTGGTTGTGGTGATGAGCGTATATGGAGTCTTCGTCGTGGTTGTATTTTATGATTAATGGTGGGGACGGGATGGTTGTTTCGAGGCTTTCAATAATTGCGTCGATTATAGATGATGGGTCTTCGTCAAGCTGGCCCTCGCGGGTGCTCGTCTTCCGGGCATGGAGAAGGTCACGGAGATGATGACCCGTAATGATGGATGGCGCAGCAGTAGAAATCGCAGCAGCGATAGATGACGCTGTTGTGACAACCTGAGGCGCAATACCCTCTGCAGCGACAACGTCGCGAATATATGGTCTCGCAATCGACGAGCGGACTCGCTCAGGAAGCCAGGCGGTGGCGCCCAGATACGACGGTGTCAGACCCCTGATTTCAGTAAAGGCCTGTAGGAAGAAACAGCTGATAGCGACCACGAGGAGAGCAACGAATGTAGTGAATATTGTGTCTAGGGTTTCTGAGTGGCCGGGTGCTTTGAGCGCGTATCGTGGTGATGGGGTCTCTCTTCCGGCTAGAGTCCTTTGTGGCGATAGTGGGAATGTGTGCACGACAACCGTGTTGCCCAAGCTTATCGATGCCAGCTTTACGTATTGCGGAGGTGTGTTGGCTGTCACTGGATATGATGGTGGTCGATAATGCGAGAAGCAGACTTTCGTCATTGAGAACGGATGAACATTATTCAACGTCGAGTATACCTGTAGCGATCCATAGCCTTTACTTGGCAGATAATCCAGGACCAAAGTCTCAATGGACTGATCACTACCCGCCAGAGCGATGAAATATTGCCGTTCGTGGTTCTGCCCTTCTCCGAAATTGACCACGTCTAAACTCAAGCCGATTTTGATGGACTTTCGAAGCTTTTTTCGACGTACTATCGAACCGCTTCCCTTGGCCGGTATGGATAATATAGAAAGTTCACTTCCTGTGCGATCTATTGTGTTTTGAAGGAGTAATATGGCCGTCGGTGAAAGGAATCGTAGCGCTCTATATTTAGACTTTTTGGGCAGAGTTTTGGGTATGGTGAAAACGCTTTTGACTTCAGGCACCGCATTCGATTTTCGTGATGCAGATATTTCAAATGTGCAGATGTCCGTTCCATCGGTGTAAGCGACTAGGAACTTCCCATCTTCCAACTCGATGATGTCGATATCTTCGGCTTCTTTCCCATTTTCCAACCTAATTCGTCCAATGACGTCTGACGTCTGAGGATGTGAGGTCGCAGTGAAAAGAACAATCTCTCCCGCGGGTGCCAGTCCAGTCGCAATTGCGCTTATTCGAGGTAGCTCGGGCGCTTTATAGGGAGATAGTCTTAAGAGTCTTTGATATGTGTCGACTTTCCCTGCTGATTTCTTGGCCTCCTTGTCAGTAACATTTGAGCTGAACAGCGAGACTTGGGTCAACGGCGTGGTTTTTCTTCCATCAATTTTTTCTGTATTCGGCGTCGTGTCGTCGTGGGTCTCGCTTTTTCGAAGCGGGTATTCTAGTCGGAACGATCGTAGATGTTGATTGTTTCCTTTCAACTGCTCGGCTTGCGAACTATTAATCCCTGCGAGAGCTATCATAGATTCGTCTTTTGACTCGGCGATTGCTAGTGATGTGACCGAGTCTTCGTCGCGAGAGAGCTGGATGTCAACCAGTTCGGATATTTCTTGACGTTTCGAAGTGTTTAACAAGGCCTGTTTTGTAGACCTGATTAGCTATTTGCGCACAATGTGATGTAGGCTTTCCAGATAGAGGAGCATTGACGAACGATTTTGTTTCCCACACCACTGCGCCCTTCACCTCCTCCGCCTCCAACGAGCAACAGGCCATGGTTTCGAGGGTCGAAGTCTGCGGCGAACAACGGGCAAGAGAGGGTGATCTTCGCAGATGCGATTGATGGCGCCATCTTGGTGGGCGCGGCCTCCAAATCCTGTTCAGTACGAATAGAAGACAAATAAAAGTAACGACTTCTGTCGTAATTCGAAATAGTGATTGTAAATATACCGTTTGTCAAGGATGATGTGTCTGGACAGGCTGTCGCAAATGTTGAGCTCGGACCGCAGGCGATGATGACATGTTTTTGTATTGTTTTGCCGCGGTTGGCTGGTTATGTTGGCCGCCTTATATTCAAGGCATCCACATCTGTACATTTGAGAAGACTACAGAAATACGTATTTAATGCGAGAGAGGGTATATCGTATTCTTCCAACATTATTCCTCTACTTATATAATGTTTTGTTGACGCCATAGAAATGGATCTATTCCGTCTCTTGAGAGGTGAACTCGGGGAGCCGCTTGAACACATCCGCCCAAGTCTCCTCACCATCTACCATAGATTTGACTGCCTGCAAGATCTCGTCCTCACTGCCGCGGACCTGCTTTGTGGAGTCGCGGTCACGCAATGTGAAGGTGTTGTCTTTGACAGACTGGAAGTCAATTGTGATACCGAATGGTGTACCCAACTCGTCATTACGAGCGTAACGTTTACCGATACTGCTCGAAGAGTCATCCACCTTACTGGAAATTCCAGCGCGGCGGAACTTCAGACCCAATCGCTTAACAAAGGGGACAAAGGAATCGTGAGTGGAGAGAGGAACCAGGAGCACCTTGGTTGGGGACACAACTGGGGGGAACGAAAGGACCTATAAACCAAGATTTAGTATGAGATGAGTCACTTTGTTTAGTTCTAAAAAAACTTACACCACGAGCCTCATCGCCAGCACGATGCCAGTATGAATGTTCAAGCAGACTGTAGAGAATTCTTCCAATACCGAAAGAAGGTTCTACAACATTGGGAGTGTATTCCCGAATGTGCTGGGTTACTGTCTTCTTTTCAATGGTAACGAGGTCCTTGTCGAGCTCAGCCTTTCCGGACTCGATGTCCTCTACATCAATCTCAATCTTGCCGTTCTGCGCAAGATCCAGAGAAAGCTTCTCTCTGAGGTCTTCGGACAGCGAGTTGATTGCTGCCTCAACCTTCTTAGCATCCTTCTTGAACCGAGGACCGAACTTCGACTTGGCAATATCGACTTGCCACTCCTCGAAGACCTTAGGTTCTGGAAGGGCTTCGCGGACAAAGAGCGGAGCACCGGTCTTGTTCCTGTGCACGGTCAAATCGTACGCGCTTCGGTCAGCACAGCCAACACATTCAATCCAGCCGTAGCTGGTGTGCAGCTCGGCATCCCAACAATCAGCAGCGTAGTGAGCCATCTCATTGGCCATATGCTGACGGAATCGGAGCTTAGAGTAATCGACACCAATTTTTAAGAGGAATTGTTGAATCCTTGCAAGGAAGTATCCAAGTGTCTCATTGTCAACGACTCCATCGGAAACTGCTTTTCCGATGGTCATGGTTTCCGTCTTAGTGCTTCCGGAAAGCTGCACATCTCTGTTGAGCAGCGACAGCTCGACATCCTTGACTTCATCGAAGCGGGGATGCTTCTTGCCACCCTCAGGGTCAACAAAGTGTTCAATCTCGGCCATCAAGAATTCTCTGACACGCAAAAGACCTGCACGAGGCGAAATTTCGTTTCGGAAAGACTTGCCAATGGCTGCAGATGCGAACGGCATTTGGTTTTGGTTAAACTCGAGCAGTTTCTGGAAGGCAAGGAATTGACCCTGTGCGGTCTCTGGCCTCAAGTAGCCGGCTAAGTTACTGCTAGGACCAATTGATGTCTGGAACATCAAGTTGAAGGCAACCGGAGGTAGTAGATTTCCACCGGTTGTGGGATTGCGGATGTCGTACTTTGTAATCAGTAGAGCCAGACCGTCACCGTCATAGTTGTCAATCTTTGCTAGGATCTCCTCGTATTCCTTTACCACAGCATCATCCAACTTGACTAGTTTGACGTCCTTAACCTTCTTTTTTTTCTTCTTTGCATCTGCTTCCTCGTCTACCACGACTTTTTCTCCACGAGCCTCCTTGTCGGCCTTGAGACGAGCTTCGAGAACAGCCTCAACTAAATGATCCGCGCGGAAAATCTCTCCCGTCTTGGGGTCTTTGCACATCCAGTCGGCAAACTTATCGACGTGTCCACTGGTCTTCAACACCTCATGCGGGGTCAGCATCGTTGTATCGACTTCGAGCATGTCCTCCTCCAGGACGAAATGTTTGCGCCAGATATCGATAATGTTGGCTTGGAGGGCGCATCCTGGCGGACCATAGTCGTACAATCCAGCAACACCGCCATAGGGGTCGAACGAGGGGAAGTAGAAAGTTCTGCGACGGAGCAACGACTCTAGGACGGATCGATCGACATCCTGGCCGGCCCTGGTTGACAGGGTCGCCATTTTCGAATTGGCGGGKTTCTTTAGAGGCTTGGGRTTGAGAGTTGAGTATGTGCGCACGTAGGGTACAGAAGCATTACTGCTGAGCAGCCGCGAGAGTAATCGACGAGGGAAGGGTTGAGTCATTCACCGCGACAGATAATTGGACAAGGGCGGGGCGAAGGAGGGGAGCTGCAAAAAGAAGAAGTTTGGAGTGTGTGCTTGGAAACGGGGTACGAAAATTACACAATTCGGTGCCTAAAATGGGTGGAATGCATACCAATGTGTGTAAATAACAGTAATATGCCGTACTCTGGTTCGTTCTTGCATAGATTTAGAAGGCCGGAGAAAATATTATCCGGTGTGACTCGCATTGAAAGTGCTATAACTGTATTACTACGTAGAGTATATGTAATGTAAATAGCATAGTACTATCATAATAGAAACTTGTTGTATCTGGTGTCAGCGAATAAGCTATCAAGTCAAACTCACAAGTGAAGCTGCATAGACCATGAAAAGACGAAAGTATTCCTGATTATCGACTTAGTACGCTCTCCGTAGAAGATAAATGCAGCGGCCGCCATAGTGGGTCCTCCGCCTTGTCTAATCCATTAGCTCGACTTTTTTTTTTGAAGGTCACTTCGACTCATTCAGATCGCGAAGAAGAAAATCTCAACTTACAAGATTTTCAAAATGGTGATCAAAAATAAGCAGGTTCGCAAATTGCAGAACATCAAGCGCAAGCGAACAGAAAGCGCTGCCAAACACACTTTCCGCCATGAGCGGAGAAAAGAAGAGACCAAAAATCCCAGTCTTAGAGCCGAACGTCTTGCTCGCTCGGTGCCATTGACGCTCGACGTAAGTTCGAGTTATTGAAGCCTTCCTTGTATACGGAGAATATACTAATATGATTTGGTTCTTATAGAGAAAACGAACATGGGACGACGTAGGAAGTGACGACGAAAATCTACTCGGCTTGAGCGTCGATATCGAAAGACTCAAGAGACAAAAACAAGCAGAAGACGAGGCTGATAAGGAAGCCCTAGAGAATGGCAAAGAAGAAGACGAGGATAATGATGATGCCGATGAGGTTGACAGCATGATAATGACTGACTCGGAGGAGGAAAATGACAACGAGGACGAAGAGGACGATGAAGGAAATTCGAAGACAAGGCAAAGCCGAAAGAAAACGCTGCCTACCGCTACTGAAAGAGCGACATCACCAACACACTCAACACGATCTACGAAACTCGATTTAGCCCCTGAAGCGCTCGCAGCCAAATTCCCGACACTATTCGCACCCCAAACAACAGCCCCGAAAATCCTCATCACAACCGGGATTAATTCTACCTTACATCACGAAGCAAAACTCTTTACCTCTCTATTCCCCAATAGCGTCTATATTCGAAGAACCGCCCACCATCACGCTCATAAGTTCTCCGTCAAAGAGATAGCCAAGTTTGCAAGCAACCGCAATTTCACTGCGCTGGTCATAGTCAACGAAGATCAGAAGAAGGTCTCCGGTTTGGACATTGTTCATCTGCCACAAGGACCAATGTTCCACTTTTCAGTTTCGAATTTCATCGAAGGCAAAAAGTTACCCGGTCACGGCACGGCGTCGGAAGCATTCCCAGAACTCATCTTGAACAATTTCCGCAGTCCTCTCGGTATCTTAACGGCGCATCTATTCAAGTCGCTCTGGCCACCGCAGCCGGATCTTGCGTACCGACAGGTGGTCACTATACACAATCAAAGAGACTACTGCTTTGTGCGTCGTCATCGATATGTGTTCCGTGAGAAACGAGAAACCGAGAAACCCGTTGTTGATACTGATGGGAAGGAAATCAAAGGTGTTGAAGGCATAAAAACTGGTCTGCAAGAATTAGGGCCAAGAATGACTTTAAAACTGAGGAGGGTTGATAAAGGGATTCAGCGCAGCAGTGGTCAGGAGTGGGAGTGGAAGGGGAAAATGGAGAAAACGAGAACAAAGTTTCAGCTTTAGTCGTCGTTTGCCGATGTTGTGGTCTTTTAGCCAATATCATACACTAAACTCGTTGTGCTTCTAATGAGCAAGCATTTATATGTCTAGATCATATGTGCAGGTGCTGCGAATCTAAATCATAATCTGCGATTTGCGTGACAGAACCACGTGGACTCTGATACCCTAAATTCAGGGAGCAGTGTAATCATCTAGAATTGCGTGCCTACATGAATACCACCATCTACCAGTACATTAGTCCCGGTTACATAGCTCGCCAAAGGACTAGCCAGAAACACTGCTACTTTAGCAACCTCCTCAGGACCCCCAAGTCGCTTCAAGGGCACCTTCAACCGCTGCTCCTCCACCCATTCCGGCATAAGCTCAGAATACTTCTCCCACGGACCCCCCTTGCAGAGAATTGGACCGGGCGATATAGCATTGACTCGTATACCTTTGGGTCCCAGAAAATGAGACAGTTCCTGGACATGTTGTAATTGAGCCGCTTTGCAGGGTCCGTATGGTGCTGGAGGACTGCGGTAGAATTCACGACCCATAAATGAGCTTTGGACAATGATAGATGCTTGTGAAGATTTTTCGAGGTATGGGATTGTCGCCTTGACGAGTTCGACGAAGCCCATGACATCGATTGAGAAGCTGCTTTGCCAATGCTCGGTTTCTCCTTCCATGTGCATGGGTGATGCTATAGAATTTTAATTAACGCTATGTCTTTTACTTTAAAGGAATATAAAAACGCACCATTAGCGATAACCACATCAATACGTCCTAATCGCTCTGCAGAACTCTTCACCCAATTCACAACGGCTTCTTTGTTGCCTACATCCAGGGCGGTTCCCACGGCCCGAGCAGAATTCTCCGCAGGGAGCGTTTTGTAGAACTCACTGAACTCGGTGTTGGTGACTGTTCGGGCACAGTAGGAGACATTGGCCTCTTCCTGAAGGAAATGCTGGACCATACACTCTCCCATGCCCCGTGTGCCTCCTAGAAAATTATGTCAGCAAGATTGAGTCGCGTTGAGTAAGGGTAGGAGTTTTAATACCTGTTATCAAGACATGACAGCCCTTGAGGGATGTTTCAAGAACCATGATTATGCTCTTTTTGCGTTGATATCGAAGGTCAAACAACCCAAACTTGCGGAAGCGAGTCGGATGAGTTAGATTCCAGTAATAGTTGATTTGAAGAACTGTTTTGTGCAAATTTTCTGAGCTATCGTTTGACTCCACATCGGATCAAAAACCTCGATTCTGTCTTCTGTCACGTTCACTTTATGCTGAGCTGTATCGAAGGAAAAGTCGTGAATCTTGAGCTCTTTCTGAAAGAGGAAGCTTTTTAGGGTTACCTAATTGGGAGCTTCACCATAATAACTCCGAATCTCCTTCAAGGCTTACCCACCAGCAAAAAATGAATGTCAAGGTGAAGAGACCCACCCATCAGCTTTCTGGAACTATTTTGAGTGCATGTTCGATGTGATGTCGAATTTTGGTTTAGAAGAGAAGTGGCTTGTTTGATACATACGATATCTAACTGGACCGAGACGGTATGTGCGAGAAATCATGACAAGAGCTTGTATTAGGGCTAGACTACAGGTAAAATCCCATTAGTCAAAGTCGATAGCAATTGAGAAGCACAGAAGACCTTGGGAATCTGCACATGCTTGGCCCGTAGATACTCGGCGACATTCTTTCCCAGCACGTCAAATGTCGAGCTACATGCAGCTCCACGGTTAAGATGATCCTTGAGAAGAAATGTACAGTTGCTCGTTCATCAATTAGTGCTCATACCGCAACGTCTTTGGAAAATAGGGATCCTGCAACTCGAATCAATCGATTCGTTTCCCATTATAGTCTTTTTGAAGTAATTCTTTAATATGGCCGACCGAAAGCAGAAAGTGAAGCTACCGGTATTCGTCTGCATTTCGTGCATAGAACCCAACAGTGCAATCAGATCTTTTGTCCCCAGAGCGAGCATGTACAATATACCCAAGTGGTGCCGTAACCGTGGGACCAATGTCGCTTAGTGGCCTAGCATTTGTGGTTTCTGGCACCTCTTGCTCAAAGACGTAAGGCAGCGTATCCGCGATTGGAGCAATTGGTATGGATTTACTCAAATTTGGCAAATGGGCAACATGGTTTTTACGTGATAATGGCAAGGTTGTGACAAGGTATTCGAGATACGGCTTGGGKACGCCTTGTCGTGCGTCAACCGCAAGTGTTGCTCCAGGGTTTTGTCATCATCACGATGTTCTAGCATGGTCTGAGAAAATTGGCTGGTGATAGTGCTTCTTTAGTAGGTGCTTGTGCGAAGATTCTGACATCGAGTGTTGCCTCATCCTAGGAATTAGGGTGGATAGTTACTACTCCTAACGTTGTGAACTTGAGTAGGCTCATGCTATCCGTGTCATGGTAATGTCACAATTGACGCTCAAGTAAATGAACGCTTCTCAGCAGCATCTAGTCCAACCACAAAATAGTGATTTCAGCTTGAAAATCACCCTTCGCCGTAATTCCAACTTTGGTCGTCCGCTTCAGGCTTTTCAAACGCGATATTACTGACATAGACCATGTTAGCCGCCGCTTACTCCAGCATGCTTTCTATTGGAATGGTAAGCGATTACTATTCAATAGGATAGATTATCTTTTCCTCCATATTAACTAGATCGGGTGTGCTGCAATGGTCGCATGCGAAGCAGCCATGGTTGCTCGTTACGGCGGTACCTCGAACGCAATCAGTAACGGATTCGGAGTCTTGTTCCTCTTCCTCTCCCTCTTCATTATTTTATACGACTCTTGTGTTGATGCCATCACTTATGTCCACTGCTCTGAACTTTTCCCGATGAATCTTAGGGCTCAGGGTGTGGCGTTGTCCGTGATGGGATTGTTGCTATATAGACATGATCAACGTTGTGGCTGCCACCTTTTTGCTCAGTTTCTGGTGGAGAGGGCCCGATGAGTCCGAGGATACATGGAATTGGCTTGGTATATCCATAAGCCAGGCTCAAAGTCTCGGGATGTATCGCTCGTGAGTTTAGATATTTTGGTGTGCTTTCATAACCCCTACCATATATTGATTTGAAAGATAGAACTCTTAGATCGGGAATGAAACAAGAAACTAGAAGTAAATGGAAGCGAATGTGGTGGTCTATCAGGGTGAGACAAATCTGGACTTTTTCGAGGCATGGACGTTGTTTTGTCATACAAGAGGAGCACATAGATATGAGAAGCACTTGTTAGCGGTTCTATCGGACGTGTACAGCGATTCACAGAAAGAGACTGCGATGTCGAGATGCCTGAGCCTAACGACATTACTGGATATGATCTACGAAATAATACATGTGTCAAATGGCTAGGCTCAGTCAAATACATGAGTACAAGCAATAATCTGCCCGATGGAAGATCGAGTATGATTCGTGGCATTCCCAAGTCACCAACGTCATCACATCACGATACGCAGGTGATCAGTCTTCCGGCTCTAGCGATCGGCATGTGCTGGAAGATGCGTTGATGGCATTTCATCGAGCTATACCCCCTATACTTCAGTATCATAATTGCGAGCCGAGATCTGAACAGAGATTGTGAGCGACCATGCTTAGAATAGCCTTCAAGTATGTTGATCTATTACGTGCTATTAGACCGGCCATTATACTTATTCATAGCTACATGACAATACTTCTTCGTCGACCATTACGTAGTTTACCAAGGGATGACCAAGTTAGGGCTTGGGGTAATAGGGCTTTGGCGTTCAGGGCTGCTAATGATTTTTCGAGGTTTATGGAAGACATGTTTTTGGACTCAATGGTCTAATTGTGCTAGATACATATATGAGTTTATCTGTCTACGTTCCATTGAAAGGACCGAAGGAGAAATTGGCTGATATTTTTATAGCATTCCCGCCATCCACAATGCCCTTGCGATGCATTTGTTAGCGATCTGTACGTCAAACTCGATGAAACGCGAGCTCGCCGAACATTACGGTCGTGTGTGCATGCTCGGTCTAGAAACACTTCAACGATCATGGCCTGTAGTTGGTTGGGTACTCCTTATGTTTAGAACATTTGTCCACAAACTACAGGAAAAATATCGCGAAACTCAGCATACAACAACGCTCGTATGGCCGGTTTGTCTAGTGATATAGCGCGATTAGATGCCAGATTTGCCTTGAAATCTACAGATATTTCAAATATTCAGAGTAGCAGTGAGCAAAGGTCCTTTGCAGATGGCTATAGCAGTACTAACGGAAGCGGATTCGATTTGAATCATACAAGCTCGGCTTATGATGTAATCATAGAAGAAATTCCCTTCAATGACTGGTCTTTTATCACAGTTTTTTTGACATTGAACCCCATCAAGCTAACCCGTCGAACCGGACAGCTTCTTTGGATTACTCAATATACCTGCATTGGGAAACGACGGCAAAAGAACTTGGACAAGATCGAAACCCGGCATTTACAGGATTGCTATGGCTGAGGGAGGCGTTGCCACTCCTCCCTCAACGTTGAGTGGAGCACTGGTGAAGAAGAAACTCCATCTGTTTGCCTCTGCGCAAACCTGACTGAGACCTTCCAAGTTCCACATTTCGCCAATGGGGGTTCCCCAATAAACAAGTAACCAATCATGCAAACAACAATCTTCGGGAAACGGCCAGGCTTCAAAACCTTGGGCATCACCAGCGACAGCAGCAAAGTGCTTAGAATACAACCACCGCACAGTCTCCATACTGTTCTCGACTCCTATCAGGTTGTAGTTTTCCCTCGTTCCCCGAATTCGAGCTTCATCATCCGCTTCTCTGTGCGATATAGTAGGTCATTACACAACGTTCTAGATCTTATATCTGGGGGTGTTTCGCTTACTCATGCCATTTCACAAAACCAGTTCTTATAATGAAAATGTCACCCTGGCGGCACTCCGTCCCTTGAAACTTCAAGACTTCTTCAATCTCGGAAACGGGTATTTTATGTGTAGTGATAGCTGAAGGCGGAGTTTGACCGGGATTCTTATGTTCCCACCATCGGAGCTGAGAATCACATCAGCCGGTGACATCTTTCTAGATGCTGGGAAAGTTTATCCCTACCCAGTCGACCAGTATACCACGGCCAACTATGCCACCTCGATTGGATATATCTGTATTCTCAAGATAAGTATTGGTGATTTTATCTCCTTCAATCTTAAATTAGGGCCCTGACTGTGAATTCCATTTCTCAGAGTGTCTCTGGTCTCTTCCACTGTTGCACCGTTGTAGAAGAGAGCTTGCTTTTGCAATGCCCACTGCAAGTGAGAAATCATCATGGTTAGATCTTCATGGTTCGCATAACGCCTAGAAAAATGAAATATCATTGAAAGGAAAAGTAATTGGTCACTAACATGCTTGAAACCGTCCCATTGTGAGCTCGTCTGGGTATTGATTGTGAGTTCATCATCAAATCCAATGAAGCCCTTCTCACGGAGGTCAATGATACGGTGCTCGTACTGCAAGCGACCAAAACCAGGAAAGTCCAGGTGGTGCATTGCCCAGTCAAGCTGAACATGCTTTCCCAGCTGGATTTCCGTCGCAGCAGCCTTGAGGACTTGAGGTGTGAGAAGATTTAATGCTATAGATCTTCCGTTGGCACTTGTCTCTTCCCTACTACATAAGCTTATGATCGGAAAGGACTTACTTCCAAGTTCATCCTTCTTCCCATCTTTGTCAAAAAACCCCCAGAGACAGCCTTGTGGTTGGCCCTCGACCAGCGGAAGCTCATCGAAAGGAGGAAACACATAATTTTTCGGGGCTTCCATATTGCAAATCTATTATTTTCGATAATTCTGTTATCTGTATCGTTGAAATGTCATGAGAAGGTCTTACAAATATGCTGCGGGGTACTTTGACGAGAATCCCGAGGTCCTCTCTGCGTTTTTATATTAACATGCAGGTGTTCAAATGTTTCATGCAATATATTCGTTTGTTATGCATAGAGGATGATAAACCCTGCAAAGGCACCACGCTAAATTGCTGCTGACGAGTGAATGCATGAATCAACGCAAATGTACACAATAAGCGAAGAGGGCTAAAGTTTCAAACGACCTTATTATCCTCATTCAATTGATGGTGAAAAAGCATGTCTCCAAACTTTCCCCCAGACTTTTCGGCTTCTTCAAGAACCCGCCGGCCCGCACGCAAGTCGGGGAACCGACTCGACGACAACTCCGAGTTTAATTGTAGACTTACAACTCATAATTCATGCTTCGATTGTATTTGAAATCAGGTCAGTCGTAATGAAGCGCTTCTAGATCCTTGCATGGCTTAGTACCAGTGAGCTTTGACATACATATACAAAATCATACCAGCGGATGATTCAAGTAGAACGCAGTGTACAAAGAAACGTACAAAGAAACATACAATGAAAGACCTTCACGGAAAATCTGCCATCGCTACTGGAGGCGGCCCCAATGTTATTCTTACCCTTTCTCAACCGCTTGTCAAATCAGGCTGTAATGTGCTCGTTGCCGATCTGAGACTGCACCCTACAGATCAATAATCGATCCAAACACTTCCACAGTGGAAAACTTCTCTTCACGACCAGGAAGAGTAGGATTTGTACAGAGAGATGTCACAATATGGCCACAACTCGAACGAGCTCATGAAGGTTGTGCCCGAGTTTTCAATGCTCTATGTCTAGATATTGTCGTTCCCAGAGCTGGAGTATACAAGTCTCTGTACTCCACATCACCGGTCTCTTTCTGGGCAGCCGCAAATCCGAACAATGAATTTGGTCACTACAAAGTGCTCGATATAAATCTTGTACACCCAATCAACATAACACGAACCGCCATCAGGAAATTATTGAGATGAAAAAGCGGTCTGCAGGATCAATCTCGGAATTGGGTCGATTCATGTGTCCAGGATCGCTGAGCAGCGATCTTCAATGGTTACACCACTATATCAAGCAAGTACCATGGTATCAACTCCTTTATTAGAAGTATGGTAACATTGCAAGATATCCTTGGAGTCAGGGTTGTTGGCGTTGCACCGGAGTCAGTACACAGATTCCTTTCTGCGGTCATCAATTTACAGGATCCTACTCCCCGATATATATATTGTTTTGCTTATACTGAACGCACGACAATCAAAATGTCGCTTTTTACCGAGGATCAATCAGCCTCAAAATTCCTCAACTTGGAGGAGGACTCTCTGCTGCCACCCGAAGAGGTTGCTCGGGCTATGTTGGCACTTATCACACGAACAGAAATGTACAATTCTGTTACAATTCTGGAAGTTTGCGATGTTGGAGGAGAGGATGGTTGGCGCGAGGCTGAATTGCTAAACGACCCTGGCCCACGCGGGCCAGCTAGTAAGACGTCCAACAAAGGAAAAGCTGTTGAAGATACCATGCAGATATTGGGAATTGAGAATAGCACACTGAGTAATATTCTGGGAGTCAATAATGAGTGAAGTTCGAGTTGAGAAAGATTCTGTTTCGGATTTCTCATGTACCTCAGCCAACATGATGAGTAAGGATCTGATGAATGAGGGCTTTCAAAATTTACATCGTACTTTAAGATATTTTTAATGAGACTATATTTACTAGATTGTTATAGCATGTAAAAGCTCGTCAAAGCTTCATAGTCACAAATACATGTTGACCTGCCCAACCCCGAGATAATATGATCGACACTCTGGCACTGTCGCTCGGGAAATTCAGCCTAATACAGTCAGTTCAGAGATGAAATCACGCAGTATTAACCTTTGAATTGAAGCTTGTACTGGCCTCTGGCCACTGACTACTCCTTTCGTCGATCGAGAAAATCATCCATTGAGGAAATTCCGAATTAGGAAATTTTGCCTTGTTACCCAATTAGGAAGCCGTTTATACAAACCCCGAAACTCCTTTGAGCAGGACGTTGCCATTTTCAGACATCAAGTCCACATTCAAAGCCATATTTTCGGGCAATCATTGATTTGATAACATTTTCAAGACTATAAGATTCAACATGAGTGTTTTTTGCTGATTATGAAATGCTTCTCTTCCTGTTCGGCATCATGAGATGACATTTTCTGTTTGAAGGAGCCTTTCTGTAGATTATCCTAAGCGCATGAAATAAGAGAGAGCGTACGTCTGCCAAGTCAGGAGATATTTCCCTTCTTCAAGCGCTGGTCTGCGCGAAACGGAGATCACGATGCAGTCCAGTGGCTCCGACGAGAAGTCGATTCCGGGTTCCGACCATGCCCAGTCGCCTGATACTTACTCTGAAAGAGTAAAAGAAAACTTACCAGAGATTGAGAATACCAGAGAATATGTTAGTCGATTCCTTACAATGCGCAAATGTGGCTTTGAAAATGAAACGAGGGTGGTCTTCAACAACATCTCTGTTGAAGGTAGTGGGACAGGGGTAAGTATACACAACCAAGCACAGATATCGTTATATGCTGACAAACATAGTCACAAGCAGCACCAACAATTTCGTCAGCTGCCAAATCGGCTTTTGGAATACTCAGTCCGCTCAGAAATTTGACCAAAGATTCCTCTAGACCAATTCTCCGTGGGTTCTCGGGCACCATCAATCCGGGAGAAATGCTGCTCGTTATAGGAAAACCTGGCAGCGGCTGCACAACCTTTCTTAAGATGTTGTCCTATATGTGGGAGGAGTACAAAGAAGTTAAAGGGGAGCTTAGTCTAGACGGCCATTCCATTCAGAGTTTGTTGTCCAAGCGTCCCCAGGATGTTATTTTCTGTGGTAAGCTTTATAATCACACAATTATAGTGGAGGAGGCTGTTCTTATACTAACGTTTAAAGCTGAATCTGACGATCATTTCCCTACACTAACCGTGGCCGAGACATTGCGCTTTGCGATCCGGGCCAGATGTAGTCCAGATACATTGGCAAAGGATATTGATACGATGGTCCTACAGCTTGCCTCGCTAGTTGGTCTTGAGCATGTAATGAACACCAGAGTTGGAGATGCGTATATTCGAGGAGTCAGTGGAGGAGAGAGGCGTCGAGTCTCTTTGGCAGAAGTTCTAGCAACATGTGCTCGGCAAGTAGTCTTTCAAGTTCCCCTCTGTCGTTACTAGTGAGTCTTCTAACAAGTTCTTAGATTAGTTTGCCTAGACAATCCAACTCATGGACTAGACTCCTCCACCGCTTTGGAGTTTATTAAGATGATGCGAGAATGGACAAATCAAAGTCGCTGCACCGCGGCTATGAGTGTATACCAAGCCAGCGATGCGGTTGTTACATATTTCGATAAAGTGTTAGTGGTCAATTCGGGTCGACAAATCTTCTACGGCAAGCCGCATGACGCAAAATCCTACTTTGAGGATCTTGGCTTCGACTGCTTGCCAACAACAACCATATCTGATTTCCTCAATTCGATGTCGGCTGACCCAGACGTGCGGCGGATAAAAGAAGGCAAACAAAATCAAGTGCCACGGACTCCAGAGGAATTTGAGACTGCATTCCGTGCTAGTCAGTACTACATTGAGTTACAAGAGTCAATCACTGCGGCCCAGAGGGAGTCATCATCAGTGTATCGTGAGTTGGTCAAGACACCGGCTTATTCTCTCCCAATATACCGCCAAATTTGGTACTGTGCTTCTCGCCAATTCAGGATCGTCACAAGAGATTACAGTTTATGGGCTATAGAGCCTGTGACTATCATTGTACAGAGCCTTGCTCTGGGGACCTTGTTCAGAGATCAACAGAGAACCACCAAGTCTTTGTTCATATTTGCGTCGTCCTTATTCTTCACAGTGCTAGTCCCGGCCCTACAATCAATGGCTGAATTTAAGAGCGGATTCGCACAACGGCCACTTATACTCAAGCAAAAAAGATATCGGATGAGTCGTCCCATGTCGTATGCAATGGGCCTCGTCATGACTGATGTTTTGTGGAAGATTGCAGCCATCAGCTACAATATCCCGTTATACTTCTTAACAGGTTTCCAACGCACAGCAGGCAATTTTTTTACTTGGTTTCTTGTCGTTTACTTAGAGCACCTTGCCCTATCTATGTTTTTCAGGTCAGTTGCGGTATTTTCACCCAACATGCATCGCGCTGTTCTCCCGGTTAGTATATTTTTCAACATGTACGTGCTGTATACAGGGTTGTACGTACCAGCACCTCAGATGCAGGTGTGGCTTGGATGGTTGCGATATCTCAATGTGAGCTTATCGTCTTTCTCCATACAATCTTGTTATCATTTGCTAATTACACTACAGCCTCTATATTATGCATTTGAGTCAGTCATGGTCAATGAATTCAGAAATTTGAGCTACCAGTGTAGTCTATCTGACATTGTACCTTCTGGAGCTACTTATACGAATATTGTAAATCAGGTCTGTGGCGTCGTTGGATCTGTACCTGGAGAGCTTTCTATCTCAGGCATGTCATTTCTACAAGCGCAGTATGGATTTGAAAAAAATCATCTATGGAGAAATGTCGGGATCAATGCCGCACTATTTATTTTTTTTGCCCTGTGCTCTGGGTAAGTGAAATTTGCTCTTATAATCTATTTACACGCGTTTGCTAACTCTATCCTCTGGATGGATAGAATTGGAATGGAAAGATTGAGAACGCCTGCCGGCAGATTGGCGACGGTGTTCTACAAAGATAGAGGAAGTGCATTGAGGTTGAAATCTAAGCCAGACGTTGAAAGAGGGAATGTCGACGGAGATATTGCACCAGAAACTACAACACCAGCTAATAACGCCAGGCAGAATGTTGCAAAAGACAACAGTCATACATTTGTATGGAAGAACCTATGTCTCGACATCAAGGTCAAGGGGGACAACAGGCGACTTCTTGATGGCCTAAGTGGCTGTGTGAAGACTGGACAACTCAAAGCTTTGATGGGAGTCTCAGGAGCAGGTAAAACCACTCTACTGAACGCTCTTTCTGGTCGCTCTAATTTCGGTACTCTAACCGGTGAACTGGTGCTGAATGGGGAGGTACTTCCAGAATTTTTCCGCAGTAGGATGGGTTATGTCCAGCAGCAGGACATTCATTTACCCACGCAAACGGTTCGCGAGGCTTTGCGGATGACGGCGCGGTTGAGACGCGGTGGAACAATTTCGCTACCTGAGAAATATGCCTATGTCGAATATGTCATTCAATGGCTCGACATGGAAAATATAGCTGATGCCCTAATCGGCGTTCCTGGTGCAGGACTGAATCTCCAACAACGCAAAAAAGTCAGCATCGGAGTAGAGATGGCCTCAAAACCAGAGATACTATTTCTTGATGAACCAACTTCTGGTCTTGATGGACAATCAGCTCTTTCAATAATACAACTACTTCGTCKATTGGCAGAGTCCGGTCAAGCGATCATGTGCACCATTCATCAACCAGCAGCTGAGCTAATTGAGATGTTTGATGAGCTATATCTTCTCAGTCGAGGGGGTAAACTGGTCTATGATGGTCCACTGGGAAGTCATTGTCAAGAAGCAATTCAATACTTCGAGAAGTATAGCAGAAAGTGTGGCTCAAATGAGAATCCAGCAGAATTCTTCCTAGATGTGATCGGTGCTGGAGTCCAGAAAGAAAACAAGGAGGATTGGCCTAATCTATGGCATCATTCCGAGGACAAAGAGAACAGGGAGAAACATTCTGGAAAGGACGAATCTGATCTTCGACAACAATATCAAGCAGGTCCCTCACGTCAATCACTCTATGCAGCCCCGTTACACATTCAATTATGGGTTGTGCTTCAAAGGACATGGTTATATTATTGGAGAGATCCGGACTATATCGTGTCAAAACTTTGGATGAATGTTGGAAACGCTCTTGTCAATGGTCTCACGTATCTTCAGTCGCCAAACACACAGCAAGGAGCATATAACCGCGTATTCTCAGCCTTTATGGCACTCATCGTTGGACCTCCGTTAGGGTTACAAGTTCAACCGCGATTCTTGACATTACGAGAGATTTTTATGCATCGAGAACGCGAGAGCTTGACATATCACTGGATAGCCTTTGTCGTGTCGACATTCATTGTCGAGCTCCCCTTTACTTTCATCACATCACTGGTGTACTGGCTCCTATGGTACTTCCCCGTTGGATACTTCGGTTCTGTTTCGCGTGCCGGATACAGTTTTCTTATGTACGAGTTGTTTGGTGTATTCGCAACAAGTCTAGCCCAATTATGTGCCTCTCTCATGCCAAATATTGAGGCGGCCTTAGCGGCGAATGGGTTTTTCTTCATGTTCTGCAATACTTTGGCAGGTACATTGTCACCCAAATCAGTCACTCCGTCCGGCTGGCGTTGGTACTACAATGTTTCTCCTCTCTATTACTGGAGCGAAGGAGTAATGACTGATGTGTTACATGATTTACCCATCCGCTGTCAGGAATCTGAGTTATCAATCTTTTATCCGCCGAATGGAACAACGTGTGGCCAATATGCAGCTGACTTCTTGCGAACAGCGACGGGATATCTGGTGAATCCAGATAGTCTCTCCGACTGTCACTACTGCAGATACCAAGATGGGCAGTCATATGTGAGTGCTATTAGTGAAGAGAAGAGAGAAGAGAGAAGAGAGAAACTGACGAGGCTATTTGTGTAGTACCAACAATACGGATATGACTTTGCTGAACGCTACTCCGATATTGGCATTTTCGTTGGATTTATTGCCTTTAACTTCACCATGGTCATTGCAATAACTTATTTTAGGACTCGACATTGATGATCAGATTTCGAATCTTCGCGTGAAGATGGAATGATAGAATTGGGATAATACGGAACGTGACAATCATATGGCCATAGGACATCTCGAAGGGCTATTCGTTCCTGTGTACGCTTTGTACGATAAAAAATAGTCGTGATACTTGTATGTAAGACTTTGCTACATCATATAAGGTATTTAACAAGGTTCTAAGGTTCCTGTGCACCTCTGTTCGTAGCCTACTAGAATCCTGCAAGTCTATAGAGGTCAAAACTAATAACATGATCGGAGTATTAGAGCCATAGCAAGCTCAATGTGAACTATCAATAGCATCGGAATAGTTTGGACTACTATAGAGTTCTACAGGTTTGTGCAGATACTTGGTCCCTCCACAGTAAAATACAAGAACTACGCAGTCTTGTTGTTTTGACGAGCAGATGGAAGGTCGTCCAACATAACCCTTCATTGACCAACTGCATTGAAATATATGCATACAACGCCCAGGACGATACATACAATAAAGTGCCGAGATGGAGCATTAGAGGCGACTTCTGCGGCTTCTACAAACATCTTGCCACAATATGGAATATCACACAACAAGCACGCAACCACACATCTGCACGCAAGCCAGCCACCTAGACAAGTATCAAACTCCGCCCTTATCTAAATCTTCCATGACCTTGATCCCTTATCAGCATGCAGTGAGAAGGAAAAGCACAAGGGGGCAGATCCGTGGCCCATGTCATGCAAAAAACGCCTCTCCGTGTCCACAATCACGAACGGAGTCTGCCGAAAGCAGAAAGTTTGAATGCCGAGCAATGCGGCTTTTTTGCTTCCCAGAAAAATTAACATAAAAAATGGGACCCTGTTATCGGGTTACCAGGATGATCAATATATGCGAGGCGTCAGTCCCTGATACCTATCTCGGTACTTGATGTATGTATCTTTGTACGTGATGGCGTCGTCTGGCAGGGATTTGAAGATATCCGGTCATTATGAGCCGTTGCTAGCCGATGGACTTTGCAGATGTATATCAGTTCTTACGGTTGTTGCGGCTATTGAAGTAAATGGCGGCTTTACACTATTCATGTATGTATTCTGGTACCATATGTCAAATGGTATCTTGTAAAGTCGACTGACCATACGAACTGCATTCATCAATGCGATGGACAACAAATCCACAAGAGCCCACCCCGGCTACCTACTCGAGCCACTGGCTGATTGTCTGTCTGATTAGAATCTTGACAAAATGGGGAAAGAAAAGTTTGAACCAAAGCCTCGTACGAATGAACCTGGGACTTAGCAGTCAACTCCAACAGACGAACTGTCATCTCAAGTTGGTAGTACTCTTCAGTAGCAGCAAAACGTAGTAGTCCGATTAGATACTGACAGCCCCTCATTTCTTCGAAGTTCCCTTCTAGTCGCTTTCCCCAGGATTTTCACCGGCAAAGAAATGTAGCCAAGAATGAAGACGGTCAGAGATCATAGATGGCTTGAAGATCTACGTACCACAATGAGATAGCGGTCAGCCACCGAGCGCAGCTGCAGCGGCCTGAATGCCGTGAAAGGCTTAGGTTGGAGGGGCTTGCTTTGCTAGAGTGCTTCGATTCTGTAGATACTATCTATGCAAGTCAGCTTGGAACAGCGAGTCATGGCCCAAAGAGGGGAAGGTCAAGGACAGAAATGGGGCATGATGACTAGAAAATAAACGCTAAGAATGTATAGAGAAAGCAGGAACGAGAAAAGAAAACATTGGGATGAAGGGTCTACTACGAGTAACCAATGGAGCTGATATTCTAGCCAATCAATGATTGTTCGAGGCGAGCATTGAAGTTCTTCAAGGTACATTTGTGTGCGCATAGAAGACTCTGTGCCGGCCTTTCCGCGCTCTGATGCCAGTTGTCGGCGTTGGTTGTTGGTTCGCAATAAAAAGAGTTGGTTACTCAGATAGCAACGAAAAAAAGACCGAGAGCAGAATCACGTTGACTATTATGCACGATTTCTCCGGGCAAATGCTACGTCGCCATTGTCGATGCAGATAAGCTCACGACTTAAATTTAGGGCGAGGGACGTAGCAGTACTAGTATCTGCCCCTCATACAAGCAGCGACTTGAGTAACGTCCATCGAGTACGACACTAAACGGGTGTTAAAATAAGTGCGAATAGTATTGATTTCAGGCACGGGTTCGACGGGTACGTACCTACATACCTAGTCGGTCATTACTGATCCTCTCTAAAATCGGTGATGACTGAGTATGTGGACTGGCCCCAAAGCAAGATGGATCTCGGCTTCAAATAGTTGATTACAGTATTTTTTCTTACTATCTCCGCACTCAAATCACACTTGAGCAGCATTCGGTGGAATAAGAGTCCGGTCCAAGTGCCGATGCGTTACCTACAGGAACAGGCTACGCCTTTTGTCGATCGTTTTGGAGCGAGTGCTCGAGTGCTTGCCTTGGTCTACCCAAGTGCTTATCCTACGGATCCTACTAAGCTACTTGCGTTAGCATACGGCTTACTGTTAATGCACTCCATACTTTAGTATTTTCATTGAACTTTCTCAGGACTAGTGTACCGAATCTACTCGGTCTTTTATCTTTACTTGGAAGGTCGTTGATGAGTAAAAGTTGATCTTCTCTCTTCAAATGTCCAAAAGTCAAGACTGGAATGTTTCTGACAAAGCATAGCCGAAAGTTCCGTCTACTCGAGTTAGTTCAAGGTCTAGTTTTACGTATCATGATTCATTAGCTGAGGAACTTGTAGCCTAAGAATGAAGGGCCCCCGAGCTAGAGTCAGCGGTATGGTATTTTACCCGGCGAGGCCTAAGGATACGTGGTTGATACAGACCCAATTTTTATTACGGCGTAATCCTTGGTATCTAACACCGTGTTTAGTTTGTAACTATTCCCAAGAACTTTATGTGACTAAATCAAGAGGATTGCATGACTCGGATATGGAACGGCATCAGATGTTTCAACTTATGACAACTCATACGCACCACATGCGAAACAATTGCCATGAAAAAAAAATAAATCTGATCCTGATGGATAGTGTTGTTACAAATTTCTACAAGTCTAGCGGCATAATCCAACCAGGGTGATGATTCCGGCCAACAGCTCTACAGCCTTTACGCATGAACCGGTATGCCACAAAGGATAAGATTTTAGCCCGGAAACTCTGTCAAATCCAAATCATTAAGTGTTTCTATACTAACCTGACAGTCTACCTCGATCGTTCCATCGTATATCACCTAGATTACTACTTCAAGTCACAATAGGCCACGGGGTCAGTAGAGTTTCATCAATCAGAAACAAAGTTCATTAAAACCAAGGCTATTACTATCTACAAGGCTACGCTCTCTGACCTAAATACAACCCAGGCCATGTTTTCCGTAGCAGCGGTTCAAAGCGTTTCAGCGTGTTTCTTTTTATAAACACCTAGACAGCTAGACACACTAGCTTGCAACTAGATCTAGGGACTGACACAGGGTGGATATGCCCCTGATTTTTAGGTCAATAACCCATGTCAGGGCTCAAGATTTAGAAGTCAATGCCGACACCATCTCACTACTAGTTAGACAGCTATGTTAAGCGGTATTTAATGTGGTGATCAAGTCAATTTCAGAAGTACGTAAAATAGTGGGTTTCGAATAATTGACTGGGGAGCCCTGTCACGGTGACTCCGGTTCGCATAACCCGTACCCTCCCTCATCTTGGTAATACGCAGCACGCTAAACGGTATGCACGTACTTATGTGTAATAAAAGCAAGTATCGCTTGATTATTGAATATTCAGTCACTGTATTAAGAAGATAGCTTCTTCTCTACACGGTCCTGAAATATGGACGGTCATAAATAAGTGACAACTTTAATAAGCCACCTGACAAGGGCATGTATGATGATCTACAATCGTGCTACTATTATTATCCAATCTCATGCCTCAGGAGCATCAACACACATGGCTGAAATGCTCAGGGCACTCGTCAGAATTGATCAAGATCCTGACTATGGTATTGTATTCTGGACGAAGATTGGATATGAAAAGTTCTTGGGCGAGCTGAACATTTAGCCCTAGGGCCCTAAACGAGAAAATTCGGCGGCCTTCACTGTTAAGGAGATTATTACCTATCAATCAGCTTCAGATAGGTAACAACAAAATTTGTGCGTACGTACATTTATTGTGATGACTATAATAACAACCATTAAATATTTAAAAACTGCTAAGTTCATCCGGCTTATTACTCAGAGCTTACTCCATACTTATAGTAGCATCGATATTATACCTTCGGAGAGCTCCATGCCTGTCAGAAACTTCCAGCGCCTCTTTTTGACGCCTCGCGACGTAGGTGGTATCCAGGTACGCACGAAGCGAACTATGGCTGATAGAAATACATCTCTAGGTTGGACGTACTCGTACTCGAAAATTTACACTCGTGCATCTCCTCTAACTACGTGAGGCCATGTCACATGTTATGCATAAATCAGATCCTGGCCTTTGCATATCCTGTGGCAGAGCAGTACAGCATCGGTAGTTAATTACGTAGTATTGACTACTACGGAGCACGGAGCACTTGAATTGCAACCTGGTGGTGCTTTGGCCAGCTCGGCAGATGTCGAGAGATTATAGGGTCAACTATCAACGGTGTCCACTGTCCACCCTCCAGGGCCGTTTGAGCAGCCCTGTGGCTCGAGTCCCTGGCAGATATATATACATATGTAGTTAGGAAATCATCATATCAAAGATGTATTATATGGTAAAGCACAAATCCGGTGTCAGGTCGCGATAGTACTGCCGTTTCTGGCAGTACGGTCTGTCTGACTGCATAGCCTTTAGCTGGTATGTAGTCAGCTTCAAGGTCTTCAGCTAGTCTAAATTATGGAGACAGGGCGGCGAAAATCTTGC